AGCAGCAGAGACCTGGTCTGATTAAGGAAATTAGATTTTTCTTGTGTACTTTTTATAGTTAAAAAAACAAACAAACAAAAAACAGTTAAATTCTTAATGTTTCATGAATTCTTCATCCAGTAAAGTATTTGTGTAGTATAGTTGGAGTATTAGATTTAATGTAATGATCAATACATGAAAGTCAAATATTGATTTAACAATTTATTTCAAATTCTTTTTCACTTTTTCTTTCTAACTTTCCTCATTATTTTTATTTGATTTTCTGTGTGTGTGTGTGTGTGTGTGTGTGTGTCCTGAGGGAAGGGCTGCTCCTTTCTGCATCAGACACTTCCTGTTTCAGACCCTCAACAAAATAAAACCTCCAGGGAAATTCTTCTGATTTGTTGCTCTCTAACAGGCCAGATGCTGAAGTTAACTTGACTCATCTCTCATGAGGCAATTAAAAAGGGTGCAGTTAATGTAAGAAATCCAGGTCTCATCATGAAGAGGCAGTATGGAGTCTGTAGAGTTTACTAAACAGGAGTGGTTTACACTCTGCCTGAACTTGTTTAAAAATGTCCTGAAGCGATGGGACTTAAACGCCTCACGGGTAAAGTTTAGCAGGTTGGGCGACTCTACTCTGCCACGCCCGACAGCACTGTCATTCCAGTGTGGGCGGCTGGACGCACAACTGATTTTAAAAATGTTAAAGTTTCATCTCTGATGGAAATGAACATGAAGAGAAACTACAGAGCAGGAAGATGCACAGTGCAGCAACACTTGAAACACTTTTATATCAGTGAGGTTCAGTTCTTTGCATCAACCTCAGACTCATCACGCCCAAAGGATGTTGCATCACTTTAAAGGTGCACTCCAGACTCCAGAAGTGTTGAAATACTCAAACTCAGTGGAAGTGTTTCATAATCCTGTAATGAGCTGGGAGGAAAAGGTTAAATGTCCTTTGCTTTTATTTCTGATACTTTCTTAAAACTTGACTTATTAATGTAACAATATATCATGTTACAGATATGAATGTGTGAGGAAGAAAAATGAATCTCCCTGGGTCAGTCGCTGAATCGAGACATAAAGATGTCACATTCACTTCGACAAAGAGAATTTGCATTGTTTTACAGTTTATATCCTTCCTGAACCCCCAGTATCATGAAGTGTATCGAACTGAGCTGAGTGATGTTGCATCTATTTACTGTTTTTAGATAATCCTGATTTTAAAATCTTTATTCACTCTGCTTATTAACATTAAACTGATGTTTCAGTAGCTTTCCTTTTTGTATGCAAACAAAAGTACTACACGACAGACGAGGGGGTGATATTTAGAGGTGATAATCTGGAAGAAATATTTTTCATAAATTTTACTGTTTCCTTTTTCAGAAATGGAAGACGACATCGCCGCCCTCGTTGTTGACAATGGCTCCGGCATGTGCAAGGCCGGTTTCGCCGGAGACGATGCCCCCCGTGCTGTCTTCCCGTCTATTGTGGGTCGCCCCAGACATCAGGTACGGAGACCAGCATCAACGTTGCTGGTGTATATAATCACTATAAAATGTGACACTCTGGTGAATGCAGTGCAACATGTGACTGTGAAGGTGTGTTTGTGTGTGTCCAGGGTGTGATGGTGGGAATGGGACAGAAGGACAGCTACGTGGGAGACGAGGCCCAGAGCAAGAGAGGCATCCTGACCCTGAAGTACCCCATCGAGCACGGCATCGTCACCAACTGGGACGACATGGAGAAGGTAAAGACATAAACCTCATGTTTCCACACCTGGAGCTAAAGTGAACCTGGTTCCTTAGAGCTGTGTCCTCCCCCTTCAGTGTCATCTGAATTACTGTCGCTTTAATGTTAATACATCACATTAATGATGGAGCTACTTGATTTTATTGTCGCTTAATTTATAAGTTAAACTTGTATGTATATTTTTGTCTGTACATTTGACAGTAATGTCACCAGCTGTATAATTAGTAGTCCAACTAAGCTTCTCTTGTCCTGCAGATCTGGCATCACACCTTCTACAATGAGCTCCGTGTTGCTCCTGAGGAGCATCCAGTCCTGCTGACCGAGGCTCCACTCAACCCCAAGGCCAACAGGGAGAAGATGACACAGGTGTGTGTTTGGGAGAAATAAATCTATTTTGATATTGACACAAGTTTTTGGAAGAAAAGATCAGTATATTTTTCAGGGGTTTTTCAGTTGTCATAGCTTCCACAGTGACACCTGTCTTTCTATTTGGTCCAGATCATGTTCGAGACCTTCAACTGTCCTGCCATGTATGTTGCCATCCAGGCCGTCCTCTCACTGTACGCCTCTGGTCGTACCACAGGTGAGAACACAACCACAAAGTGTTTCTGTAAACTAACATCTTACAACACTGAATTAGTCACAAATTGGTGTCTGAGAAGGTCTTCCTGCTTAAACTTGACCTTAAGAAGTTGGGGTTGGAGAAGCATCTAGTGGCCTAATAGAGGAACAGCAGCTCAACCACACTGTCAGTGACAGCCTTGATGTAGAACTGTTGTTCAGTATGACTGTTTTTCCTCTTGTAATTTAGTTTTTGTCTTGCAGGTATTGTGATGGACTCTGGCGACGGTGTCAGCCACACTGTGCCCATCTATGAGGGTTATGCCCTGCCTCACGCCATCCTCCGTCTGGACCTGGCTGGCAGAGATCTGACTGACTATCTGATGAAGATCCTCACAGAGAGAGGCTACAGCTTCACCACCACTGGTACAATGCTTATACACTGAGTTTTACTACTTGGCTTTAACTGCACAGATGAAGCTGCTGCAGGCTTTTCTACCTTCTGAATATTTCTAACATGTTTTTGTGTCTCTCTTGCTACATTTTCTTGAACTCCAGCTGAGCGTGAGATCGTGCGTGACATCAAGGAGAAGCTCTGCTACGTGGCTCTGGACTTCGAGCAGGAGATGCAGACGGCAGCTTCCTCTTCCTCCCTGGAGAAGAGCTACGAGCTTCCTGACGGACAGGTCATCACCATCGGCAACGAGAGGTTCCGCTGCCCCGAGACACTCTTCCAGCCTTCATTCATCGGTGGGTAACGATTCAATGAATCACCTGAATAGTCAGATTGCTGCCTCATTTCTATTGCCTCCTCGAGTTCTTGGTCAGCTTGGTCGGGCGAGCTAAATCAACCGGTTGAATTCTGCTTCTGTGCTCTCAGGAATGGAGTCTGCTGGCATCCACGAGACAACCTACAACAGCATCATGAAGTGTGACGTGGACATCCGTAAGGACCTGTACGCCAACACTGTGCTGTCCGGTGGCACCACCATGTACCCCGGCATTGCCGACCGTATGCAGAAGGAGATCACCGCCCTGGCCCCACCCACCATGAAAATCAAGGTGCAGTTTTATTTTCTTCTAGCAGATGAGTGAAACCTCTTTCCAAAAGGACCCAGTAGAGCCTTGATAAAACTTATTTCAGTCTGCCTGCAGGTCTAACTTTGGAGCTCTGACTTAGTCTAATGTACTGCTGCCCCAAGTGGACAAACTTGGTCATTTTAGATTCCAGAAAATCTTATCTGTAAACGTTCAGAGAACAGACCCCATTTCTGAAAATTCAGTTCAAAGCCAAATTATTGTATGTAACTTAAATCTCTACTATTTGGGATATTAAAAGAAACTTAAAGCTGTCCCAATTCCACACCACATGATTTAAGAAAGTTATGTGTGTATGTTCATGCTGAAACACAGCTCCAAAACCATCATTGTACCAAAGCTGCTCAAAGCAATTCTGATCTAAATACATTGATGGTAAAAACTGGTCTGACTATACTGCTCTTGAAACAAATTTTCTTTAAATGCCTTAATTGATCAAAACTGCAGTTTTCAGACCCTGATGTGTTAATGATGGAACCACTTGGCCTTCTTCGCCCTCAGAATAAAATAAAACCTGTCCAATATTTATGCATGAAACTTATCGCTGCTCCTTGTCTTACCTCCAGATCATCGCTCCCCCAGAGAGGAAGTACTCCGTCTGGATCGGTGGCTCCATCCTGGCCTCCCTGTCCACCTTCCAGCAGATGTGGATCAGCAAGCAGGAGTACGATGAGTCTGGCCCCGCCATCGTCCACCGCAAGTGCTTCTAGAAAGCTCCACAACCGCCTCCTCCTCTGCCCCAGCGGGGAGGTTCACAAGCTTTTCAACTGTTCCATCCAACTAGAAATGTCTCTGGTTCATCTTGTGAACAGACTCAAAGATGCCACATACAAGATGAATCACGCGGCTGTTTACATTTTAATGTCTCAGCTCGGCAGATCGTCAGCAGCTTACTGAACCTCCAACGTCCAACAGCTCTGAACATGTTCCCCTAACTCTGCTCGCAGATCTCACTTCTGGTGATAAACTTTAGTCAAAGAAAACAAACGGTATTATCACTCAACATCTTTCTACCCATGTTTTCCTTATCTTGTGCAATTTATTGCATATCAATATTCTGCTTTCCTCCTCGTCCGTTCTGTCCATTCACTGAGTCGAGCTGTATCATTGCTCTCCACGAGTGTTTACGTAACAATAAAATGCCAACTTTTGATGTTTACAGCTTCTCTGATGTCGTCATTTACTGCTCCAGTTTCACACATTTGTTTATTTCCTCAGCTCTACAGATGCAAACAGTGGACAAAATGCTTTCGATCAAAGCAAATCAGTCTCAGAATTAAATTTTTAGCTTGTTTCCCACTAAAATCTCTCCAGTGGTTTTACTGTCTAGCTGTCTGAGAGGTGATGCAAATGTTATGACCATCTTTCAGTTATTTTGGCTTCTACTCTGCCCTCTGGTGTTTGTACCTGTAACCTAAGAGGAGAACTGCAGACAGGATTTAAGGCTGTGAAAAATTACCTCAAATCACAAATGTGACTTGTTTACCAAGAAAAGGGTTTAAACAAAAAGCTATTACTTTCTGTTTCTCATTTTCACAAAATTAGCTATATTTCTCTACTGTACAAAACAAGGACATAATGTAATTTCCAGCTAGTGTCTGTCTGTCTTTTTATATAGAATTACTGCACTATGATATAAATACAGAAAATGAACATGACTGTATACAGTAATATTACAATTGAAAGTGACTACAAATGTCATCCATCTGATATAAAGATAAATTATAAGAGGGACTGCATGAGCTCTTGGTTTATAACAGCACCTCCTCAACACAAAATCCCTAAAATACCAGCAGAATCAAGTCTATTGTATAATTCAAAAGATGTTTGAGTTAAACAGGTAATTAAAAAAATTATGATGATCACTGTAACATAACTAAATTAGCTCTTAACCCATCATTTTGTTTCCATTGTCCTGAGATAAAGTAATGAGACCACAAGGTGAAACTTGCCGTTTCTGTTGAAAACCTGTTCTATTGATGGTTTTCGTCTCTCCTTCACTAATGGCTATTAACACAGATAAAAATAGTATAATTCAGTCAACAAATGTATTATAATCCTTTATTTAAGTAAAAGAATAATTCAAATCTCTTAAGAGTGACCTGGCCAGGAGTGCAGTTAAACATTGTTCCAGCAATAAACACAAACAGTATAAACAAACAACTGTGACACACTACAGATGATACAATATCCAGTTAATATGAAGTACAAGTTCAAGAACAAAAAACCCATAACGATGCATAAACAAACCCAGTTTTAATGAAAATATAGGATCAATCACATCGACCAAGAATAAAGACAATTCCAGGTCCTCTTTCAGCATTATTCCAGGAAGAAGAGGCAGCTGATTTAAAAGCACTTTTGCTTGTCTGAGGACCAACACCTGTAGAATACTGCGAGGCCATATTGATTTTATACCTACTGTACACAGATAAGGACGACCAATGAGAGTGTCTGCAGACTGAGATGGCGATTAAATAACCATTTATTCATGTAGATAGGAGAATACTGTTGTAACCATTTCCTCCCGAATACCTTCTTGTCAGTGACCATGGATCACTGTTTAACCACAACGGTGAAACTGGGCTCTAAATATTTTGGGAACCTGTTTTTCTTTGGGCCCTCAGCAGTCTACTCAGTGGTCAGATTGAATTGGTTTAGACTGTGATTTGTCAGTCCATAGTGTGTTCAGCTGATATTCAGCAGTGCTAATCCTAGACCAAACTTTATAGCAGCAGTATCTTTGCTAAAGGAACACACCTGTTCCAGTTTGCTGGAGACATAATTGTAGCCTGGCATCTACAAACTAATTCACAAATACAAATTATTCTGAAACCTCTCAAATCACTTTGGATTTCCACTGGACACTGTTGAAGGCACAAAAACACAAAATCTAAAACAATGCCAAAATACAAGAATACAAACAGAATAGAAGCCATAAAAATAAAATCAAAACTCTAATATAAGCAACATTTTTGTATCGGATATAACAAAAAAAAAATCTGCTCACCTTGCAATAGGTAAGAACCACACCTGTAACCATGGTAACTATATACATTAAAGATGGTTACAGGCCTCTGAATGTCACACAGGTGATTACACAATGAACTGCTTTGGTGTGACATTTGGATCAAAGGTAGAATCAACTTGCTCATGCAATGCAGCAAGACTGTTTTTCTTCCGGGATCAAAAGTTTCTCTTTCATCTCGTTCATTTCTTTTTTGTGTTTTTTCTGTAGTTCATCTAATTCTTCCTCGTGACTGTCTTCATCTGGGGCCATAACTTGCTGTTTCAACTCCAGAATTTCTCGTTCATGTTTCTTCTGCAGTTCATCTATTTTCACTCTCTCGTGACTTTTATTTTCTTCCAGCAGTTTCTGTTTGAATTCATCCAATTTCTGCTCATGTTGTTTCTGTAATTCATCCAGCTGTTTCTTCTGGTTTTGTTGCTGTTGGGTCAAAAGTTCCAGTGTCAACTCATTAATTTGTTGTTTATGTTTGATGGACAGCTTAGTCTTTCTTATTTCCTTATCTTCTTTGTTTTGGGTTGAAACTTCCCTCTCCAAAGCTTTCATTTCCTGCTGCTGTTTTTTCTTTAATTCATCAATTTGTTCCTTCTCCTTTCTTTTGTTTTGGGCTGAAAGATATTTTTTACGGTTATCTGCCTCGTTTTTGTGTGTTTCCTGCATTGTCCTTATTTTCTTCCTGTTTTCTTTCTTTTGGGTCAGAAGTAGCAGAATCAAGTCAGTCATTTCTAGTTTATGTTTGTTCTGTAGTTCATCAAGATCTTGTTTCAGATTTTTTTCTTTGTGAGTTGAAAGTTCCTGCAGGCGGAAATATTCCTGCTGTTTCTCCTGCACTTCCTTCATGTGTTTTTCTATCAGAGCTGCAAAGTCCTTCTCATTCTTCTCTCTGAACTCATTGAACTCTTCAGCTTTATTTCTGGCCTCCTCTTCATACTTCTTCTTCATTTCCTCCAGTTTTGTCTCATAGTTTTCCTGTAACTCTTTCTGCTTCTTTTCCTCTTGTTCTCTTCTGACTCGATCCTCTTCTTTTGTTTTTTCATATTTTTCTCTTTCTTTCTCGTATTCGTCTTGCAGTTTTCTAAGTTTTGTTTCTTCCTCCTGTCGTCTCTGTTCTTCTTCTTCATTTCGTTTTTCCCACCATTCTTTTTGTTGTTTCTCCCAGTTCTCTCGTTCTTTTCTCATCTCTTCTCTGCTCTCCTCCAGCTTTCTATCAATGGTTTTCTTTGATTCTGACTCAGATTTTATTTTTTCCTCCAAAGCTTCAACTTTCTGTTTCCACTCCTGTCGTTGAATTTCTTCCTGTTGTTTTCTCTTCCTGTCTTCTTCTTCTCTCATTTCCTGTTCTTTCTTTCTCTCCTCACGTTCTTTTTTTATGTTTTCCTCCTTTTCTTCAAGTTGTTTTTCTCTCAGTTTTCTCTCCTTTTCAGTTTCTGCTCTCTGTTCTTCCATTCGTCTTTTAATTTCTTCCATTTCTTCCTCATGTTTTATTTGAAGCTCCTGCCTCTCTCTCTCCATCTCTTTTTTCATTCTCCTTCAGGATTCTCTCCATTTCTTTCTTTATTGAAGCTTCGGCCTCTTGCAGCAGCTCATTAGTGTAGCAGCTGCCTCCATTTTCCTTCACCATGGTGTCAATCTTGGTTATCAGCTCACTGACCTGTGTGCGGTTGTGTTCTTCATAGTTATTAAACACATGGTATCTTCCTCCACAGTCAGAGATCAGCTTCTTAAAGGAATCATCAGAGTCTTCAATGTATTCTTCAATGGACACTTTGTCACGTTCCAGCTTGTCTCCTCCAGTTAAAAGAATGATGGTGAACTTCTCAGAATTCTTCCCATATCCTTCCTTGATAAGTTTTAATGTCTCCTTCTCCTCTGGTGTAAATCTGCCAATGTGTATCACCAACAGGAAGACATGTGGTCCTGGAGCCAGAAGACTGATGCATTTCACCATCTCCTCATTAACCTCTTCATGAGACAAACTATTGTCAAACAGACCAGGAGTGTCGACCACAACCACCTGACGACCATCGACTTCACTCTGTTCTTTCTGACACTGTTTAGTGACTGATCTTTGGGCTGATTTGGCTTTAAACGCTTTTCTTCCTAGAATGGTGTTTCCTGAAGAGCTCTTTCCACAGCCAGTCTTCCCTATCAACACAATCCTGAGACACTCTAGACTCCATTCTTCATCATCTGTGAAATATAAAGACCAGGAGTTACTTAAAGACATAATAAAATAGCAGAGCAATATCATGGGTCACAGGTATATGTTTGGATCTCACCCTGCATTCCAAAGAATGTGGTGAGGTCTAACTTTACTCTCTTAGTTACTTACCTTACATTTGTGCCCAGCAGTTTACAAAGATAACAGAGGAATATTTACATTCAACATTTTTAGTAATTTAACAGACTGTTAACACCAAAGCAGCTTCTCATTTCCAGCTGCAGTTTGAGGATACTGATCACTTTAATCAGTTTAAATGTATTAACTCCCAACAATTTAAGCATGAAAAAATATTTGATTTGATTACAAGTAACATTTTTTTTTGTTAAGGAAAGGTACATTTAACATTTTAACTGTTGAAAATATATTACACTCATATGCCGCATTACTCCAAACGTATTTAAAATGTGTGAAGAGAATCTGAATGAAGTAACTTTCCTGCATCTTCTTTATACAAATGTTGATGTAAGTTGAAAGTACTCAGTTTTCTTCCACTAAAGCAAATTAGAACATTACCTGTCAAAACAGCTGACGTACGATAAATAACAATTTACAATTAATTGATTATCAAAATGGTGGCCAATTAATTTTGATTAGGGGGTTATAGTTAGTAATGATATAAAGTCAACTTAAAGAAAATTTGTCAATAGAACAAAGTGGAATTATATAACCAATACTTGAAATACTGCACACTGCTGCATCCTAGTCTGCAAGGCAGGGTTGTAGTAGAGGGAAGTAGCTGCCTATGCTCCTTGTGAACGTGAGCAACGGTTCTTGGTGTTTATTTGAAAAAGCTGCACTTTTTGATGATATCTCGTTCTCATTCCTTTTGAGGTTCAGTATACTTATAACTAAACCCCATCCACATATTTTGTTTAATTAGAAAACACATTAAAGAAGCTAAAGATGCTAAGTCCTCTGTCACTTTAAATTCTGGCAATTGCTACAGTAGGGTGGGTGGTTAAGAAGAAAAGGAAAATAAAATTCAAAGTACTTACAGCTGACAGTGCTCTCTTTTTTTAGGTCCTTCAGCTCAGCCTGTAGTGTAGTGATGTGTTTATCTTGTTGTATTATCTTATCTATTTGGGATTTTGCAAAGGTGTATGTTGTATAACAGCATGGTTGATCCTTGTAGAGTTTCATAATTGCCACATTATCCAGCAGTTCTAGGATCTGCTGCTTGTCCTTGATGTTGAGAACAACATATCTTCCTCCACAGCTCTGACGGAGCTCCTGGATGTCTCTGTTTTCTTTCACAAAGTTAAGAAAAGCTGGAGCTGTAGGATCTGAGTCCACAGTGAACAGAATCATGGTGAAGTCGTTGACTCGAGAGCTGAATGTGTTCTGGATGGTCTTTAACTCTCCCTTGTCTTCATCAGTGAGGGGACCCACAGGTAGGACCAGGATGAAGGCATGGACGCCCTCAGGATCACAGAGGGAGATACTCCTGAGTGATTCCTCCATCACTGCCTCCTGAAGTTTTCCATACAAGGCAGGCAGCTCCACCAGGGAAACCCAACGTCCACACACCTCTCCCTGATGTTTAACACACTCTGATGAGTTGGAGACTGAATGAAACTCTGTCTGACCTAAGATGGCCTCGGCTGCTGAAGTCTTCACTGCTCCTCTCCTCCCACACAGAACCAGGTTTAAAGCTGGTTTGATGAGTTCAGACTTTGGTCTTATGGTCTCTTCAGTGAAGGTGAGGAAGGTTCCTTTGTTTTCATGCACAATGTTCTCAACGTTCTCCATTAACAATGTGTGGTTGTTTTCAACCATGTTGTAGTGTCTTCCTCCACATTCTGTAAGGAGTTCATTAACAGTTTTACTCTTTTTCCCCTCATGTGTCATGATGACCATTGAGTGTTTTAAAGCATCTTGACCAAACAAACTCAGGATGAACTTCAGTGTTTGTCTGTTCTCCTCAGTGAACTTAGAAGGTTTCACTAACAGCAGAAGGACATTTGGTCCAGGGTGACAAAGGCTGGCGAACATCTTTACCTCTTTTCTCACTGAATCCTCAGCCAGACTGAAGATGTCTGGAGTTTTCACTACAGTTAGAACATTTCCCTTCCACTCTCTACAAAGGGCCACACATTGGTTTTGTAACTGGAAACCTTGTTTGTCTAGGATGAAGTTACCAAGCTTTGTCTTTTTGTCTTCACTTTTCCCCACCAGTACAATCCTGAGTGCAGACACTGTAATAAAACAGAGGAAATACATTTCACTGTAGAGTTGGTGGTGACAGGTGAGTGGACCCTGAGACTGGTTTTTCCATGAGAGCTATTTCTACAAGACCTACAATTATGATACATACTTACACTCAGGTTTGGGGGGGTTAATTTAAAAATGTACTCTGATACAATTACTAATTACCTGTTAAAAATGTAGCCAGTAACCTAATCCAAATATTACAATATTAAAGTATAAAACATTAAAAATGAAAAAAAAAAGTGTCCTCTGTGTATTTTAAAAGGAGAACTTGCAAATTAAGGCTGAAGCCATATAGAAAACAACTCGAGAACAGAGTGCTGTTGGGAGACTGTGTAGTCACTGCACATGTCCATTGTAACTGTATGTAACTGTAATCCAATTATGTTGGGTTTTTTCAGTAACTGCAATGGATAACAGTTACATTTGTTTTTGTATTACATAACTCAGACATGTAATCCATTAACCCTTAACCTGTTAAAGCCTAGCCAGATAGACTCAAAATGACCAAGAAAGGGTAAGGAAACAATATTTGTCACTGCTGATGACAACTGCTTTGTTATTTGATGGAATATTGAGACATAAACACAGAATTTCACATTTTGATGATAAAATGCTAAATTTTGCTGCGTCTTTGCTACGGGGCTTACATGAGCTGGTTAGGTCGGATTATGTTTTGCTTGGTATCAGCAGAAAGATGAGCTTCTTTAGTTTAATTTGACACCTAACATGACTGAGTCGAGCGAACGGATATATGTGTACTGCTGCGTTTCATTTCGACTGTCCCTTATATTCACAGAGCTGTTCTTCTTTTAGTTAATTATTTAAATCATTGCCAAACAAACTGTGTTTGAGAAAAATACACTTGGACTGTTGTTTTGGTAGAGTTGAAGCCTCGTCTTTTGGAAACATTTGAGAAAAAAAAAACACCACAGTGTTTTATTAACTTTTTACAGGCAGTAAGGCATTGTAGCGCTCCATGTACCGGGTCCATCGGGGCTAACAGGTTAAGCATTTTTAAAGATGTGTACAATGTCTATACGGACTGTATGTGTCAACCAATACAGCCCAACAACATCCAGGGCTCAGGCAGGCTATATTATAGTATTCAGTCCTGACACGTTTCCACTGTGGAACTTTGCAACACGTTCTCACTGCCAAGTTGAAATGCCATTTCATAAAGGACTGTGATACATTCTGTGTACCACAGGCTGTGGCTTTCTGATGTGTTCAGGTGACTGTGTCAGCTTGACTTACTTTGTCTTTGTTTGTTGTTTTTTGTCATATTTTTATGATTGAGAATCTGACTTTTACACACTAGCAGGCATTCACTCAGACGTTATCTGGTCAGTAGACATCTTCGGAGTCTATCTTTGCCTGTTCGATGTCCGACGCTTCCATCCTACTGAACCCCCTCCCCCCTGAACTGAAGGGGGAAGGGGGATCAGGCCGTGAGTGCAGAGACGCAGGTATTAGAAACTCTTCTACTTCCAAATGATAATACCTTACATTACTAGCTATTGAAAAAAGTAATCACATTACTGTAGATTATTCAATTTACTTACACTGGTTTCTTGTGCTGTCCACTGGTGACGATGTGTGTGACGCAGGCTGACGTTTGATCACTGTTAAAAGACGAAACCGTCAATATTAATTACAGTAAATCATCTTCCTCTCTAACTGCATGATACTTATTTGTGTACTCACAGTTGTTAATATAGTTTTTATCTGAATACAATGTGCGTGACACGAGACATTTCAGCCCTTTAAAAAGAGAACACCATCAATTGAAAATAAAAAAACATAACTTCATATTCAGATATGATCATAAATTAGTTAAATTTGTCACATTATAGTACTACTCAGTTCCTGCACCTACCAGTATCTTTAACAGGATCCAAGTTGAAATGGGCTCCTTCTGCTTGTTTCAGGCTTTGATGGCCACCAGGGAAAACAGAAGTTGCGTCTTTGAAGAGATCACAGCTCACATAATCTCCATTATTCTCCTTCACCATTTTGTCCATGAGTGTTAACAAGTGATGATAGTCAAGTTTCTTGTGCCACAACAACATGGATCTACATTTTTTGATAATGTCTCCTAACAGTGGATTTTGATGATATTTTTCCCTGGCTTTTGGACTCTCCTCTCTGGGTGTTGATATCAGAACCAGAGAATGATCAAATGATTGATCACTGACGAGTTCAAGGATTGATTGTAGTCTCAGTTTGTGTTCCTCAGTGAAGTCTTCAGGCTGTAGAACCAGCAGGAACACATGAGGTCCAGGATCAGAGAGTCTCACACAGTTTTCTACATGTTCTGTCAGTTTGTGTTCAGAGATGTCACGATGCAGCAGATCTGGAGTGTTGATGAGAACTACTTCTTTCCCCTTCAACTGCACTCTTTCTCTCAGGAAGCAGTCTGGTTCTTCCTCAGTGTTGAACTTAGTCTCTCCCAGTATGAAGTTCCCCACTGAACTCCTCTCAGACCAGCTGTTCCCCAGCAGAACAACCCTCAGCTCAGACACTGAAAATTAAATTAGTTCAGTTATTTAAAAAAATAAAACTAAATCCATTTTTTGAGTTAGTAAATTATTTGAACAGTAACTTTATTATGTTATCAATTGAGTCGACTCCAAGTCTTCAAATTTATAACTGTGACTCTTTGTTTTTTTCCAGAATAAATTCCGCCCTACCAAAAATCTCATTGCCCTGTACTTCAAAATGAGACGCAATATCACCATATACAGATTAGAGAAGAGAGGAGTGGTATGAAAATGTTCGTATGCTAATCTGAGTCGTCTTCAGGTATTACCGTGTGCACTGTCCACTGGGAAAAAAGTACCTCCACCTTCTCTGCAGAATATTTTATCATTATAAAACAAACAATACATATATATATGTATACATATATATATATATATCTATAGCCCAGTTTTCTTAATAGTAATAATGGAAATAGAACATTTCCCTAAATTGCCTGCCTATCTTCACCAGAACAACCAACTAATATAAAAACAGGATTTAATTTCAGGGCTGCACAATTAACCGAAATATTATCCAAATCACAATATGGCCAAATGTATATGCAGATTGCTTGCAGACTTATAAGGATAATGGTCTAGACCTGCTCTATTTGAAAACTGTCCTGAGATAACTTCTGTTATGAATTGGCGCTATACAAATAAAAAAATTGAATTGAATTGAACTGCAGTAGCAAAGTATTTTTTGTTAAATGTGACAAACAGTATTATAATGAGGTACTGTAGTTCTGCAGAGATTACCTGGTCTACAAATCTTGTTCTCCAGATGTTTGTTTGGTACATCTGATATTTCTGAATATTTCATCATGATTTGAAACGTTTTTTTCAGTGAAAATTACATTTTTGATGCAAAACTAATCAGTGCCACATTAATTGTGAATCATATTGTAACATCTGTAAAAAATAATCACAATATGATGTTTTTATCAAATCGTGCAGCCCTACTCTAACCTCAAGGACCACACTTTTTCTTTAAAACAGTCACTCTGCTTTGTTTTTGCATTCACATACCATTCCCTACCACAGCTATACAGATGACAAAGCTAAGCAGTCTTTTTCTACACTGCTCCTCTGCACCCTGCACTGACTGCCTGTGGCTGCTTGCTGATTTAAGACACTGGAACTTGCCTACAATGCTGGGATGTTCAGGCCCATACATCCAGGTAGTGGTCGAACCATCCACCCCATCCCGTCCACTACACTGTGCTACTGCTGGTTCACGTGTTCACTACAAGGGGGACTCAACTACCACTCAACAATTCGTTGTTTGCTGTCCTGGCTCCACAGTGATGAAATGAGGACAGCAGAAACTGTTCAGACTGCATAAAAGCAATAATGTAAAGTAATAATGTATCATAACATATCAGGTGTCATTATGTGATTATAGAATTATTGCACTAATAATACAGGGATTTACTGTGTAGCATTTCTAAACTCTTCAGAGGATCACAGATGAAACACTGTAAACTCAAATATAATAAAACACAATAATTCTGACTCAGTTATATTCGACTCACTGTGCGGTGGCAGTTCTTCCATGCTCCCGCTGTGCATATGGGGTTGATGTTCATCTGCAACTATAAAGATACAGAAATATACACATTCACCCATTCATTCATTTTTTCTTCTTTGTGTAATCTCTAATGATAAGTGTTTTAAGAACTTCTCTACTCTTCATAATATTTCTACCTCGATCATAACTCAATGATCGAGGTAGAAATATAACAATGTTCAAAACTCTCCTTTTGAGTTTTGAACATTAAGTAACACCACAGAGACTGAACTATATCCCTCCAGCTAAAAGCTGCAGAGTTGATAATTCTTTGTGAATTCAGAACTGTAAGAGAGCCCTTTCACCTAATCAATAGTCATTTTATTGATTCTTTATATAAAAACACTGATTAGTGGAGCTTTAAATAAACAGTTTTTAGGAACACATTTAGGAAAATACTCTTAAATACACTCTTGCTGAGAGTTTGATGTTCAGATCGATATCACTCTCATGTCTGTACTATAAATATGAAGATACTACCAGCAGCCAATTAGCTTAGCTTAGCATAAAGAATGGAACTAAGGAGGAACAGCAAGCCTGGTTCTGTCCAAAAGTAACAAACCTACCAGCAGCTCTGAAGCTCCCTGGTTAACACGTCACGTTTGTTTAAACTGTACAAAAACAGAAGCTTACAAACATCACATTTATTGGACTATTTATATCCTATTGAAATTTGATTTGATTGTTAGATTGATTTTAACATTAAGACCAACTGATAAAGATTCTGACCTGATGTAACATGGTCTGACACTGGGAGGTTATCCAGTTCACTTTTTTACTTAAAGTTCTTGGTAAAAATGTGATTTTACTACGTGAGTATGTCTTACTTAATTCATGATAGATAAAAGGTTGTTGAAGAACTGTCATTCAGTTTGACTTACAGTTGGGACGGTCGAAGTCAGGGCTGCTGCTGCGCTGAGTATTTAAATCACCATCATCATTATCTATAAAAATACAGAAAATATATTATAGTTGGTCAGGGCTGACCAGATTTAAGGTCTGAAGTTAATATGTGGACAGAGAGAGAAGACAGTGTTTTATCCAGACTAATAAAGTGTGACTGGACTCACCTGGTGCTGCAGCCGCCATGATGTCAGTGTGCTGGAAACATCAGAGACTCATTCAACTGAAGACCAACTGCTGCTTTAACAACCTGAAGGAAGAAGAATTAGAATTGAAATGATCTTACTCATTCACACAGCAAAATGTTTGTACAGAGCAAACTGCAGAGTGTCAGTCAGCTTCACAACCTCAGTGGGGATTCAAACTAGCAACCTCTGATTACAGCTGACAACAATGTGAAAGCCTGTGAGAAAGAAAAACTCCCTAAAATGTAAGATTTATGGCTATTTAATGTGTGATGGTTTTTAGCCATACATTATAATGTATCCCAGGTGTAACAGATCTACAGATATAAATTAAGAATATAGCTGTTAGTTCAGTATGGCCTCTGAAGATAATGAACTAAACTCAGTAACTTTATGGTTATGTAACTTCTCTTTCTGGTTTTTCAGTTCAACAACGCCTACTGCAATCTAAAATGGCGACATATAAAGTTGATATTAAAGTGATAAAAACACAGACAACTTATCTCAGATTGATTCTCATAATTAAAGTTTTACAAAAACATCTGTACTTTAGAACAAACTGGAATGATATACATCTTTTTCTCCGCCTGAGTTTGTTTCTGTCCGTTGCCAATTAACCTGCAAATCTACATGAAATCATTTCTCTAAAGCTGACAGTGATTCTCTGTTTCTGTCTGTCGCTGTTTGAGTGAACAAACAAAGTATGATACTTGGATTATAACAAGCTATAAACACTTGAACATCCACCTGAGGACGAATGATCTTCCAGTAGTCTATATGTCAACTTACAGCCTCGTGCTGGTGAATATTCAGTTATGGATCTAGAATAATCTGTCAGATGATAGATAGACTACAATCGATGCGTTAGTAGTTTATTCTATTTCATTTTTCAAATGTACCTTTAGGCTGAAATCCGTCTGCCGTTCCGTCTCCTGACACAAAAGATTAGAAAGTGAAAGTAAAAAGTTTTCAGAGGGAAAATGTGCAAAGTGCTCAACAACCTCCTCATCCCTCCCTCCACAGTTCACTCTGCACAACTGTAATGCAAAAAAACATAATTAACTGTTACTTATTACCATAACCACTGTTAATTTATATTTTATTAATCACTGCTATATTTTACCATTAAGCTCAGAACTACTTTATCCTGTTAGTGTTTGTAATGTGGGCTGTGAACACACTCTTATTTGTGTGCCATGTGCGCCTTCTTGTGGATCCCCTGCAAAACATTTTCAGAAATTATGGTTCAGAATTATTATGGTATATAATCTGTATTTTTAACTCTAGAGGTGCTAGTATATTAGATAGTTAATTACAATTATTGGCAACTATGCACTAAATATAACATGCAAGAACTAACAAGAATACAATTCAATATATTTGACAACAATTCTCAAGTCAAAGCACACTTACTGTAGTGTATGTATTGATCATGCTGTAACAACTACAAAATAATCCTTCTTACAATTTTTGGTAGTATGAACATAAAAATAGGTCTTAAATATTATTCATAATGGTCTTAAAAAGTCTTAACACAAGGTCCATTCAGTAGATGTTCTGGTTGCTCCAGCTCTTCATAAGTTCTTCACTGAGTTTGAGTTTAAATCCTTCCTGTGTTCGCAGTAACTACCAGCTAGTTTCAGACTGGTTATTTACTAAATCAGGTTGCAGCAGTAAAACCTAAGGAATGTCCTTGTCTTTAGTAAATCGGTTGCTAGGAAACATCTGTTGCACTGTCCAATCAAAAGACATCAACTGTGGCAACAGGTCATCACTGTTCTTGAGCTCATAAGCTGTAATATAAGCTTCAAAAATAACATTTCAGGAGGCCAAAATAAACATTAAACTTAAAGCTGCAGTAGGTAACTTTTATAAAAAATACTTTTGGTCATATTTGTTGGATCTGTCACTCTATCCTGACAGTAGACCATGAGACAGATAATCTGTAAAAAAAAAAAAAAAAATCAGGATCCTCTGGATCATCCTATTGTTCATAAAGGTATTTACAAGAATCCACCAAGTCTAAAAGAAAACAACAAATTAAAAGAAAAATAGTTAATTGTTGAGTCTAATTTCCAGGTCACCAGAAACAAAAAGTTATTTTTATAAAAGTTCTTAAAAAATCATTTGTAAATCTGGATCTGACAATGTTTTATTCATCTTCATTCATGTAGAAATCTGCGTGATAAAAGTGAGTGGGAAATATCTGATGAAGCTAATAAACACTATTTGGTCATTTAATCTTCATTATCAGCGTTATGTTTTGTAATTTGATTTATATTGTGGGAACATTCTCAGAAAAATTTAATTTACAATTTGATCAGAATCAGAAATATTACAGGAGAGACAAGGAGACCATTTCACTGTCTCCACGTCCAGCAGGTGGCGCTGTAACATCAGCCACTGATTAAAGGAGCTTCACAGAAAGCGGCTTGTTGTAGTTTTATCATTTCATTTTTTATCTTTTTATTTTGTTAATGAGTCATTTGAATAATTTAAACCTTGTGAAATGATTGAGGGTGTTTGTGGTTGTGAACGGACTTAAATGTAATATTAGATATTAATGTTAAATATGGATTAATGACCTTCAGTTGTGTGATCAGCTATCGGCTGTACGCTGGAACAGAAACATTATCTGCAGTGATTTGTCATAATTCTAAAAAATCATAAACAGGCTGAAACATAGAGCACAAGGTGTATTTACAGACTGATGAAGTTCAGGTTTTATGTTTTATGAGCAATAAAGAGAGAAAGAAATGACCTTTGAATGTGAATGAATCCGTTTTTCTGCAGATATTCTGAGGAGAGGTTGTCATGGTGATAGTGAGGAAGACTTTTTAATAACCTGAATTTACCGATGTTAGAATATTACTTTTAAATAAAGCATGTCAATTAAAGTGTAAATGAGAAGAAACTAAATGTTTAAGAAGAATAACGCTGTAGGTCTAATGGTAAAATAAGAATCGTGTAAAAATAGTTTATGCAGCAGACATTTTTCCATTCTTGGACACACTGATTCTCTCTCAACGTTTGAAACACATCTGAAAACTGTTTGTTAACTTTCACTTTAGCTTCAGTCCTCAGGTTGATCTCTCTGATCCGCAGCAGAAGTTTCAGCTGGTGAGTAAACGACTAAAAGCACATTAATAGAAGTGATCCAGTGAACCCAGCAGCTCAATGCACTCTGTTCATATTGTTATTATATATATTGTTATTATCACAGTAACCTCACTCACTGATCTGAACACATTTTATTCACTCACTCATTAATCTGACAGAATAAACCGCACACACACTCACTTTACTTTGATAATGCGGAACAAACAGTCGGAAAGAGAACTGATGATTTACTGGTTTTAATTTAAAGGACGTATTTTCACACTGATTTAAACTAACAAATAATTAAAGTTTACGTTTTTTATTGTTCGATATCGAGTCGATAACAATCCGCCATTTTAGATGGTCAGTGCCTCAACAGAAGCAGGAAGAAGAAACTCTCATTAAAGTTACATTAATGCACTTTAAATCTGATTTAACTTTATTTCAGACACATATTATCTCAGAGTTTAACTTTTAAAAAACGGGTTTAGATCACACTGCTCTGTATGTTGATGTTTTTATTCTAATGATGATATTATGATGATTATGATGATGATGCTGATGATGATGATGATGATGGTGATGATGATGATGATGATGATGGTGATGTGATGATGATTATGATGATGATGATGATGTTGACATGTTACAGGACAGTTGGTGACACAGAGCAGCAACACTGACACAAGTAAGTATTCACTGTTTGTCCAAAGACATTAACTTTACACTTACTTAAAGGTCCAGTGTGAAACATTGAGGAGGCTCTATTGTCAGAAATGTAATATGTTGTTCATAGGTATGTTTTCATTGGTGTATAATCAGCTGAAAATAGGAATCATTGTGTTTTTGTTACCTTAAAAGAAGCGAGTCCTCTTCTATGGAGTCCACCATGTTTCTACAGTAGCCCAGAACTGACTAACACTGCCTGTAGATAGGGACTTTTCATTTATTCATGGCCAATTTATTTTCTTCGACACACTTGGAATGGGAAGGTGAGGCAAGGCTTTAATCTTAATCTCTTAATCAACTTCACTACAAGATGCCACTAAATCCTACACACTGGACCTTTAATTCTGGTTGTCTGTCAGTGAATAAGACAGTTCAGTGTCAGAGAACCTCAGTTGTATTTATTCTTCCCTGCAGCTGAATGAGTCTGATGTTTCCAGCAGAGTGACATCATGGCGACTGCAGCATCTGGTGAGTTCAATCAGACTTTATTAGTGTGGAAGATAACACACTGTCCACTGTCACTGTCCACATAATAACTTCAGACCTTAAATCAGGTCTGTGAGTTCTGAATGAAGCTCATGTGATTGGACGGCTTCATTTCAAAACACTAAATATGAACCAATAGAGTGTGACTCAGTGACAGAAGCAAGTGGTAGATGGTTTGTTACACAGAATCATCTGGGAAGGGCAGACACTTTCAAAAAAATACTCGAGTGGTTGCAGGTGATTGGATGAACCATCTGCCTACCAGGCCAACTGTAACCAATCAGATTAATGAACCATATAACATAGTCAAAATCTGGCTTACAGTGGTGGAAAATAAACTGACAAACTGGTGCTGTGATTTAACGTCAATAAACAATGAAAAATGTCTGAATTCATACTTTGTTTTCTGAACGCAGTATGGTTTATCAGGGCTGTGTTAACTTAGTTCATAGTAAGGTGAAATGATAGCTGGAATCAGCTTCCTCTCTTTCTCCAACAATCTCCTTTTTTGGTCTGCTCTCTGTATAGAGGGGTTACCTCCGTGGTTCTAGTGAGGATAAATCCACTTTGTAATAAATAAAAAAACCTTCTTTCTCTTATTTTGTTTTGTATGCCTGGCCCCAATACTCCATCGCACATTTATCCATTTGTTGAATAATTGTTTTTTGAAAACTGTGGCAGTCACTTAAGAAGAGAGTGCAGTTAAATGAGAACGGTAATGTGTTGCATGCTAGTTGAATCATACAGTTGTTTTACCGTGATTATGGCATCTTTAGATAGTGTATCAGTAACTGTGGTTAAGCTACCTTACTGTGGGGCGCCCTAATAGCTCACCTGGTAGAACTGGTGCCCCGTGTACCAAGCTGGTGCCCCACATAAAAATGCATCATTTATGGGTGTGTTGCATTTTGATGAACTTGAAAGGAAAGAAACATTGTTAAAAGCCAAATTGATCATGAATAATGATTTCATTAATGATGAATGGTTGAGACATAGTATAAGTAGTGATAAAAGTTAACAGTAGGTCATTAAAATGAAACTGCATGAAATGGCAGCAGGACATGCAGGAGTCCCACAGCATTTTCCTGCATTAATTGAAGCTATTAGTAGAATTTCCAGAGGAGGACCACACCTCAATTATCTCTCTTCCGGCAATCTGTCTCGCCCTCTCTTCCCCTTTCGCTCTTGTATTCTACGCCAGAACAGAGACAAAGCAAAGTCGCCTTGAGCATGCTAAGCTACCAATTCATCTAGCTACTTTATTCATTCATTGACTCCTCATCTGAGTATCTGAGGAAGTGGTGGAGAAGAACTCTCTGCGAGCCGTCCAGCAAACCTCTACACCATCTCCTCCATGGTCCGTATGCCACCTGGTTAATCATTCTTCAACATACAAAAGCATTATAATTATTCTGATGATTTCTCTGATGATGTGTCCAGCCCAGCTCCTCCATCAGAAAAGGGAGGAAGATCTTCCTGTAGCTGTCGCTTCACTTCATCTCCAAGGAGGCACCTAACAAAGCGCAGTCACAGTGACATCAGTGCCCCTGTTAAAGGTGCAGCTCACTCATATCCTCGAGCACAAAGACAGTAAGCCAGTAACAAAATAGAAAAAGAGTCATCAGCCTAAAAAAGGGCTTCAGCAAAAATTTCCCGTCAACATTTTCGGTTACCTTCAGATGGGGTAACTAACACTGGATTTCCAGGCCCCTCTACCTCTTAGGCAACTGGGATTTCCATCCACCAACCACAGCAGCTAGCTTCAGTAAATGGTAATGGACAACTCAAAGCGCTTTCACACTATGTGCCACATTCACCCTTTCACACACGTTCAGCCCATCAAACATAAACTAATGCTTTCATACACTGATGCGTGGCATTGGGAGCAATTTGGGATTCAGTATCTTGCTCAAGGATACTTCGACATGTGGCACCAGGAGCTAGGGATCGAACCAATGACCTTCCGATTAGGGGACGACCCTCTCTGCCTCTGCGCCACAGCCACCCCTTCAGTAGGGGCTTTTGACACTGGGATGCCAGCACCCATTGCTGCCCACTTCTGCCAAACAAAGCATCTGTCTTCTGTAGGGGCTTTGCCAGGATCTTCCGTCCTGCACCCCCAACAATTCCAGCAGCCCATATCAACTGATGCCAGAACCAATCTTTCTTCCATAGCCCTTGCAGCAGCACTTCAAAAATAATCCTGATTCAGCTTTCAATCAGGTCCTCATCAAGGGGTTCAGATAAAACCTTCACCTTGGAATATCCACAAACATACAAAAATTCTTGAGTCCACCAATAACAACCAAGAGTCCATCGATCACCTGATCCACCATTAACAATGCCATAGCCCTCATCAAACTCGTCAGAAAGGGTCGGGGCTCTCAAAATCACCAGTGCTTTCAAGGTTCTCCCCATCCACCATGACTTCTGGTGATTCTTCTGCTGGATCTTGTCTAACCATATGATTTCATATCTTGACCATCTTTTTTTGCACAATTTCCTTATAATTTCCCCTCCCATATCACCACCCGCTTTAGATCTGGTCATTCTGACTTCTCTGACCTTCCACTGTGCTGAGAAAACAGAGAGCCCATTCACATCCCTTGAGTTGCTGGCAATCACTCTTGACACAAATATGTTCTATGTGTCTTCTGTGTCTTCACTCCCAATCAAAAAGCTCTATTGCATCAGCCTTTTGATGTCCAATTTCCTGTTGTGTTCCTGTTGGTTCTACAACCCGAAGACTTCACTGAGGAACACAAACTGAGGCTCTGCAGAGTCCTTGAAAAGTTCAGAGCTGTTAACACACTTGGGTCAAATTATGCAGGAGAATAATGGAGAATGTGTCAGCTGTGATGTATATGAGGACTCAACAGCTACTTTAGCAGGTGATCATCAAAGTCTAAAACAAAAGGAAAGAGATGTTGTTATATCTGCTGGTAAGTGCATAAACTATTCCGAAATTGAAAAGATTGTTGCATCTTTTCTTCTTTCTTTCTTTTTGTGCAGGATTACAACCCACTCATTGTGTTGTAATCCAACTCAAACTGTTAAACCATTTAAGTTTATTAACCCAAACTAGGGTTAACCCTAAATATTTGATTTGAGTAGAAGTATTTGTTAAGATAACCTGGTTAAAATAAGTTAATTGTACTAATTCCATTCAGTAAATTAAACTTAAAACTAATAAGTATATCACAGTCAAATAGTCAGCAATTATCAACTGATTTGACTTTTTAAAATGTATCTGAATAAAGTAAAACACATTCTTTATATAAATGTTACCAATTAAGTTGAAATTACTCCTTTAATTATTATATTAACTAAATATAAACATATTTTAGACAATTAAAACTAAAAATGAAACAAGCAAACCCACTCTGGAAATGGACTGAAATTAAACTGAACTGAAAGCAAACAAAACAAAACAATAATAACTCATACATTTCCATCCTTCACATCCACTACTCTGTTCAGACAAAACTGTCTTTTAATGGCACTGATCACTACAATACAATCATTTTGTTTTCATTTCATTTCAACTGGATGTTTCTGAATGCTGATACATCTTTTTTAAACGAAATTTCTTATTCTAATTTGATTGATTGTGAATGATACAATGACACATCAGTTTCAGTTTATGACATTTGACCTTTCTCTCTGTTGTATTACAGCATCTGGACTCAGGATTGTGCTCTTGGGAAAAAGTGAGGACAAACAGACAAAACTTGGGAATTACATCATTGGGAACCAAACTTTCCATTACCAAAAACTGTCCCCTATTGCACGATGTGTGATGGCCAATGGAGAGTGGAGAGTAAAACCATTAATAGTGGTGAAAACTCCCAACATCTTCAGTCTGTCTGTGGAGAACGTGAGAAGAGAGATGAAGAACTGTGTGACTCTGTGTCCTCCTGGACCAAATGTTCTTCTGCTGTTAGTGAAACCTTCTGATTTCACTGAGGAGAACAGACAAACGCTGAAGTTCATCCTGAGTTTGTTTGGTCAAGATGCTTTAAAACACTCAATGGTCATCATGACACATGAAGATGATAAAAGTAACATTGTAAATCAGCTTTTCACAGACTGTGGAGGAAGACAGTACAACATGGTTGAAGACAACCACACATTTTTAATGGAGAAGATTGAGAACATTGTGCATGAAAACAAAGGAACCTTCCTCACCTTCACTGAAGAGACCATAAGACCAAAGTCTGAACTCATCAAACCAGCTTTAAACCTGGTTCTGTGTGGGAGGAGAGGAGCAGGGAAGACTTCAGCAGCCAAGGCCATTTTAGGTCAGACAGAGTTTAATTTAGTCTCCAACTCATCAGAGTGTGTTAAACATCAGGGAGAGGTGTGTGGACGTTGGGTTTCCCTGGTGGAGCTTCCTGCCTTATATGGAAGACCTCAGAAGGCAGTGATGGAGGAATCATTCAGGAATATCTCCCTCTGTGATCCGGAGGGCGTCCATGCCTTCATCCTGGTCCTACCTGTAGGTTCCCCTCACTGATGAAGACAAGAGAGAGTTAGGGACCATCCAGAACACATTCAGCTCTCGAGTCAATGACATCACCATCATTCTGTTCCCTGTGGACTCAGATCCTACAGCTCCAGCTGTTGTTAACTTTGTGAAAGAAAACAGAGACATCCAGGAGCTCCGTCAGAGCTGTGGAGGAAGATATGTTGTTCTCAACATCAAGGACAAGCAGCAGATCCCAGAACTGTTGGACATGGTGGAACAAAATACTAAAAATAAACCACACTGCTACACAACTGAAACATTTGCATTTGCCCAAATGGATAAAGTCATACAACTTGAGAGGCTGATAAAGAAGAACAAGATCACTGGTAAGTACTTTGATTTTAAACTTTATTTTCTGTTCTCTGTAAAACATGTTCTACATTTCAGTCTTGATCCTGTAATATAATTACTGTGAATATTTAAATCAACTCCTGGTCTTTATATTTCACAGGTGATGATGAAGAATGGAGTCCAGAGTGTCTCAGGATTGTGCTGATAGGGAAGACTGGCTGTGGAAAGAGCTCTTCAGGAAACACCATTCTAGGAAGTAAAGAGTTTGAAGCCAAATCAGCCCAAACATCAGTCACTAAACACTGTCAGAAAGAACAGAGTGAAGTCGATGGTCGTCAGGTGGTTGTGGTCGACACTCCTGGTCTGTTTGACACAGCTTTGTCTCATGAAGAGGTTCATGAGGAGATGGTGAAATGCATCAGTCGTCTGGCTCCAGGACCACATGTCTTCCTGTTGGTGTTACACATTGGCAGATTTACACCAGAGGAGAAGGAGACATTAAAACTCATCAAGGAAAGCTTCGGGAAGAATTCTGAGAAGTTTACCATCATTCTTTTAACTGGAGGAGATTCACTGGAACATGAGGAGCTATCGATCGATGAGTACATTGAAGAGAGATGTGATGATTCCTTTAAGAAGCTGATCTCTGACTGTGGAGGAAGATACCATGTGTTTAATAACCGAGATAAACACAACCGCACACAGGTCAGTGAGCTGATAACCAAGATTGACACCATGGTGAAGAAAAATGGAGGCAGCTGCTACACTAACGAGCTGCTGCAAGAGGCAGAAGCTTCAATAAAGAAAGAAATGGAGAGAATCCTGAAGGAGAAGGAAGAAGAGATGGAGAGAGAGAGGGAGGAGCTTCAAAGAAAACATGAGGAAGAAATGGAAGAAATGAAAAGACGAATGGAAGAACAGAGAGCAGAAACTGAAAAGGAGAGAAAACTGAGAGAAAAACAACTTAAAGAAAAGGAGGAAAACATCAAAAAAGAACGTGAGGAGAGAAAGAAAGAACAGGAAATGAGAGAAGAAGAAGACAGGAAGAGAAAACAACAGGAAGAAATTCAACGACAGGAGTGGAAACAGAAAGTTGAAGATTTGGAGGAAAAAATAAAATCAGAGTCAGAATCAAAGGAAACCATTGATAGAAAGCTGGAGGAGAGCAGAGAAGAGATGAGAAAAGAACGAGAGAACTGGGAGAAACAACAAAAAGAATGGTGGGAAAAACAAAATCAAGAAAATGAAAAGAAAAAACAGGAGGAACAAACAAAACTTAGAAAACTTCAAGAAGACTATGAACAGGAAAGAGAAAAATATGAAAAGAAAAGAAAAAAAGAGGATCGAATCAGAAGAGAACAAGAGGAAAAAGAAAAAGAAGAACAGAGAGCAGAAATTGAAAAGGAGAGAAAAATGATCGAAAAACAACTTAAAGAAAAGGAGGAAAACATCAAAAAAGAACGTGAGGAGAGAAAGAAAGAACAGGAAATGAGAGAAGAAGAAGACAGGAAGAGAAAACAACAGGAAGAAATTCAACGACAGGAGTGGAAACAGAAAGTTGAAGATTTGGAGGAAAAAATAAAATCAGAGTCAGAATCAAAGGAAACCATTGATAGAAAGCTGGAGGAGAGCAGAGAAGAGATGAGAAAAGAACGAGAGAACTGGGAGAAACAACAAAAACAATGGTGGGAAAAACAAAATCAGGAAAATGAACAGAGACAACAGGAGGAAGAAACGAAACTGAAAAAGCTTCAAGAAGAATACGAACAGGAAAGAGAAAATCATGAAAAGAAAAGAGAAGAAGAGGATCGAATCAGAAGAGAAAAAGAGGAAAAAGAGAAAAAAGACATTGAGGAGAACTATAAGAAAAAACTGGAGAATCTGAAGAAGACACATGAAGAAGAAGCCAGAGAGAAAGCTGAAGAGTTCAATGAATTCAAAGAGAAATACAAAAAGGAATCTGCAGCTCTGAAGGAAGAACATGAGAAACAAATGAAAGACAAAGATCAACAATATAATATCTTAGAGGCTCTTAAAGTCCACAATGAAGAACAGATGAAGAAGAAACATCAAGAGGAAATGTGTGAAATAGTGAAATGTGTGACCAAAAAGAAAGAAAACATGAAAAAAATTAAAGACTTACTGAAGAAACATGAAAAAGAAATGAAAAAGGAAGAAAATGAAGAGGAACAGAAAAAGCTACAACAAGAACATGAAAATCAAATAAATGACTTGATACAGGAACTGATCAATCAAGGCAACGCATCAAGCTGTCACATTTTATGAGGAGATTTGTTTGAAGCAGGGAGAGAGGCTAACCAGGACTCATATGATCTTGTCTTCTTGTTTCAGCTCAAAGCCGAGCAGCCGTGTTCTTTGTAGCTTTACCTTGAATACAGAGAATTAGTCTCGATCAGGCAAAGAGATCCTCAGTGATCCACAGTGTCAGATACAGCACTTAAATCCAGGAATTGATATATTCACAAAATAATTGAACTGTAAACGGTTCTCTCTAAATCTTTAGATAAAAATTGCCATTTAGAAATGATTCTACAATGTTTTAATTTGGTAGGGTCAAGGTTTGATTTTTTTAAGAAGCTGTTGCACGATGGCGAGCTATTTACAATTGATAAAATTGTTGGACCAACACTTTTGAAAACCTCCTTTAGAAATCATCACGTCTAAAGGACTCGATGTAGGCTTTCATTTTTCCAATGTGTTCTTTAATGTGCAGAGTGTGAGAGGTTGGAAGTTGCTGAAAGAGGCAGAAGGATTGCAGTGTGCAGAGAGAGGGTCACCTGTTGCATGACCAATCGGGAGCTTTATTTTCTTTAATGATGAAGGACAAATACTGCTCACAGATCACTGGGGTGGCTTCAGTTAGTTGATCAGGGGGGGTTAATTACAGCTTCAATGGTTTTTAAAGTTACGCTGGTTTGTTGTAATGAATTGAAAGGACCTGGTGTCTCATACTGCTTTATGATATGTTGACATAAGTTCTTTACATGGTTCGATGTTAAACCACTAGACGGTCATTTTTCCATTTCTACTTCGCCTGTCTGCATTTCTTCTTTATTTCTCTCATATTATTATCTATCCTAGACTGTGGTTTGATTTAACTTTACTGTTGGAGTTGGTTAGAAATTATTCTGTAGACATATTTGTTTTTTGGTTATTGCTATGTGTAGATGCAGTGGTGAAGGTCTAACTAATACAAACAGGCATCAAAAGTAATTCTTTCTTAGTAGTACTTTTAGAGACTGCCTGTGCCTGGAACATAACAGACATCAATCTGTGACTGTAATGCCAGACAAACAGGAAGGTTGTGGTTTGTGTTATTGCATTCAGAGAGGATGTTTTCAGTCTCAGCAGCTTGTCGATCGCAGTGAGAACACAGCCTGTCTTCTGTTGGCAGCCATGTTAGTCTGAGTCTTCCTGTTTCAGTGTTCAGGCTGTGCTCACTGAGTCTGTACATTGTTCATGTTTTCAGCTTTTATCAGCTGTAGTGCTCAGATACAGGGACAGTGTGGAGTCTTGTTTTATACTGGCATTTTGTATGATTTATTTTTCATGTGTGGTTTCCCTTACTGAACATGGTTTGTCATATGACTTTGACTGTCAACACAAATGTGACTACTTGCTAACAGATATAAGAAACAACCCAAATGCAACCATTTTGTATTTGCCCTGATGAAGATTGAAGTTTTCTTAACTGTTACTCTGAGTAAATAGTCATGATATATTAAAGGCCTTTTAAATCACTACCCTCTTGAGTGCCTCCGATTTTTTCAATAGTTTTAAACTAGTAGGATCCCCTAACTGAAGATCACCAAAGGAACACCCTTTTTTTTTAACACCCAAGCAGAACTTCATGCAGTTTGTTTAGTGACTTCTCATAAAAATAAATCTCCCAAGTAGTTCTGAAGTAGCATTGTTAGAGACTGGCCCTACTTGGCACATAATATTGATCAATATGTGACTGTAATACCAGACAAACAGGAAGTTGTGGTTTGTGTTTTGTGCTCGGGGAGGAAGTAAAGTTCTGTCTCAACAGCTTGTAGATCACAGTGAGAGCACAGCCTGTCTTCTGTTGGCAGCACATCTTGTTTTTGGATGCAGTCAAATCAGACATGTTTAAAAGCTGTTGTAGGTCTGGGACAGTGCAGGGTGAGGTCAAAACTCGTCTCTGATCAGAGTGGTGTGTTGAGTGGATTCCTCACTGACTTGAGTTTGTCATAAGAACCACTGTTTTTGTTTGTATAATCAATGTGTATATAGAAATATCCTAATGTCATCAAACTGGCTGTTAATACAGAATATCTGTCAAAGTTTCAACAATTGTCCAACCTGTAACAATAGAATAACCAAAAACTTGTTATAATTAAATATATTGATGTTTTTTCCTTTGCTTTTTGCACTTCGCTGATATCCCCCTCTGGATCAGCTAAAGTGTAGATATTCAGTATTTTTGAGTTGGACTCCTTAAATGATAAAATTATGATTTCAGTCTTGTCTGTCTAGTGATTAATAAAACTTTTAACAGCTAAATAACTCACTGACTCTGTACATCATCAAACATCTGGTCTATAAAATGATTGTTGATTCTGTACATTCAGGATCTTTTCTGTTTTCTACAAAGTTTCGTCAAGAAAGCATTATATTGTAGAGATTGTAGAATTTGTATTATTTTCACATTAAATAACAGTTTCTCTGTTACATGTCCAATAAGAATAGATGCTTTATAGCTGATGACATCAACTTAAGACAGAATTCAGATGAATCTTTAATTGTATGTTCTGTGTTTGATCTTTGTTTTCTGTGTTTATCATTATAAAAGATGAATAAAGTGTTTCCCTGTAGTTCAGTGTGACTCTTGTTAAGTGCTGAAGTCAAACAGACTCTCCACACTGATAAACTGATGAAACAGAGCAGAGCTCAAAGGGGACACTCCTGGAGTAGGTGGGTTCTATCTGAAATATTTCCCTGATCTTAGGATTCTACTGTTATTGGGATACTGTCACAGTATTATACTATGTGTAGTTGACCATTTTACATTAAACGTACACAAGAAAATCATGTTTCTCTGGCTCCTCCTAGTGCTCATAAAGGCAAAGGCAAGCTAGTTTATTGTTCCAGGTTAAATAGAGACACATTGGTACCCAAAAGCAAAAACATTTCACAGATTAGCAGCCTGTTGACAGACGTGAGAGCTCTGGAAGCGTTGTTTCATTTGTCAGGTCAGTTTGTGAAGTTATATAAAATGTGTATTATTTAATTCACCAATAGTTTATTTTAACTCTAATACAACACCACAAAATTACCTCATTTGACATTTTACGGGGTTTCTAATGTTCTGGGGCCTCATGTATAAACGGTGCACACGCATTTGAAAGATACCACACAAAATTGGTAGTACTGAATCACTTTCTAGAGATATCAGTACAAAAGAGATGATGTTCCAAAAAGAATGATAAGTAGAAGAAAAAAAACAGCAATCGCACAATTAGTGAAAAATTATTGGACTTCACTCAAATGTATGAAATAAAGTTCATATTAATAATATCATTATTGTTACTATTACATGCATCTTATCCTCTGACCTGTATCACTGACCTATACCCTGTATTTAGAAAAAATAAACAATAGTGTGAATGCTGAGAAGATGCAGTGTGAATGCTAGGAAAAATATGAATCAAATATCTACAGCACTGACCTATATAACAATAATAGTTCCTATTATTTGAATCAAATAAGTAGTACAGACCACCCACCTGCAAATGGGCATAGCCTATATCAGTACAATCAGCATCATCCAACAAACCCACTGCAAAAAAATGTTTATGTGTGCTCCTATTTCCTTGCAGCAATCACACAATGAGTGTCAAATTATTCAACTTGACAAAAAGATGATGTTAATATCATAATTGTTGCTACTATATGAATCAAATGGACTGTACAAACCTATGCCCTGTATCTACAGCATCAACAGCTGCCCTGTATCTATAATACTGATTGTTGCCTTGTATCTACAGCACTGAATATATTGAATTTATTTGTAAGCGCTTTTCTAAATACACAAAGACACTTTACATAAAAACATAAAAGCAGCAAAACAACATCAAATAGTAAAACACTAAAAACACATCAGACTAAGCTAAACATTAAAAACAAAGGTGAGTTTTTGTCATTGATTTGAAGGCTGGAAGGTCGGTACAGTCAGGGATGTGTTTGGGGAGCGAGGTCCAGAGGGAATGGGCAGCTACAGAGAAGGCTCTGTCACCCCAGGTTAAACATTTGAGGAACAATAGTGTGGATGCTAATATTTAAAATGCATTTCTGTAAATGCAGAAACTTGAAATGAATTGTGTGAAAAATCTGAAAGCTAACTTGCATTTATACTGCACTGCTAATAAAGATAGCTGAAATGTAAAAGCAGAAGTGACATACATTACAGAAAGCAGCTAAGAGTTATATAGAAGTACCTTAACATTGCTCACTTGAGTCCTGAACCATCCCTTAGTTCTTTCTGCACATTCATGTCCCATTAATGCAAACCTACATACAGTCATAATAAACACAAACTACACAGTCATAATAAACACAAACTATATACAGTCATAATAAACACAAACTATATACAGTCATAATAAACACAAACTATATACAGTCATAATAAACACAAACTATACAGTCATAATAAACAAACTATATACAGTCATAATAAACACAAACTATACAGTCATAATAAACACAAACTATATACAGTCATAATAAACACAAACTATACAGTCATAATAAACAAACTATATACAGTCATAATAAACACAAACTATACAGTCATAATAAACAAACTATATTCAGTCATAATAAACACAAACTATACAGTCATAATAAACACAAACTACACAGTCATAATAAACAAACTATATACGTAATATCTTCATGTGAACTTCTTTCATTTTATGTGAAATGAGGAATTTGTTAGAGTCTAACCAAATGTTCTCTGCCAAGACTTCAGGGAAGTTTAGTTTCCATAAAAGAGTTGATATGGGAGAATTATCCCCGCTGAGAACTGCTCCTTTAAACGGCTCTCAGAGCGCTGATAACAACAGGAATCAGAGGTCTGGCTGTTGTACTGTGAGTGTTTACTATCATATTACAGCTTATTCAAACTGCACAACTCTACAGTCAACATGCTTTTATATTCAAGTGATAAAAATGTGCTTAATTTTCACATTTGTTTGAGCTTTCTTCCTATTTTCTGCCTTTATTTCAGCTGCAGTTCCATAAAGTCACCAGCAGGTGTCAGCCTATGAGCAGTGTATGGAGGAGGGTGCTGTTGTAGTCTGAACATTGACAGTATGCTGTATATTACAGTCTGATGCACATTAATAACACACATTATTTATACCGCCTGCTGTAGGTGCATTTATGTTCCTTCATGTCAGCTGTTGTATTCTTTAACAATAAATCAGACAGAAAACTCTCCATTATGTTTCTGGCTTTGTGAGGAAATCACATAAAAACCAGATTCTATTCATAAAATCTGACAATTTACAAAATCACCCTCTCAGACCCAAAAATAAAGAGTTTTTCTTTTTAAATCGGGGGTTTAGAGACAGGAAGATAAATTGGGCAACAACTGAAACACCTCTGAGCTCTAATGTATCTGTTTATCTTGTCATCCTGTATGTCTTTCTGTATTAAACCCTTCTTCAGTATCAAGTTGTTTCTTCCTGGGACTCTTTAGTGGACAGCTGATATGTTATTATTGATTCTTTATGCCTATTTGTAATTGATATTCAAAAGACATATTAAATATATTAAAAAGATATGATCACAAATGTTCATCACACAGCTCACAACCATCATTGAACCATCTTGTTGTCAGTGTTTACAGTTTATACACATATCTAACCAAGTCAGCACCGTTGCAATGTTCAGGCCTCTGTAGTCGATGATATTGACTGCAGACTTCACCTAAAATACATGTTTTGATTATGGGGAAACCCACACAGACATGGGTTAAACATTTAAACTCAGAAAGGTCCTGCCGGGATTTGAACCCAGGACCTTCTTGCTGTGAGGCTAACCACTGAGACTCTGTGACCATGACAAGAGAGAACTGTCCCAGGAGGTGGTGTTGGGCAGCAAAGGCTTAAATCGTATGACTGTGAGCTCTGTATAGAAACTGATTCTCTGTGTTTGACCTTCGTCCCAAGAACTGGGAGCAGTGGGCAGCCACTCAGCTAGGCCCTGCTTTAGTCCACACCCAGTGTCTCCTCTTCATCTGGGAAGCTTTATGAAGGAATTTCAGGGGAAGATCCTGTGAGCAGGCTTCGACTCGTATTAGTCAACTACGTCTTCCTACCACTGCCATATTCCCTACTGGTACTGGTAACAGGTGAAGCACATTAGATCATAAAGGAGAACACTGTAGAGAGTTAGGAGCTGCTGTAGCTCAGTACGAGCAATCAAGTTGTTTTTAACATCTATATTCAACTTTCTCAATTATTAATGGTTTCATTTTATGACTTGTAGATAATCCAATCAGCCGACGTTGTCCATAAAACATGTTGAATTAAAGCTTTGAACACGGAATTGGTGAGTGCTGGTTCCCCTATCCTTGTTAGCCTAATGCTACGCCTCAGCTCTGTATTGAATCACCTGTTACGGTCCCCTTTAATCATGCAGCGGTGACTTTGCATAATATATTATTAGAGTGTTTAATTATATTGCTAAGCAACTAACTGTTAAATTACATTACTGTTAATATTAATTACTGTTAAATACAGTGTGGGGCTAAGCATAGTGTACAGTGAAGTGATGTTCACACAACTTCTTGGTAACATCCAGTAGACTTCTGTGCGAGATATTAAAGCAGCAGTATAAATGATTGAATTAATGTAATAACTGTATTTATGACTTTTTTATACTTTTTGAAGTATAGAATATACACTTAGAGTTACTGGTTGTTAAAGCCTCTTCTGGCCCTGTCTGCTTATACAGGCCAGGTTTCCAGAGTGGAAAAGATGGCGTGCTAATCAAACCGAAGAACCAGGATTCAACTTTCCTTAGAACCAAGATTTTCATATTTTGAGTTGTGTTGTGTGTATTCAATATCTGAAGTGGAATTTGTGTTGTATGGCTCAAAATAAGTTTTATGATTTACCACATCTCTGTGAAGCAAGTGGAGAGGGATGTCCCTCTAATACAACAAAAAAACGGTTTGGGCAACAATGTCCTCTCAGTGTACAAAAACCTGTATATGTGTGTGTTTGTCTGTGTTTGTGTGAACTAACCTGTTTTCTGTAAGATTTTTCTAAAATGGAGGACTTAATATAAAACATATACAATCTGCAGCCTGGGTTGAAACTAACAATGCAAATCTTTGAGTTAACTTTGACTTTATTGTAATGTTAATTAAAGTTATATAAATCCTCTTTCTGGTTCTGTTTAAATGTTAATGAAACAATAAATATATCTTTGTCAAAATCTAATAGAAACAATTGAGAATAAAAAGCTCTGATAAATGAGTATCTCTTCAAACATTTGTCTCTGAGTTGAACTCATATTCACACAGTATGTATTCAGTACTGAAATATCTGAACAGGGTGTGTATTGAGGAAACAAAATGTCAGGTAAAATACTTTCTGTTCTTCCTCTTATCTAAAATATATATTAGATATCAGTGTTTCCCATTAATTACTGGGACTTAGGCGGCCCGCCATGGTCTAATTTGTCCCGCCACAGTCTCAGAATGAACCGAAAAAAATTCTTACACTTCTCATAATAACATAAAAGATCTGTAACTTGTGTTTTGCGCCGCTGCTTCAGCAAAGCATCTCTCACTCCCAGTCAGTTGGCTCTGCCCCTCCCCCCCGTTGCTGTACACGGCGCGCGCACACTCATACACACACACACACACACACACACACACACACACACACACACACACACACACTCATACACACACACACACACACACACACACACACACACACACACACACATACACACACTCATACACACACACACACATACACACACACACACACACACACACACATACACACACTCATACACACACACACACACACACACACACACACACACACACACACACACACACACACACACACACATACACACACACACACACACACACACACACATACACACACTCATACACACACTCATCACACACACACACATACACACACACACACACACACACACACATACACACACTCATACACACACACACGCACGCACATACACACACTCATACACACACACGCACGCACATACACACACTCATACACACACACGCACGCACACTGGAATATAACGTTACCTGACAGCATCCAAGACGTCAAGGCATTTTAGGACACGACATCGTTTGAGGTAAGAAACGTTAACAAACTTTACAGTATCTACTAGTTCAAACACAATTTTATCCTGATCAATGTACGATAGCAAACATATAATATACTGCAAAAGTTTATCATTGATAATTAGCGTTATCGTTCGTTAGCTAGCGATGTTAGCTGTCAGTCTCGATTATCTCAAATGATATTTCCGGCTGCTTGCCTTGAAAAAGTATGTAACGTTATATCTAGCTAGCTAACGTTAGCTAATTATCTAATGTTATTACCAGAGACGGTTCAGAAGGATAAATGTATATAGAGAATCTTTGTTATTACCAGAGGCTCTGACAGCGTAAGTTAACTTAACATTTACAAGGCGTAGCGGACGAGAGCCCCGCGAGCCTTGTAACTAACGTATTTTCAGTAAAACTCTCATAAAAAAGACTCATAGAGGGACAGACTTTGAGAGAGCAGGGCAGGTAGTTCACATAGGGACAGCAGGGGAGACGGCCTCCCCTGAGGGAGGGACAGCAGGTGAGTTCAACAGCAGAGAAAGGGGCAGTAGGTCAGAGTAGTTTCATATAACTATGTTGCTGAGATACGTGTGCCAAACATTTAACCCATTGCACTTACATGATACACTAACCCCCCTAGCGAGTCCGGTAAATGATGGACCCCAAAAATATATTTTTAATTATTATTATATATATAATAATATAATATATATATATATTATTTTATTATTATTTTTACTGTTCTGGAGATACAAATTGAACCAGGCAGGTGTAACTGATAAAGTGTGTCCATGTTTTACATCATTATACAATATTGTACAATATCTTTATACAGCGTACATGTTGGTCTACTCTATGACATATTTCAGATGATACAGGCATTAACATTAACTGTGGTGGGCAAAATAAAGAGTTCATTATTACTCAGATACCAACAGACTTCCAACAGGTATATGACACCTGAAGGTGGAGCTCCATCTGCTAGACACTGACATGCAAACACACAAGAGAGGTGCAGAGCAGAAGAGTCTGTTTGACTTCAGCATTTAACAAGAGTCAGAGTGAACTACAGGGAAACACTTTATTCATCTTTTATAATGATAAACACAGAAACCAAAGATCAAACACAGAACATACAATTAAAGATTCATCTGAATTCTGTCTTAAGTTGATGTCATCAGTTATAAAGCATCTATTCTTATTGGACATGTAACAAAACAGAGAAACATCAAAGCATTCATTGTCTATAAAGTCATTCTTTATCATTCTGATTCATCTGATGAGCAGTTTAAATGATATTCAGCTTGGATTCATATTTAATATTTGCTGTGATATTTGTGATTTGGGTGTTGCAGAGAAAACAGAGTGAATGACATCTAAACATTTCATTTCACTCACAAACATCATTTTCTTTCTCATATTCAAAAGAAAACAAAGATCATCTCTAATGACCAAACAGAGCTTCCAGCTGCTGAAGTCTTTACTGAGCTGTTGTCTGGTTTTAATCCGTCAGTAATTACACACATACAGTTTTGTACAATGAACAATGAATACAACAGAAACAATAAAAAGTAAAACTCTAAAAAAGTAAAAGTCGATTTAAAAATAAACACCAGGGAGACAAATAATGTAAAAACTGATGATTAAAATCTAAAAACTAAGACTATAACATTACTCCAAAGAACTGGTATCATCTGACCCACAGTGACTGCTGCTGTGTTTCTGTTCAATGTTGAGATCATTCACTTCAGTTGTGAATCTCTTCAATAAAGTTGTAATCAGTTAAAACTCGTCTGAGATCAGCTGTGAGGTTTCTGCACCTCCACATCAACATGATCACAGTCTGAGACAAACATGAAGAGATTCTTTATATTCTGCACTCGGCTTTAGTTTCACTTACTGCTGATAAAGCCTGCAGCGTCACTACTGTTGCTATGGTGACCTGCTGATGAAGCCTGCAGCATCACTACTGTTGCTATGGTGACCTGCTGATGAAGCCTGCAGCATCACTACTGTTGCTATGGTGACCTGCTGATGAAGCCTGCAGCATCAATACAGTTGCTATGGTTACCTGCTGATGAAGCCTGCAGCATCACTACTGTTGCTATGGTTACCTGCAGTTGAATATTGTACAGGCTGCTGATTCAGACACCAGACAGCCAATGAGAAGTATTTCTGTGACCATGCTTTACATTACAGTGTAGTCCACTGCTGAATATTACTATGGAATATTTCCTTCTTTAAAGTTTCACTGATTGAAACTAAATGAAAGTAGAAAAAAGGAAACTTCTAAAACTGATCTGTTGTTGTGACGTTTACATAAAAAAAATCTCATAAAATGTGACAGCTTGATGTGTCAACTTGTGTCATCACTTCCTGTATCAACTCATTTATTTCTATTTCATGTTTTTGTTGCAACTTCTGCTTTATTTCTTCATTTTGTTCTCTCTTCGTTTCTTTTTTGTGTTTTTTCAGTAAGTCTTTGATTTTTTTCATATTTTCTTTCTTTTTGGTCACACATTTCACTAAGTCACACATTTCCTCTTGATGTTTCTTCTTCATTTGTTCTTCATTGTGGACTTTAAGAGCCTTTAAGTAGTTATATTGTTGATCTTTGTCTTTCATTTGTTTCTCATGTTCTTCCTTCAGAGCTGCAGATTTCTTTTTGTATTTCTCTTTGAATTCATTGAACTCTTCAGCTTTCTTTCTGGCTTCTTCTTCATGTGTCTTCTTCAGATTCTCCAGTTTTTTCTTATAGTTCTCCTCAATGTCTTTTTTCTCTTTTTCCTCTTGTTCTCTTCTGATTCGATCCTCTTCTTTTCTTTTCTTTTCATAATTTTCTCTTTCCTGTTTGTATTCTTCTTGAAGCTTTCTAAGTCTTCCTTGTTTTTCCTGACGTCTCTGTTCTTCTTCTTTAAATCGTTCTTCCCACCATTCTTTTAGTTTTATCTCCCAGTTCTCTCGTTCTTTTCTCATCTCTTCTCTGCTCTCCTCCAGCTTTCTATCAATGGTTTCCTTTGATTCTGACTCTGATTTTATTTTTTCCTCCAAATCTTCAACTTTCTGTTTCCACTCCTGTCGTTGAATTTCTTCCTGTTGTTTTCTCTTCCTGTCTTCTTCTTCTCTCATTTCCTGTTCTTTCTTTCTCTCCTCACGTTCTTTTTTGATGTTTTCCTCCTTTTCTTCAAGTTGTTTTTCTCTCAGTTTTCTCTCATTTTCAATTTCTGCTCTCTGTTCTTCCATTCGTCTTTTCATTTCTTCCATTTCTTCCTCATGTTTTCTTTGAAGCTCCTCCCTCTCTCTCTTCATCTCTTCTTCTTTCTCCTTCAGGATTCTCTCCATTTCTTTCTTTATTGAAGCTTCGGCCTCTTGCAGCAGCTCATTAGTGTAGCAGCTGCGTCCATTTTCCTTCACCATGGTGTCAATCTTGGTTATCAGCTCACTGACCTGTGTGTGGTTGTCTTTATCTTTGTTATTAAACACATGGTATCTTCCTCCACAGTCAGAGATCAGCTTCTTAAAGGAATCATCACACTTCTTTTCAATGTATTCATCAATGGATATGTCCTCATCTTCCAGTGTATCTCCTCCAGTTAAAAGAATGATGGTAAACTTCTCAGAATTCTTCCCAAATCCTTCCTTGATAAGTTTTAATGTCTCCTTCTCCTCTGGTGTTAATCTGCCAATTTGTAACACCAACAGGAAGACATGTGGTCCTGGAGCCAGAAGACTGATGCATTTCACCATCTCCTCATGAACCTCTTCATGAGACAAACTATTGTCAAACAGACCAGGAGTGTCGACCACAACCACCTGACGACCATCGACTTCACTCTGTTCTTTCTGACAGTGTTTAGTGACTGATGTTTGGGCTGATTCAGCTTTAAACCCTTTTCTTCCTAGAATGGTGTTTCCTGAAGAGCTCTTTCCACAGCCAGTCTTCCCTATCAGCACAATCCTGAGACACTCTGGACTCCGTTCTTCATCATCACCTGTGAAATATAAAGACCAGGAGTTACAGTTGATTGTTGAGTCCCATTCCCAGGTAGTCAAATACCAGATTTCGTATCTGGGAGCATGGACACCACCAGTTGTTTGTGTGGCTTGCTCCGAGCCACTTTAACCTCTAACCTAACCCAAATCATCTGCATTTGACGCCCTGTGAATGAGACTTAAAAATCAACTATCTTTCACCCTCACAACTCTTTCTTTTTTTTTTTTTTTACATATACACTAATTGAACACTGATCAGCACAACACATTGAGGTAAGCTCACCTCTTATGTGAGAACCCTGCAATATGCTTAAATTATTAGCTAGAAGTTCAGTAATTCAAATTCAGTCAGGACCACTTTTGTCAAAAAAAATTTATTTTCAAATGCAGAATGTTATATTTGGTGGTATGGCTTTGTTCTGCATAAATGGAGGAGCTGGGATGGAGGTGGGTTGCAAAGCTTCTTGCAGAGGAAGCAGCCAAAAAGAGGCAGGCTAAACAGCTTAAATAAGGAGCCCTGAATGATATTTGCCAATTGGATGCTAAAGGGAGCTGGAATTAAGAGCTGGGCTTGACTTTGTGACCTGCCTGAACTAAAGCTGTGCTTAATTTCATTTTTTTAAGCGGGGCGAATTTAGTGTGTAGCGCTATTCGCTATACCTTCGCTATTTGTCTGTAAGTAAAATAAGTAAGTAAAACTTTATTTATATAACACCTTTTTGACACAGAGATCCAAAGCGCTTTCCAAACAACAAATAAATAAACATAGCAACACACAAAAACACAAACATAGAGAGCATGTAAAAACAAACAAAGGAAGATAAAACAAAAGGGAGGGATAAATTAAAAGAGACACGACAGATGAGAAAACAATCACGGAGATCTATAAAAAGGCCTGTAGAGGAAGCTTTTGAGCAGCCGCTTAAAACAGTCCACAGATTCAGTGAATCTAAGTGAATGGGGAAAGCTATTCCACAATGTTGGGGCTAAAACAGCGAAGGGAAGGTCACCTTTAGTTTTACAGGAAGAGCGTGGAACGGATAATAGGGGCAGAGATTTGAGGAGCGAAGTGGCCGAGGAGTGGAATGAGGAACAAGGAGATCTGAAATGTAACCAGGAGCAAGGTCATGAAGTGCTTTATATACAATCAGTAAGATCTTAGTTGATTCTTAGTTTTACAGGACGCCAATGAAGGGATGAAAGAACAGGAGTAATTGATATTAATTAATAATAATAATTGATATTAGTGCGTAGTGGTCCAATAAACTGATCAACTGCAGTGACAAATTTATCAGGGCCAAATAAAAGGATTTCAGTTTTATCAGGATTTAAATGGAGAAAATTAAGAGACATCTAGTCTTTGGTGGCAGCTAAACACTGAGAGAGGACTGAACAAATGACCCAGAGGAAGCATGTACAGGGAGAACAGAACTGGACCAAGAACCGACCCCTGAGGGACACCACACAGTAGGGGAGCGGAAGAGGAAACATGATTATTAATGCAGACATTAAAGACTCTATTAGTCAAGTAGGAATGAAACCAGTTTAAGGCTGTACCAGAAATGCCATCCCAGGTCTGTAATTGATCCAGTAAAATGGCATGATTGATGGTATCAAAGGCTGCAGTCAGATCAAGAAGAATAAGGATGGAGCTTTCACCTTTGTCAGCATGCATAAGAATGTCATTAGACACTCTCAGTAATGCTGTCTCGGTGCTATGTTTTTGGTGAAAACCAGATTGGAATTTGTCAAAGATTCTATGACCTTCTACCAGCTTCAGGAGCTGGTCCGCGACAATCTTTTCAAGGATTTTAGATAAAAATGGAAGTTTGGAGATAGGTCTATAGTTTTCTAACTGGTCTGGATTGAGAGAGGGTTTTTTAAGAAGTGGCTGAACACTGACAATTTTAAAGAGGTCAGGTACGGACCCTGATGTGAGAGAGGAATTCATGATAGAAAGCAGGCTAGGACCTAAGACAGGGAGTATGGTTTTTAAAAATGTTGTAGGAACTATGTCACAGGGACTGGAGGAGGGAAGCATTTAATTTGCAGTTGTTGAAAGGATCTGTAGAGAGATAGGAGCAAAATCAGACAGTAAAACAGGACGACTGAACGTTGCAGGGGGAAGAACAGTGAGGGGAAAATGAGACCTTATACCATCGATCTTGCCAATGAAAAAAGACAGGAATTTTTCACAGTCAGCAGGAGAGGAGGCATGAATAGCAGGAGGAGATGGAATTACAAGCTGGTTGATAGTAGTAACCTAAAACCTTGGGTTTTGTTTATTGTTAACAATCAGATAAGAAAAGCAGGCAACTTGCACATCTTTAATAGTCTGGTTCAAGTTAAACAGTAATTCCTTCATGTAGAGGCGGTGTACTTCAAGTTTGTGCTTTTTCAAATTTTGCTCGGCCTTCCTATATTCCCTTCTCTGTTGTCTAATATTGTTGTTGATCCAGGGAGTTTTATTAATAACTGGGACAGCCCTGGATGTATATGGAGCGGAAAAATCAAGGGCTGATGTACACAAATTATGAAACCAGCTAATTTGATCATTAATATTGAAAAAGTGAGGAGGAGAATTCGCCAGACCAGAAAAATGGCTACAGAATGTGGCTGCTGACTGATTATTAAAGATGCGAGACTGGATTATATGTTTCTGGGATGGTGAAGCAGTTATAAAATGTGTATCAAAAGTAATACATTTGTGGTCAGAGACAAAATCATGCATATTCAGGGAACTAAGAGAAAGATCCAGAATAAAAATTAAGTCAAGGGTGTGCCCACGGTTATGTGTAGGGCCTGAGACGTGCTGCACAAGGTTAAAAGATTTAAAAATGTTTAAAAAGTCTGTGGCAAATGGATTTGAAGTTTTGTTGTTATGTTAAAGTCACCAGCTATAATGGCCTCATCAAATTTGAGCACAAGAGAGGACAGTAGGTCAGAGAATTCAGTGAGGAAACCACTGCTGGAGTTGGAATTGGGGGTAAATGATACAGCAGATGGGTTCTTCACACACAATTTTAAAAGTTAAGATTTCAAAACTGTTAGAAGAGCCAAGGCTGAGTGGAATACAAGTAAAATGTTTTTTAAAGACAACTGCAATACCCCCCACCGCCTGTAAGTCTTGTTGAATTTAAAAATGTGTAAGTGGGTGAAGCTTATGGTATGTAATTAGATCATTGAGAATGAAGGCTTTATTAGACATAGACAGTGCATTCAGAAGGGCACTGGCAGCTGGGATAAGGGGTTTAGCTGGAGTGGAAATACCACAGTAAACCGTAACCAAATTATGAGATCTAGCAGTAGAAGAGACAGAGTGCGTAGAGTAGTGGGTTTTAAATCTAGGCATAATTCTGACAGGAATACTGTAAGAGCCTGGGGGGGTACAGTCAAATGGACTCATTGCAGGTCAAGATATATGCTTTGCAGAAGGGCAGAGTCATTTCAATGATGGTGGATGAGAGGCGTGACCCTTCCTGTGAAGGATGGAGGCCGTCCGGCTTAAAAAATTGAGGCCAAAATAAAAAGGCGGTAATGTAATTTACTCATGCAAATAATTTTATCCTCCTTTGGTAGGAACACATAATAATACTACTTTCATGTTTTGTGTTGCTTTTCTTTTCTGAAGCCTTTCTTTTTTTTTTGTTCTATGAAAAGTGAGTATACAGACTATAGTAGATAAATCTTTCACTGAAGCCTGTATGACAAATTTAAAATGTATATGAAGTACTACAGACAGCAGTGGTTTGTATAAAGAACATCTGTGTGTTGTTGCTGATTTGAAAGAGTAATCCAGATGGTGCATTAGTGTATCATTTGCTGCAAAAAATGTTTTGATTGGAGAGTTTGATTTCGATATAGAAGTGAGAAGTTTAACTCCAGGTTCTGTGTCTTATTTGGCTTCTGTGTGGAGTGGAATACTTACAAGTGATTTTGTTCTTCTTCATCAGCCTCTCAAGTTCACCTTGATGCTTAATGTTGATACATTTCTCTTGAATGAGCTTTTCTGTTTGGGCATTTGCATATGTTTCCATTGTGTAGCAGGATGGTTTGTCTTTGTAGAGTCTCAGTCTCGTTCTTTCCACCATGTCCAACAGTTCTGGGATCTGCTGCTTGTCCTTGATGTTGAGAACAACATATCTTCCTCCACAGCTCTGACGGAGCTCCTGGATGTCTCTGTTTTCTTTCACAAAGTCAACAACAGCTGGAGCTGTAGGATCTGAGTCCACAGTGAACAGAATCATGGTGAAGTCATTGACTCGAGAGCTGAATGTGTTCTGGATGGTCTTTAACTCTCCCTTGTCTTCATCAGTGAGGGGATCCACAGGTAGGACCAGGATGAAGGCATGGACGCCCTCAGGATCACAGAGGGAGATACTCCTGAGTGATTCCTCCATCACTGCCTCCTGAGGTTTTCCATACAAGGCAGGCAGCTCCACCAGGGAAACCCAACGTCCACACACCTCTCCCTGATGTTTAACACACTCTGATGAGTTGGAGACTGAATGAAACTCTGTCTGACCTAAAATGGCCTCGGCTGCTGAAGTCTTCCCTGCTCCTCTCCTCCCACACAGAACCAGGTTTAAAGCTGGTTTGATGGGTTCAGACTTTGGTCTTATGGTCTCTTCAGTGAAGGTGAGGAAGGTTCCTTTGTTTTCATGCACAGTGTTCTCAATCTTCTCCATTAACAATGTGTGGTTGTCTTCAACCATATTGTAGTGTCTTCCTCCACATTCTTTAAGGAGCTGATTCAGACTGTCACTTGTTTTATTCCACTTGTGTGTCATGATGACCATTGAGTATTTTAAAGCATCTTGACCAAACAAACTCAGGATGAACTTCAGTGTTTGTCTGTTCTCCTCAGTGAAATCAGAAGGTTTCACTAACAGCAGAAGAACATTTGGTCCAGGAGAACACAGAGTCACACAGTTTTTCATCTCTCTTTTCACGGTCTCCACAGACAGACTGAAGATGTCTGGAGTTTTCACCACTGTTAATGTTTTTCCTCTCCACTCTCCATTGGCCACCACACAGCGTTTGACTGAGGAAAATATCTGGTAATGAAAAACCTGTTTTCCAGTGATGGAGTTACCAAGTGTTATCTGTTTATCCTCTCTTTTTCCCAGCAGCACAATCTTGAGTCCAGATGCTGTAATACAACAGAGAGAAAGATAAAATGTCATAAACTCACTGTGAGGCTGAAATCACTACAGTTTTCTGACACAAGTAGATCTCTTCAGTCATCTACAGAATGTTCTAACACACACAGGGGCGCCGCCAGGAATTTTGGGCCCCATGACAAAAAAATCAAATTGGGCACCCTCTGCGCAGCTGTTGTCACCACATCTCTAGGACCCAACTGTCCCATCAAAAGCTTTACATAACTCTAATTAAAGGCTTGCAACTGTCTTGCTTCTTGTAGTTCAATACTAGTACTAGCTCAATATTTACTGCTGGTGATTTGTACATGCATGCAAGTCTGCATACAGTATGCAGTTCACTGTTTGATGCAAGATTAAAAGCAACCATAAAAAAGGCCATCTTTTACAGTCTCAATGTATTTTTATAGTAAAATTTCTTTAACGAAATAAATTATTAATTATTATTATTAATTATTATTATAATTATTAATGAAAAAAAGAAAAACGAACAAACTTAAATATATATTAACGTTTCAATCAAAATAAATTAACATCATCCTCTCAAAACAATGAAAACAGCAGATTTTTTAACTTAGTTGCACATATATGCCAACAAGAAAATAAAGTTGACATGTAAAATTAAATTTCCACACCAGGGTTATTATAGTGCCACAAAACAGATCAAGCGATCCCTAAATCAAAAGGTTTTGAGGTTTGGAATATGGTCATAACAAACTAACAGTACCAGTGACATCAAATTAAAAGGTATAAGTGTATGATTATTTTAATATTGTCTGTATCTTACATGCAGGCTCAGGTAAGCTACTCACTGTTTCCAACTGTCTAGCATCCAGTACAGACAGTAGGTTGTTGTTTTTATTTTATTTCATAATGATCATTATGTGAGAAAATAATTGTTATTAATGTGTTTGAATTTCTGTCATTAATAAATATTTCATTTTCTTTTTGTAATGGTAAAAAGAGCAAGAGAGAAATCCCCACAGACTCCCTGCAATGATGCTAACTGGCCTGTCATTGAACACAACGTTGCTCAGCTTCTTCACTGGGACAGGGAGGGGTACAGTGATGGGGGGACAGGGAGGGGTACAGTGATGGGGAGACAGGGAGGGTACAGTGATGGGGAGACAGGGAGGGGTACAGTGATGGGGGGGACTGGGAGGGTACAGTGATGGGGGGACAGGGAGGGTACAGTGATGGGGAGACAGGGAGGGGTACAGTGATGGGGGGACTGGGAGGGTACAGTGATGGGGAGACAGGGAGGGGTACAGGTGGGGGGACAGGGAGGTACAGTGATGGGGGGAGGGAATGGGGGAGGGAGGGTACAGTGATGGGGGGACAGGGAGGATGGGGGACAGGGATGGGTACAGTCATGGGGAGAGGGGGTACAGTGATGGGGGGCGGGGGGGACTGGGGGGGTACAGTGATGGGGGGACTGGGAGGGTACAGTGATGGGGGGACTGGGTGCTGCTGACTCATCTGTTGTTAAGTCTGCTAAAAGGGGCAGGGACAATGATTTAATATGAATAAGTTGCTAAATGTTTCCCTGAACTGATTAATGGTGATTAAATGTAGACTGACACTAGTCTGTAGCTAGTATCTTATTTCCCTATGGACATTAAGCCAACAGGTTAATACCACTCACAGACTATAGGCTCCTTTCTTGGTGAAACACTGGGTTACAGATTGACATCCTTTCCTTTGTCTTTCCTCTCTCTCTTTTCTCTCTTTCCTTTTTTGAAAACAGATGTTGACTTACTAGTTAACATTGTGATCACTGTAGTTCTGGCTCATCTACTGACTGCAATAAACACCATCACTGATAAGTGCGCTAAGGCAGGACCAAACCATTTCCTGCAGATACAGGGGGGTGGTCGGTCAATATGGATGTTTACTTTTTGGTCAATGGGGATATTTAACTTTTACTGCCAAAAACAAGTAAGAACAAAGAGATCATTCATTTTATTATTATATTTGAAATATATATACTGAATGATGATGGTTTGATAATTCTATATTAGTTTTTACCTATTTTTTGGGGCCCATGTCAGTCATGGGCCCTTGGAATTGTCCTAACTTTTCCCCCCTACACGGCACCCCTGAACACACCTAATCACACACCAGTATGTACCAATAGCTGCATAAATTAAGGAGAAAGCAGCATCACATTTCCCCCTAAAATGTATTTTGCAAATGCAAAGTTGCAAAATATGAATGTAACAGATAAATAAAGGTACAAGATACCTTTTCAGATAAAGACACAAATGTGAAATAATTTTACAGTTTCTCTTCTTGCTTTTCAACAGTCAAGAATTGTGGGATGTATTTGGGTTCATCGAGGAAAAAAAGATGCTACCAAAAAACAGTTTACAGATATGTGATTAGCACTGTGATAAATTTACTTTCTGTGAGTCAAAGGGTTTCTCCAGGAGAGTGAGATTTTTTTTTACCATATGCTGCCCTGTAAAAAATAGTCATTAATTAGCAGCTATATGTTTTAATTTAATCAAAGATTTGTGTGAACAAAGTTTTCACTGTCAGAATAGTTTCTGCACTTACCAGCAGCTTTAACAGCATCTGTGATAGAAGTCTGAGTTTCCTTTTGTTTTGGACTTTGATGATCACCTGGTGAAGTTGATGTTGGAGCCTTAAATACATCACAGCTGACATATTCTCCATTATTCTCCTTCACAATTTGACCCAAGCGTGTTAACAGCTCTGAACGTTCAAGGTTCTTCAGCTTCAAATATCTGTATCTACATTTTCTGATCATGTCTTTTAATGGAGGACGTTCCAGGTATTTTTCCATCAACCCTGGACTCTCCTCTCTGGGTGTTGATATCAGAACCAGAGAATGATCAAATGATTGATCACTGAAGAGTTCAAGGATTGATTGTAGTCTCAATTTGTGTTCCTCAGTGAAGTCTTCAGGCTGTAGAACCAGCAGGAACACATGAGGTCCAGGATCAGAGAGTCTCACACAGTCTTTTACAAGTTCTGTCAGTTTGTGTTGAGAGATGTTGGGATGCAGCAGATCTGGAGCGTTGATGAGAACTATTTCTTTCTCCTTTAACTGTCCTCTGACTGTCAGAAAGCCTGGTTCTTTCTCAGTGTTGAACTTAGTCTCTCCCAGTATGAAGTTCCCCACTGAACTCCTCTCAGACCAGCTGTTCCCCAGCAGAACAACCCTCAGCTCAGACACTGAAAAGAGAACAGTGAAGTAGAAAAAGCTTCTCAGTGTAGACCTCATCCAAAGTCAATACAATAACATTTTATTTATTGACATTATATAGCCAATTATAACTAGCTTTTTTAAGGTGGAATTCAGTGAATATGTCACTGTTATCATGAAACAAACAAATTCACCAATGAGCTTCAAATAGAATAAAATGTGAGTTTGGGCCCTCAACCAACAAACACTGTAATTAGATGTTAATGTACAGAATAATAATTGACTCAGTTTAACTCACTGTAAGGTGGCAGCCAATGTAAGCTGCTGCTCCGTTTCAGTGGTTGCAGATCATCTGTCACTGTAAAGATACAGAACACTGATTCATTCACATGTAATCTTTTACTACTGGATGATGGGAACTCAGTTATTGTTCCACACATCAGCTACAGTGTAGAAATATAGAGAAACCCAAACCAATCCAGTTATTATAATACAAAGATCATAGAGAGCAAACTGATGAACATTTCATGATCTGATTGATTATAGTATTGCACAAATATTGTATAAAGTACATAACATTTGCTACCACCAAATATTTAACAATGAGTTAGCGCACTAATGAAAATTAGTTATGTTGTGTAATCCATCACAGTGAACAGCCTCACAGGAACGTTACTATGGTAACAGTGGTTATAATAATGAACCCCAAACAACCACCAACGTGGATATGGAGGTCTGGACCCCAAATTACTTTTAGTGCAGGAAAAAGAAAGAGGACAGTTCTTTTATGCAGACAGAGAGAGCAGACAGTCTTTTATCCAGACTAATAAAGTGTGACTGGACTCACCTGGTGCTGCAGCCGCCATGATGTCAGTGTGCTGGAAACATCAGAGACTCATTCAACTGAAGACCAACTGCTGCTTTAACAACCTGAAGAGAGGAAGTTAAAATGTTCATGTTGATGTCACCTCCTCTGTTGCTGTTTAATGCTCTTAAACCTTCATCCTTGAAGTATTTTGTATTTTCTCTTGTAGAAAGAAAAAACATATATATATATATATATAAATAACAATAATTAGTAGAGACCTGTTTTTCATCATTTTCATTATAATATGAATATAATTTACTTACAAACATTATAAATATCTTACACAAAAACAAATGATTTAATTCTGGAGAACAACTCAGTGGCAACTTGTATTCTCATTAACAATAGTGGTTAAAAAGTTAATGTGTTATCAATGGTTGTAAACTGTAACCTTTCTTTTATAGTTGCTGTAATATTAGATATCAGATTATTTAACTTCCTTGTTCACCTTTGATCTGAACTCAAGACTCTGGAGTCGAATCTGTATATAAACTAATAAAGGCACCAACACATTTCTCAGTATCAGCAAACTTTATAAAAAACTGGCAAACTTTATTCATTGAGCTTGATTTTATTTTTAATTCATGTAAATGTTAAAACAATTTATTACGAACAACAATTTCCATGTAATTACTGCCTGCTGCTGTTGTCTTAGATTGTCAGTCTCCCATCATGGAGTTTTGACTCTATAATGTGAGACAGAATAAATTATTTTCAGCACTTTGTTGGATACGAGCAGTGATTCTGGTCCAGATGAGTCCTGAATAGTCAGTAAACACCTGAGGATTAGTAAAGATCAGTTCTAACTCATCGATGTGAGAATGTTGTCTTTCTTACAATGAAGCACATTTGTTTGTCTTCATTTCTTTGTTTGAATTTAGATTTCAGTGGCGTCTACTCACCAGGTGAGATCCTCTCTGCTGCCGAGCACGTCGGTGAAACTCCAAACTGAAGTCAGACTGTCCTGAAACAACCTTTCCTTTCTGAGCGGGTGGGACTCTGGACAAATATGATACCAGTTAATGTTTAATATCACCTGGTACAGAACTTTATAGCTTAACAACTGAATTGTTTTATGGGACAGACTTCGTACAGCAGCTCAAGGTGAAAGGGCACAGAGAGATCAAAAAAAGTTTCAGTGAGGCTACTATATATATATATATATATATATACACACACAGTATATACACAGTCTGTGTAATGCACACATACATTTGATGTTTCCATGGCAGCATCTTATTTAAATTGAGCCAAACTGAAACTGTTATTTAACTGTTAAATTGTTGTAGACGACAGTTAGCCTGCCAGGTAGTGACTGCTAATCAAGCATCATAATGTAACAACACCAAAAGTGTAAATAAAAACCAGAGAAAAGAAATATCAATAAGAAGTATTGATACAAGTAATTATAAGACAACAGAGCAATATAACCAAAGAAAATGGAAAATTAAAAGATTTGTTTGATTGTTAACCTGCTGTAACTGTAATTTCTATATATCATTTTTATAGTTACAGAATAAAAGACCATGAGATTACAGTTACAGTCAGAGCTGATAATTAGCCTGTGTGGCTAACTGTTGCTAAATATAAGCACATTTGTTTGTCTTGATTTCTTTGTTTGAATTTAGATTTCAGTGGCGTCTACTCACCAGGTGAGATCCTCTCTGCTGCCGAGCACGTCGGTGAAACTCCAAACTGAAGTCAGACTCTCCTTAAACAACCTTTCCTTTCTGAGCGGGTGGGACTCTGGACTCGGTACTCTTAGTACAGAACTTTATATCTTAACAACTGAATTGTTTTATGGGACAGACTTTGTACAGCAGCTAAAGGGGAAAGGGCACAGAGAGATCTGAAAAAGTGTCACAATAAGTATATATATATGTGTGTATACGGTCTGTGTTACATACATACATTAGGTACATGTGTCTGTAGCTGAGAAATGGTGATTGAAGTCATATGTTTTATTATATGGAGCTCTTTATGGCTCGAACGTGTTACTGATTGTGTGTGTGAGTCCACGGGTTTCCAAACTAGATAGAAGTAAACAGAAGCACGTTAGACCAGTGACCCCTTCATTGTGTCTTAAGAAATTAGTATTTCTTGTTTTATTTTTAGAAGATGGGATCACTATAAATTAAAATCAATAAAAACAGCCAACCCTATTTCTTCCCTTGTTGTTCAACTTCCCAAAAAATGTGATAAAAGTTAAAATATTCTGTTCCTCCTTTTGCCGGGGGCCCCCTAAAAACCCACTTAAGGGCCCCTGTTGGTCCCCGGACCCCAGTTTGAAAACCTGTTGGTCTGTTGTAATACCTGATGAAATAATGGTTACGATATTCATAATAAAAATAAGCAACCACCAATTAATTTAAAATAAAATGTCAGTAGAATAGTCGTCCTGTTCACTGCTTAATAGATCAATATATTATCTAACACAGCTACATTTCTATTACTTATTCTATTTCTATTACTCTATTACTCTATTCAAGTTCTGGTCAAAATGCTCCTTTCTGGGACCGGTGGGGAGGATTATTATATTATATTATATTATTATATTGAAATAAATAAAGTTGGCCCGCTGTGGGCTGTGATTGTCCTGAGAGAGTTCAGTGTGTTTTTATTAACTGTTGGAAATTAAAATAAGTGCATTAATTGTTTAAGAAACAGGAGTTTGTACAATGTGAGAACCACCAATTCACTTTCTTTACATACAGTCTGTGTTACGTACAGGTAGATGTGTCTGTAGCTGAGAGTATGAATGTGAGTGAAGTCATGTGTTTAATATAATGGAGGAATATTAGAATGTTTTAAACTGACAAAGAATCTCTGAAGATCATGTGACCTGGGTTTCCATGGCAGCATCTTATTTAAATTGAGTCAAACTGAAACTAACTTTTAAATTTACACTTTTACTACCAAGGTGTGTCTGTGTCGGAGGATATTTCAGCATGGTGAGTAAACTAATGATGTTGTAGACGACAGTGAGCCTGTCAGGTAGCGAATGATAACCAAGAATCAAAAATCAGCTCGTTTGTTATCTGACACAGTTACTGATTAGTTACCTCTTAATAAATGTAGTTAATGAGTAACTTAATCCAAGCATCATAATGCTAAAGTAATGTAAGTTGATTGCTTTCTGTTGCTTTTGAAGTACCTCAACACCAAATGTCTAAATAAAAGCAAGAGAAAAGAAATATCAATATCAATAAGAAGTATATAAGTAAAAAGAAGTAACGTTAACATTATACAAGTATAAGACAACAGAACAATGTAACCAAAGAAAATTGGAAATGACAAGATTTTTAGCACAAACAGTGTTTGTCCTCTGCTCAGTGTAATTTAAAAGAAAAATAATTAAATTGTAATCCTGCTAAATAATCTCAGTTTGTACTAAATGTAACTGTAATCTCATTGTTTTTTATTCTGTAACTGTAATAAATTACAGTTACTGTTACCTTTTTCTTTGTCCTGATTACATAATACATGTAATCTGTTACTTCCCAAGCCTGGTAATTTTTACCCTTTATACTTTCAGCCACCAAAGACCAACAAGAAGAAGCAGAAGAAGAACAATCAGCCAAAGGATGAGGAGATGCTGAAGTCTCAGGTCAGAGCTGATAATTAACCTGTGTGGCTAACTGTTGCTAACTAGGAAAAGAATGTCTAAAGAAATTATAAACCAGTTAAAATGTCTTAAATGTATCGACCAAAATCAGTGGTTCCCAAACTTTTTCCTTTTCTATCATTTAGTAAACTGACTCAGAGACATATTGTATATTTCAGATCATTTCCTGTATTATGTATTTTTATCATTTTGTATTTTTTATAATTTTACTTAATAGGCTTCTTTTTTGACTAATTCAGTGTTTCTTGTTCCTGACCCTTGGCCATTGTTCAATTAGACAATTTACATTACATTTACTTTACTTATCCTTTCTTCCCAGAAGTGAACCACATACTGAGATACAGTCCTACTGTGTATATCTGTAAAGTTTTCTAGCACACCTTAAAATCAAGAAGTCCCCATAAAGTTTTGGCGACCCGTAGCGAGGGTCCCGACCCTAACATGGTTTTACTCAAGTTTAAATGAATGTACCGTCTGTCCATCCAACCCAGACTGAAGGAAGTACTCAGGAGGCGGTTGATGAAAAGTCTCCTGCAGTGATGGACGGGCCTCCGACGGTAAAGAAGAGTAAAGACGAGGTAGGAGCTGATGAGTTTCTGTTAACCGTTACAGAAACTCACGTTGTGTTAATCATGTCAACTAAAAACTTTGTCATTAAAGTTTTTGGAACAGGTTGGATATTCTTTGTATCTCTGAAGATCATGTGACTGAGTCTGTGCTTCTAAATTTAAAACGTACATATCACAGTTTACATAATAAGGTTTTTAAAAGGCATCACCTGAAGCTCCAGGGACAACTAGTGGGGGTCGGGACCACCAGGTTGGGAACCATTGCTCCCAGAGAATCCTTTCCTTCCGTCTTTTATTCTCCACCTCACACGCTGACTCTAACATCTGTCACCTGCAGCTGTGGGACGAATGTGTCTTGCTCCTGGAGGAAGTGGAGAGGGTGCAGAAGCAGAAGAAGCACTTTAAGCTGGAGAGGGACAAGGCCCAAAGATCATGGGACAACTCCAAGAGAAACCTGGAGGAGACCAAGGCCAGGATGAAAGAAAGGCTCAGGTTGAAGCACGAGGCCGAGAAACGCTGCCAGGCAGAATTTGATGTAAGCTTCTCACACACACACACACACACACACACACACACACACACACACACACACACACACACACACACTTTATAGTTTCTACGCTTTAAGCAAGTCCTCAGATCCTTTACTTAAACACACAAGGAGATTTAACTGATTATGAAATAGTCTCTATGTGACCTACATAAACAAAGCTGTTTTCCTCTACATCACTAAAGGAGGTGGTGGAAACACTCCCTCGTTTGTCCACACGGGGTCGCCAGAGTCACCACAAAATGAAAGTTTAGAGAATAGTTTTCCAGTCATAGAAACACCTGGAAATGGATTAAAATGACCAAATATCCTGGAAATCATTTTACTTTTTCAATTATTTTACTTTATTTAACCAGATAAGTCAGTTGAGAACCAATTCTCATTTACAGTGACGGAGTCAAATTGATACAGCAAGTGAAACATTCAAACAGTCAATGCAAAAACACAATAGGCTATAGTTAAACAGAATTAAAACAGCACAATATGTACAGTAGGTACACAACGGAGATCTAGTACTGTGTTCCAGAGAAGTGGCTTTTACAACACGTCCCAGTCACTTTATTTTCTCCCTGAAATGTTTTATTGTATTTTAGCCCCTCACTGATCGCCCACCTAAACCTAAATTATTACCATATGTATATATATATACATATATACCCACAGAAGGTACCTTTAAATTATAACTGTTAGTGAGCAAGTTCTGTCCTGTACTGCCAAGAAAACTCCAATCAAAGTTGAAGCCAAATGCAATAAAATAAAAACAAGAACAGTTGAGATTCAAATGTGCAACTTATACAAAAAAGTGTGATGTGGAAACCTGAACCCTCCAACACTATTTAATATAAAAACATTTGCATTAACCAAATACTGGGGGAAAAGGAGTAAATGTAATTTTATATATATATATATATATATATATATATATATATATATATATATATATATTGTGAATAACCATATCAGAAAATTGAAAAAAACAGAAATGATTCTTCAAGCTGATTATTTTTAAGTCTGGAGGGAATCTTTTACGTTTACATCCTTATTTGAGGTTGACTCATGTCAAAGTGGACCGAAACAAACTAAAACTCACATAAAATCGTCTTTATTTCAACCAAACAACTTTTCATTCACCATTAATTCACAATTAATTCAATGTATGTCCACTAAAAGTGCTTATGTTTGCCTCTTTTGTTAAAGAGTTTGATCCTTTTTGTTTTACACTATCTCTGTCCACCAAACTCTATTTAAAAAAACAATAACCCACATAACATCTCATCTTTATTCAAAGTGCACAGAAACAGAATAAAATTCACCAAAACCGTCTTTGTTGGTGTTTCCACTGTTCCAACAATCACCAACTCTAATTTGGTGGATAAATCTAAACTCAAATCATATTTAACAGTGGATGAATTTCACAGCTGAACACAAGATTTGCTCGTTAATTCCAGGAGCACAAGGAGAAGCTGAGACAACTGGAGGCCACACAACACGTTGAGGTTGGCGAGTTGAAGATGGCCGCCATCGCCACAGACTCAAAGACCCAGAAAGAGCAAGTGGAGTCAGACGTCGACCTTCAGAGGAAAATGTGCAATTTACAGACGGACAAGAGAGAGAAAGAGTGCAACAGCAAAATCTACGTGGAGAAGCTCAAGCAGGTGAGAATCTTGAGTCCAGACTCTAGTTGTCGCTTGTTTCTACAAGTTAACGTCTGTATCATAAACCTGTCACCTTTTTATTCTTAACAGAAACAACATGAAGAATTAAAGAAACTACATGAGAGCTACAAAAATAAAGTCGGAGGTAAATCAACTGAGTTGAAGTCAAAAAGTACTCTGACCTGTCTGTAACCTAAGGTTTCTCTCTCTTGCTATTGAAATAGAAATGGAGGCACAGTATGACAGCAAACAGAAAATCCTGGTTAGAGAGAACAACGACGAAATACAAATTGAGTTCAAGAAGATCGACGAGAGAATGAAAATACGCACTGAAACTGTTGTTGAAGAGCAATCAAAGATCTGGGAACAGATCAACTACATCATCAGAGACAGAAGACATGTCATTGAAATAAAAAGGCAGCAGGTAAGAGTTTTATTTGAAGCAGGAATCCAATCTGAAAGGTCAGTATCAGGGCCGATCGAGACATTTCTAAACTGATTGGCTGTACACGAACTTTAATGTACTTGTAGTATGCACTGTGTGTATTATCTTCGCTGATATTCAGTATTAAATGACTTAGATACTCAGTGTCTATAAAACAGAATGAAGAGCAGGTTGTTTTTCCGGGTGCTTCTTGTCTGATATGGCTCTGTTTTTGCTGTCATGCGGTAGGGGAGAGTTGTAGCTGGGAAGGAACTGAACAAACGACTGGACAGGAGGTTGGAAGTAGTCGCGCAGAAGAACACGCGCCTTAGGGAGTCTCTGCGGGAACAGAGGGCAAAGCTGCGCGGGAGCCGCCAGCAGCTGGTCGTCGAGAGGAAAGCCATGGCCAAGAGTGTGAAGGTTCACTGCTCTGCTTCATTTCAGGGAGTTCTGACAGAGTTATTCTGCAGAAAGTGACATATTTTATGGATATTTCATATTTTATTCAATACATAACAATAACAGACATATTGACAGGAAATAATCTGCTCGAGATTCATCAGAATCTCTGGTTTTATACAAACTTCCTGCAGTTATTATGCATGCATTGAACATAATATGAAACATGCATAAAATGTACTCGAGGGCTCCCTTAAGGAGAAATGTTGGGAACCAGTGGTGTGGAGCTTTAAATTTGACCTGCAGCTCTTACTGTACCATCTTTACCTCAGTGAAATCACAGTGAACTACTGAGGAAAATCGCTGGAATATTGTCTGAACCTATGAAAGTAAACTTGTGATAATGTCTCCAACAGAGGGGCAATAAACTGTGTGCACAGGTCCTCCACGAGAGACGCGAGCTCAACCTGAAGCACCAGCAGCTGGAGCTGAAACACGAGCAGGTCGACCGCTCACATCCATTCCTCTCAACCTTATTGGTTCACTCAGTTGGATGAATGTGAATTCCTGTGAGCGTCCTGTTGTGTGATCCGTGTGTCGCTGCAGGTTCAGAAGGAATACGACGAGCTGCAGAGGAAGCAGACCGAGGCCATTCTGGACGCGCAGCAGAAGAGCGGCCTGAAGGAGCTGCTGCTGGAGAGGAAGATAACAGCAGTGACTGAAACACTCGAGAGGGAGCAGCTCAAACTGTGGGTGGCGCTCGCCTTCGGACAGGGAGACCAAACGGCTGCAACACACATTAAGGTACAATTTTATTGTACAGAGAACTATTATAAGATCTGATAAACAGCTTTTGTTTTTTATCTGACTGTCCAAGTAAAATGTAAAATAACTGAAAATAACTGACACGTATAGTCATTTTCTATCATTTAAATAGTTTTTAGCTTTCATTTTTAATAAAATCTTGTGTAATTTTTGGGGATTTTTAATGTCTAATTAATAGATATTTACACTGTAAAACAATGAAATGAGCTATAAATACAGGCAAACACTGCTATAATACAAATAACCAGGCTTAAATTTACAGAACAGTGCTGTTATTATTGGATTTTTCTTATTTTAATCTGAATTTTAACTGTTTTCACTGATAAAAACTGTATTTTGACACTTTACCAATGCTTATACACTGATAAACAACATTTATTCAACGTTTTTGTTGTAAAAACTTCTATAATTATACACGATATCTGTCAGTTAACAAACAAATCCATGTAAAATTACAGAACAATATACAGATACTGTTGATTGTCACTAATTTTAGATAATTTATAAATGTTTTCTGAGCTGCTCTTGTTGTTGTACCAGAAGGAATCAGAAGGTTTGTTTCCACCCACAGGAACTATTTGAATCCAAAGACGTCGCCATCAAGGCCTTGAAGGAAGACGTGTCTCGAGATTTAAAGGTTGGTCATTGGTTATCTCGGCGTTCATGCATTTGTGTCATCGACTGGTCAGTTTATGATTTATCTATTGATCGGCAGGAGTATGACGACTTGGTGAACAAGGTGAAGGCTTCGGGCACCTCTGTGAGCGAGCAGCTCCCACGGGGCGAGATCAGAGCATCCATCAGGAACGCCTCAGAGGTCGGTTGTTGTTTGATATGTTTCCACTCACTTCAGCTGGTGCTGGCGTGTTTTAATGAAGTAAACCTGTGATTGGCAGAACTTTGACAACGTGATGCAGGAGCTGAAGACTTTGAGAGTCTCTGAGGAAAAGGAAACCCCGGCGGGACCGAGTCCAAACTCTGAACTCTCAGGTTTGCTCTCGCCTGCTCTTCCTGGATATTTTTCAACACAAATCACTTTGTTTTTCTTCCTCTTTCTTCTTTCATTCAGTCCCTGATGGTTTAAAGTGTGTAACATTTATAACATCTATTATCAGAATTGTAATATAATATCAATAGGTAAGTTTTCATTAGTGTATAATCACCTGAAAATAATTATTGTTGTGTTTTTGTTACTTTAGAATGAGACGTTTTTATCAACAGAGGATCTTCTGGCGGAGTCCGCCGTTTGAGCTGTAGTTTCTCCTACATGCTTGGAACTGGCGGGTGAGGCAAGGGCGTTGTAATCTGAATCTTAGGTTCTGGAAAATTAAAGAGACAGTGACGATGATTCCAGATTCTGAAGTATTATTATCCATCCAAAACCCTGATTTCTGCAGTGCAAACAATACATAACCTAAAATTAATAATATAAACTAAATGAAATGTATATCCTTTCAGTTTTATAGAATTTTAGTCCTTATATAAGGGGTTCCCAACCTGGGGGTCTGCACCCCATGAGGGGTCGACAAAGCTTTACAGGGGGTTGTGAGGTCTTCTTATACACAGATACACAGTAGGTCTATATCGCAGCAGTTCATTCATTTGTGTGCCATTCCTGTAAATGAATTATGAATGAAGTTATGAATTATTTTTAAAGTTTAGATTTTACAATTTTATAATGAACACAAGTTATATTGACAGATATATATATATATCAATCACTCTCATAAACAGCCTCATCCTGCAGTAGAAAACAACCAAAGAACAAGTAGAACAATGAGAATAAAACACTGAATTTGTCAAAAAAGATGTCTATTATATATAAAAACATTATACAGACAGAATTGTATAAAAATATCAGGGAAACTCATCTCTGATCAATATTAACAGGAAATTATGAAATCTCTGGTTTTACACAAACTTCCTGCAGTTATTGAGTTCACTGGGTTCATTGTGCAGTTTATCAGCTGTTCTCTACTGTTATTGATATTGTTGAATATAATATGAAATATGCATCAAATAAAGTCAATTTACTGACAGATACATGATAGAAAAGCCCCTCAAGGAAGAAGATTGGGAGCCAGTGCCTTACAGTTAGTGTCCTGTAGCAGTCAGGGGAATTATTAGTTTCAGCTGCAGGGAGGATTCTGTCCACCGGAGGGCGCTATAGAGACAGTGTGAGATTATTCACTCAGTGCTGCTGTGAACTGGTCGCTGTAGTTCCTGTCCTGAATCAGATGGACTTTTATTATACTTCACTAAATCCTACGTACTGGTCCTTTAAAGAGGTTTCTGTAACCAAACTGTCTCATTTCTCAATTTTGTGCTGTGAGCTCCACCAAGAATGTTTGTTACTTACAAAATTGAGTTTGTGTCACTTAAACCTTTTGATATAATCCTTTACAACATTTTTTTTTGTTAGAATAACTTAATTGCATTACAGTGTATCTGCTATCTCAATTATTTAAATAAGTAATATCTGTTATCTGTTTTGTTATCTGATCGAGTCGAGCTGCATCACTTTAAAACATTTTACACTTGAATTCCTTTTATTTATTTAATTTTACTGCCATCAACATCATATTCACTGTCAGTAATCATATTGTAGAGGTAATAAGTCTTAATTACTTTGTTTTTGTGTCCTCATTTCAATATCTGGCATGCATGACAAGAACAGCAGATTGTAAACCCTCCAGGAAGCTGCGATGACAATAATTAATGCAAATGTTTGAGCTATTTTCACTTTTCTTCCACTTTCATCGCCCAAAAAAAAATGCATCATTTATTTTTAGAAAAACTGCTGTGAAATCAGACATTTTAGGCCATTTTATTATTATTATTATTATTATTAGACTTAGAGAGACTTAGACTTCTCTTTATTGATCCCTTTGGGATGACTCCCAAAAAAAAAAAAAAAAAAAAAAAAAAAAAAAAAAAAAAAGTAAACAATAAACAGTAAACAATAAACTATTAGCTAAATATAGAAAGTAGAGATAAGAATAAAAGTAAAATAAGATTCAAGTAAAATAGAATCAAATAAGATAAATGTAGAGAACTGTATGGAGGATAAATAAAGATAAATATAGATAAATATAGATAAATATAGATAAATAAAGATAAATAAAGACAAATATAGATAAATAAAGATAAATATATATAAATATAGATAAATAAAGATAAATATAGATAAATAAAGATAAATATAGATAAATAAAGATAAATATAGATAAATAAAGATAAATATATATGAATATAGATAAATAAAGATAAATAAAGATAAATATGGATAAATAAAGATAAATATAGATAAATATATATAAATATAGATAAATAAAGATAAATATAGATAAATATAGATAAATAAAGATAAATATATATAAATATAGATAAATAAAGATAAATATAGATAAATAAAGATAAATAAAGATAAATATGGATAAATAAAGATAAATATAGATAAATAAAGATAAATATAGATAAATAAAGATAAATATAGATAAATATAGATAAATAAAGATAAATATAGATAAATAAAGATAAATAAAGATAAATATAGATAAATAAAGATAAATATAGATAAATAAAGATAAATAAAGATAAATATAGATAAATATATATAAATATAGATAAATAAAGATAAATAAATATAAATATATATAAATAAAGATAAATAAAGATAAATATAGATAAATATAGATAAATAAAGATAAATAAAGATAAATAAAGATAAATATATATAAATAAAGATAAAGATAAATATAGATAAATATAGATAAATAAAGATAAATATAGATAAATAAAGATAAATAAAGATAAATAAAGATAAATAAAGATAATTATAGATAAATATAGATAAATTAAGATAAATAAAGATAAATATAGATAAATAAAGATAAATATATATAAATATAGATTAATATAGATAAATAAAGATAAATATAGATAAATATATATAAATAAAGATAAATAAAGATAATAGATAAATATAGATAAATAAAGATAAATAAAGATAAATAAAGATAAATATAGATAAATAAAGATAAATATAGATAAATAAAGATAAATAAAGATAAATATATATAAAGAAAAGATAAATAAAGATAAATATATATAAATAAAGATAAATAAAGATAAATATATATAAATAAAGATAAATAAAGATAAATATAGATAAATATAGATAAAGAAAGATAAATAAAGATAAAGAAAGATAAATAAAGATAAATATATATAAATAAAGTAATAAAGATAAATATAGATAAATATAGATAAATAAAGATAAATATAGATAAATATAGATGAATAAAGATAAATAAAGATAAATATAGATAAATATATATAAATAAAGATAAATAAAGATAAAGATAAAAATATATAAATAAAGATAAATAAAGATAAATGTAGATAAATAAAGATAAATATATATAAATAAAGATAAATGTAGATAAATAAAGATAAATATAGATAAATAAAGATAAATGTAGATAAATAAAGATAAATATAGATAAATAAAGATAAAGATAAATAAAGATAAATGTAGATAAATAAAGATAAATATATATAAATATAGATAAATAAAGATAAATAAAGATAAATATATATAAATATAGATAAATAAAGATAAATAAAGATAAAGATAAATAAAGATAAATATATATAAATATAGATAAATAAAGATAAATAAAGATAAAGATAAATATAGATAAATAAAGATAAATGTAGATAAATAAAGATAAATATAGATAAATAAAGATAAATAAAAGATAAATAAAGATAAATATATATAAATATAGATAAATATAGATAAATAAAGATAAATAAAGATAAATATGGATAAATAAAGATAAATATAGATAAATAAAGATAAATATATATAAATATAGATAAATAAAGATAAATATATATAAATATAGATAAATATAGATAAATATAGATAAAGATAAAGATAAATAAAGATAAAGAAAGATAAATAAAGATAAATATAGATAATAGATAAATAAAGATAAAGATAAATATAGATAAATATAGATAAATAAAGATAATGATAAAGATAAATAAAGATAAATGTAGATAAATAAAGATAAATAAAGATAAATATAGATAAATAAAGATAAATGAAGATAAAGATAAATAAAGATAAATAAAGATAAATGTAGATAAATAAAGATAAATATAGATAAATAAAGATAAATGTAGATAAATATATATAAATATAGATAAATATAGATAAATAAAGATAAATATATATAAATAAAGATAAATATAGATAAATAAAGATAAATAAAGATAAATATAGATAAATAAAGATAAATATAGATAAATAAAGATAAATATAGATAAATAAAGATAAATAAAGATAAATATAGATAAATAAAGATAAATATAGATAAATATATATAAATAAAGATAAATAAAGATAAAGATAAATAAAGATAAATATAGATAAATATATATAAATATATATAAATAAAGATAAATAAATATAAATATATATAAATAAAGATAAATAAAGATAAATATATATAAATATAGATAAATAAATATAAATATATATAAATAAAGATAAATAAAGATAAATAAAGATAAAGATAAATAAAGATAAATATAAGATAAATATATATAAATAAAGATAAATAAAGATAAATATATATACTTTATATGGCTTTGTGTTATTATAAAGTGGATAAATGACATTATTAAATGACTGCACTCAGTGGATTAAGTAACTGAAAGAGGATAAGCATTGTCATTGTTATTGTTGTTATTTAACAACAACAATAAAAGATGTTTTCCTGTCTCGAGCTCCCTGTGTTTACTCTCACCGTGGCTGCGCGCGACCCCCCGCTGAGAGTAAACAGCTGACCGGAAGCGCGAGCCACTTTCCCCGGAAACGCGTCGGTCCCGTCGCCTTCGTGGAGCAGCTGCTGTAATGGCGGTGCCTCGTCGCTCCTCGCAGCAGCAGCAGATCAACACTCTTCAGTCTCCGCCGAGGAACGGCGTTATCTCCGGCGCTCCTCCGGCCTCCCCGCCGATGGCTCTGCCCGCCTCTCCCGCCGGCCCCCCGGAGACGGAGCGGGAGTGCAGCGGGGGGATGGAGCTGCTGGCTCCGGCCTCCGCGGACCTTCCCGGCCCGGTTCTACCGAGTTCTACCAGCTTCAGCACGACGACCTCCGGCGGCGGCAGCAGCGTCTCCAGCCCGGGGTCCGGAGCCGGCAGCCCCGCAGACGGCAGCAGCGGCCTCGGGGGCGCGTTCCGGGAGCTGTTCGAGGCCTGCCGTAACGGAGACGTGTCCCGCGTGAAGAGGCTCGTGGACTCGGTGAACGTTAACGCGAAGGACATGGCGGGAAGGAAATCCACTCCGCTGCACTTCGCTGCGGGTGAGCTAACGGCTAACGGCTAAGCTAACGGCGGCTAGCTCTGTGTGACAGCGAGCTCTTGTTGTTGTTGTTGTTGTTGTTGTTGTGTTTTGGTTGACGTGTTTACGGCTAATGAGAGTTAGCGCCGTTAATATGAAGTTTAATATAAACACAGTGATTATTTATATATAATAAAACCGTCTGTCAACATTTAATCCCTCATAACATAAAGCGAGCTAACGTTAGCTAGCGTTAGCTCGGCAAAACAAATCGGCCTTTAATTTAGCGGCTAGGCTAGGCTAGGCTAGCTGTCGTAATGTGATTTCATGTTCAACATTAACAAGAACTTAATAATAATAATAATAATACAGTAATTATATTAGTTTCTACAGTTATTAGTAGTTTAACTAATCACTAATAAATGTCAGTAAGTAAAAGAAACATATTGCAGTTATTTAGAAAGATATTATTATTATTGTTATTATTATTGTTATTATTATTATTGTTATTATTACAATTCATAATTAAATGAGAATTATAATTTTTGCATAACTAATTGTTTTTGGACTGAAACAAATCTTAAAGTTATGATGTGAATTTTCTGGAGGTTTTACACCAAACAAACATGTTTTCTTACATTTGGAGATTTGTGGACGAGGGTAAATAGATATTGATTGATATTGATTGATATTGATGTCATGTTAATGGAGATGTTATTTTAGGAAAACTCTCACTATTATGAATAAAATCTGAGCAAAAGCTTCGTAAACATCACAGCTCTCAGTTTATGTTTACAGCGCTGCTATCTGTCGGTTCGGGTTCAGTGTTATTGAGAACTGATCAAATATCATTAAACTGTATTTTTCTATATTCGTTTACACTCTTGCTCGTACTTTAAGTCCCCTCCGGTCAGAAATCAGTGTTTCTTTCTGCTTCTACAGTCACTATACTCGAGTATTTCCATTTTATGCCACTTTATATTTCTACCCGATTACATCTCAGAGGCAAATGTTGTACTTTAGTTACTTTACTAAGGGAAAAGTTAAAGATGAAGAGTTCCTTTTATGGGTTCAAAATTCTTCTTAAATAAATAAAAGATTAAAAACACCTCTTGCATCATCTGAAAACTGCACCGTCATAAAGCTGAAAGCAGGACGTGAACCTGCAGTGGAGTATTTATTTTTAATGCCCTTTCAGGTTTTGGCAGGAAGGATGTGGTGGAGCACCTTCTGCAGACAGGAGCCAACGTTCACGCCAGGGACGACGGAGGACTCATCCCCCTGCACAACGCCTGCTCCTTCGGCCACGCAGAGGTCGTCAGCCTCCTCTTGTGTCAGGGCGCGGACCCCAACGCCAGAGACAACTGGAACTACACCCCGCTGCACGAGGCCGCCATCAAGGGAAAGATAGACGTCTGCATCGGTAAGGATCCCCGGTGATGTTGTTTGAAGCGTCTGACTTTGAGACAAATGTTTTATAAGTATATGAGAGGTGAGGACGGGGAGGTAGTCTGTCTACCAGCTTTGTTGTTTTGAAGTGTGTATCCGTGCAGTGACAAAATGAGGGCTCATGAATGCTTTTTAAGGACAAAATTAAAAGTCTTTGTTTTCTTTTTCTGCACTTTTCTCTCTCTTAGTGTTACTCCAACACGGAGCCGATCCAAACATCCGCAACACTGATGGAAAATCTGCTTTGGATCTAGCCGACCCTTCAGCCAAGGCGGTTCTCACTGGTGAGTCCCTCTCTCATATATATATACACAGTTAATATGTTTAACTACAGCCAGTAACATATAAAGAGAGCACTAAATGAGGCTTCAGTTTGCAGATAATCGTCATTAAATGAAACTAATAGTCAAAATGATGTCCTGATGTTAGTGTTACATTGAATCAGGCATCTTCAGGGTTCCCACTCATCCTGCAAAACCTAGAAAATGTGGAAATTTAGACCAAATATCTTGGAAATCCTCAAAGTTGTCCTGAAAAATTGTTTTATTTTATTCCCTCACTCAGTAAACTTGGGTGCATATCTAGTTTGCATCTGGTAAACAGTTTATCCAGTGTATTTAAAGTGGAACTGACTTGCATCTCCATGTTTACAGCTTGATAATGATCACATTTTTTGTTGCTGTGATAAATACATACACGGTGATGTTAATTTAATGAACTGTTACTGATGGGCTGTGTCCAAATTAAAGTAGCCAGAACCACAAGTCAGACACAAACTCGTGGAAAATGATTTATGAAAAAGAGGAACTGGTTTTTACAGTAACGTTGTAGCCTTACATTAAATGCTAAAACGAATGAGTAGAGTTCAGCGTGCTCAGCTCTGATCTGTTTGTTCTTCCTCCAGGTGAATACAAGAAGGACGAACTTCTGGAAGCAGCAAGGTGAGTGTCAGTGTGTCTTTACACACATTTCCTGTTGGCCAGAAGCAAACAGCTGCACAGTTTTCTTCTCATCGGGTTTAAATGTGACATTCTTCTGTGGTTGGTAGCAGATTGCTTTACATCTATCGTATCGCACAGTGCAAAGAGAATTTATATTTATAGATTTCCATATAGTCGAAACAGCTGCTGTAACTTATTAGTTTCTGACTTCTGCAATAGACGATTTGATAAATCTCTTTAAGTTAGTAGTTTATGTCAGTTTATAGTTTTTATACAGCTGCTTTAATAATTTAAAGTTTTGAAAATGAAGCCATGTTAAAGTTGTTGGAATATCTTTTATGTTTTTACTACATTGCAGCTTTCACAATAAAATGGTTTTACATTCTGCACATAGGATGGCATTAAAATGTTAAAAAAAAACATGACATATGCCTGAATCTAAAAAAAAATACCATGATACAAATTTTAGCTTATACCGAGCAGCACTAGTGTAGTGACTAAGTCTTTCACTTGAGCTGCTACTGGCTGAATATTGGGCTTATTGTTTAAAACGTATACTCAAAGAAACGATCCGTTCTGTAGCAATACGTCATGAAATAAGGACGTTTATTTTCTTATGTGTGTTCTCCAGAATCTGTCACTTCCAGTGTCACAAAACTAATAAAAACAAATGTCATAAATCACAGAGTTGAGGCTGAGCAACCGGAGGACATCGGGGGGAAGACTGGAAAACATTTTCCCCTTAAAATATGATCCAGTTTCACCAGAATCACCAGGACAGAGGAAACATTCAGCTTATTACAACTTAGTGTAGCTTCAAATGATAGTGAAACTGTTGGAAGGTAAAAAATCACAATGTTGCCTAAAGTTGCTTTAAATCTGAACATTCAACACCTTCAAAGCCCAAAAAGTAGTTTTAGTTTCATTAGTATTGCCCTCTTGTATCCTCCCTTAAAGCCTGTGGAGAGACATTTAGAGAATACTTAACGACATCGGTCTCTTCCACTGTGTAATTACAGGAGTGGAAATGAAGAAAAGCTGATGGCGCTGCTGACTCCGTTAAACGTCAACTGTCACGCCAGCGACGGCCGCAAGGTAAATGAGCCAGCAGTCAAACACCGTATCACACCTGACGTATCTGTCACAACACCTTTGATACAACACGCCGAGCAGTGAAACATCATTACACTGTGTTATAGTTGTTGATTGTGTGTGTGCAGTATAAAGAGGATTTATCATTGGATTTGTGGGAGGAAGACAAACACTGTGCAGCATACTTACGTAGATGTTTTTCTTTCTCTAATTATACACGTACGACTCTCATCCTTTACACCCATTTTCCTTTAATAACATCTCGTCTGTCACTCACCGAGCTCATTAATCCTCTAGGTTCAGCTCTCGTCATGTTTTTCCACCTTAAAATACACAACATTTGGATTCAGGTAGTTAGTTCATTCTGTGTTCTAGCAGATTAACCTATACTTTATTTACTTTTTAGTGTTTTTGTTAATCATTTTTCTACACGTTTGGACCAGATGTCTCAACGGCTTCTTCCCCATAATCCCCTTCCTGTGCCAGATGCTGGAGCAGAGCTATTTGTGATTTTTAAATACGGGGTCCAAAATTAACTGTTTGACTCATCAGCGAAAACTGAGCTGTATGTGTACCGAATACACATAAATTATTAGCCCCGAAACAGACCCAGACACTTACTTCCAACATGGTCCCGTGGCTGTGTGGACGCAGCAGCAGCATTATCAACAGTTGCTGATTGATTCAGCCAAATAGATTAATGTTTCTACATGTGACACTCGCACAAGTAACAATATGACTGTGTGTAACGCCGGACTCAGTATATTAACCAACCTGGTTGGGTCTGAATTTGAAGCACAAGACGATCAACATAAGAACTGAAAAACACAGCTCTGAAATCCAAACACAAGTCTCTCCACAATTTAAGAAACATACAATAACTATATATATGTATATAAGTGTTACCCTGTTCTGTATAGAAGTCCTAACCTGACTTCTATATGGTCGGTTACTTAACTTTTTTATAACACACATGTATCAGCCTTTACTTAAAGTTTATATCAGGAAGGAAAATATAAAATACATCAGAACGGTTGTTAATTTTGGACCCTGTTTAAATCAATGTAGGTTTATTTTTCTGTGTATTTTCTAGTGTCTGAATCCTTGTTATAGACGTTAAGAAGTATTTTTAGCATTAAAAAACCTCTAACAATTCTTTTTTGTTTGACTAGAAGGATAATGGTACAAAGAGGCATTCGGCACTTTATTTAGTGACGTCAGCATTTTTAGGTTTCATTCCCACATCATGTCAGCCACTGATCGACTCCCACTGTCATTATAGCTTTTTTTCTGCTTTTCTTAGAGATGTTTGAACTATTTCCTGTCTTATGTGGCAGAATTTCCGTCGTCTTTAAGTAAATAACTCCACTGTGCCATACAAATCCATTGACTTTCCCACCTAACCACATTTTCTTCCACAGCAGTTAAAGTGTTACTCCTCTCGCTGCCTCCTCCTGCAGTGTATTAGAGTTTGCATGATCTAAACCAGTCTGCCAGCGTGGATTTGGTCTGGGGTTTAACCAGCGGGCAACCATTAAAACCGAGGAGGAAGTCACACTCCCCCCTCCAGCTCCTCACCCTCTGTGGCCCTGCTGTCACAGTTTAATGTCAGACCATGTTTGACGGCTCGAACAGTGATTTATGTTTGATTGACTTTGAGAAGGGAGAAAAGAATTGCTGTGAAAAGATTCCTGTCATTTTGTAATTTTTGTTTCGTTTTGTTTTCCGTGTGACTCTGGCAACATTTGTCGATCAGTCAACATCCCAAAAAATGCTGGTAAGTTGACCTTGAATAACGGCCACTTGATTGATGCACTGTTGTGATCTTTTTTTTTTGTTTTTATTCCTTTTTAATCCATTGTTTTTATTTGACCAATAAGCTGGCTGTCACTTTGTTAATTGCACATCATGGACCTGGGTGTTACGGGTCACTCATGTATCCTACCCTGACGCTCCTCTGTGCGTGTTTGTGCGTGTGCGTGGCATGTGACTGAGCGAGCGAGTGAGTTGGGTTGGTGTCCTGGTGAAGACTCATCTCTTTTTTTTTTTTTGGATTTGGAGAGGAGCTCAAAATGTCCACTGCCTGCTTTTTCTTCAGCGTCTGTCCTCTCCTTTGCACTCTCACCCACACTTCTCCAACTTTCAATCACTTGCTCTTCAGCCAGCGTCTGATTTTGGCTTTTGTTTTTGTCCATTAATTGATTTCTGATGATCACTCATGCATGCCTGAAGGCCTGCCCCCCCTTTTTGCTTTTTGTCGAGCGAATCCTGAATTATTACGTGTCTGTGAAATCTGTGTCTGCGTCACGTTCCCTGTTGGATCAGTTGGTATGCAGTAATGAATGGACTACATTTTTCACCGTGTCATTGTCGTGCTATGCCACCCTCCATGGTAATGCCTTTTGATTGCTCGTGTCATCCCACACTGAATGATGCCTCCATGGTTCCACTATCGTCCATCTGATTTGCTCGCTTTGGCTTGAGATCTAACCGTCTGCTTTGAGTTTTATTTTAATCTCACTGCATGGAAAGTTGAAATGAATGATGTCCCTACGTTTTGATTGTAAGCTTGACCTGAGCTAGATTTGTTTTTTTATAAATAGAGAACAAATGAAATAGGATTTGCAGCTTTTGCTCAGACTAACTTTTCTGTTTCCCGGCTGAAATGAAGCCGTTTGATTTGATCCTCTAATAGCTTGCAGAGACGCTTTCTCAAACACTCGGCCTGCTTAATGGAGCTTCTTTGCATCCTGTTACGGTTGGGGTTGAATCTGCTTATTCCGTTTACTGCTGGTTCAGCTTTTTAAAGTAACAATAGATTTAAATACATTCATATTAGAGCCTGACCAGTGTGGTATCTTTGATTCTGATAGTTTGAATCAAAGTTTGATTGAAAATAAACTCTTTCAATATAGATTGTGCACCAATATGATTCCACAAAAGTACTCAGAAGGCTGATTTCTAAAACAAAATAACTTTTATTAAAGAATATATAAGTTAAATATTCTTTAACATGTGAGATAATTTAACATAAACTTTCTCAACCAATTCCAGTTGACATTGCTGAATTATTTGCAGGATCATTTGTTGTTTGGTCACGGAAGTAAACATTTTTAATCTGGCTTACTGCTGAAGTATGAGTCCAAAATAAACAGATGTTGCTGTGATTTAATGTCAATTAACAGATCTAAATGAAAACTACATCATCATAAGATTTGGAAAAAGTCAACACGTTCACACATACTTTGTATTTAATCTCATAGCACCAAACAATTGCTTTCGGTGTGAAAACACCTTTAGTCTGTCTGTTGAAAATCTCTGCTCAATATGTTCATATTGGATAACACATACGCTGATACTGATAGGCCAGTATTGACCAGGCTCTAATATTTCTGAACCAAAACTCAAAGATTAACATTATTTACTCCAACCAGCTCTCATCACCCAACCGTAATCCCTCCCCCCCCGCGCTGTTTAGTCGTCTAACAGTTGCACAAGCAATTCTTTCTTGTCATCTAACCACATTTAACTTAATTTTAAACTCCTGAGACGTAGGAAGAATATTTTGCTGACTGTCAAACGGAGGTCGAGGTAGATGAGGTTGCCTGTTGTTATTCGCTCAGGTCAGACATCGACAGCTAATGAATTTTGTCGCTGGATCTGCCCACAAACTCTTATTGACCTTGCATCATCGTATCCGCCATTCATCTGCAACTCACAGAGCATAGCCTGCCATAGCACATTGCTTCTGGCCCTAATCAGCCGCTTGCTCCCGTGGCCATCGGAGGCAGCACACGCTCCGCCGGCCGGCGATCTGTGTCTGCTAACGCGCTCTCCTCTCTTACAGTCGACGCCCCTCCACCTGGCTGCCGGCTACAACCGCGTCCGCATCGTTCAGCTCCTGCTGCAGCACGGAGCCGACGTTCACGCCAAGGACAAAGGGTGAGACTCTTTCACAGGAAAACTCACTAATGTTTCTATTTCACTTCAGTCCTGATGATTTCTGACTCTAACCTGAGCGTCTTGTCTCTGCAGTGGCCTGGTTCCTCTTCACAATGCCTGCTCCTACGGCCACTTCGAGGTCACTGAGCTTCTGCTAAAAGTAAGACCCACAGACAGTTTAACTTCTTTACTCCATGAGCTTGTACTTTGGGCGTTGATGAACACTTTAAAGTCAAACTTGGCTGTGTTCGGAACATTGTTCCTATAGCTTGTATATATGCAAAGTTTGTATGTAGTTTGATCTTCACCCTCCTGCTGTAGAATTTTAAAAAACTTTCTTACTTCTAATATACAGTGTCCCCGTAGTTAGTCTGTGATTATTTGGCTAAATAATAATAATGTTCAAAGTGTGTGTATGTCAACTTCCTTCACCGTTTACCACTGCAGTTTGTACTGATGCATTTATTGATCACACAGTTAGAATTAACAGTAACTCAACCAATAACTAAAAGAATAATGAACACTGAACACCTACAGTGAGTTCAGTGTTTTATTCAGATATAGTATATTATGTAGAATAAAATAAAACAAACTTAAATTGGGGACACTGGTTGTTAAGTCTGGGACAGCTTAAAGTAGAATTTGGGACAGTTCATGCTTGCAAATTGGAAATATATTTTACAAATGTCTCCCTTTTCTATTTGAACATATGTTTTACCATCAGTGTTGTAACATACTGTGACTTGGAGATCCTGTCGGTGTGTTTGTAAAATGAGGAGCTAATTAGGAGTTTAAAACGATTCACTGGAATTCTTCCATCCGTTCTTAGACTTTATCTGATGTGCGGTTCTCTCTGCAGCATGGAGCCTGTGTGAATGCCATGGACCTGTGGCAGTTCACTCCTCTTCACGAGGCAGCGTCCAAGAACCGAGTGGAGGTGTGCTCCCTGCTGCTGAGCCACGGCGCCGACCCCACCCTGCTGAACTGTCACAGCAAGAGCGCCGTGGACATGGCCCCCACTCCAGAGCTTAAAGAGAGGCTCACCTGTGAGTTCTCCCTCTGTCACACAGCAGACACAATATACATCCTTATCATTATTATTATTATTGTTATTATTATTATTATTAACTGTGGGCAGTTAAAAATCAGTTTAAGCTTTGTCTTTGCAGTCACATTCAAATAAGTAGCCTGCCGTCACTCAGACGACATTTAAAACAAATCAGACCACTAAAAACATGTAATTTTCTATTTACTTCTCTTTCTGTTCCATGTAGATGAGTTCAAGGGTCACTCGCTGCTGCAGGCAGCCCGGGAGGCAGACATGGCCAAAGTGAAGAAGACGCTGGCTCTGGAGATCATCAGCTTCAAACATCCCCAGACCAACGAGACAGCTCTGGTCAGTCAGACAGCTAACTAACTAACTAACTAACTAACTAACTAACTAGCTAATCTATTTATTTATCTTTGATTTGATTGGCTCTCTGTGCCAAGTGTGACATTGAGAAGCGGTGCAACTCCACGCTTAGAGTTGGAAGCTATTTTAACTTTCATGCAATTAATTAATGATGATTTACAGCCAGTTAGTTGTGTGTTAAGAGGATTGGTGTTCACTCAATGCATTTGTCCTTGGTTGCACACTAATCTAATGTTGGTGTGTGTTTTAGCACTGTGCTGTGGCTTCCCCGCACCCCAAGAGGAAGCAGGTGACTGAGTTGTTGCTGCGTAAAGGTGCCAACATCAATGAGAAGAACAAAGAGTAAGTCCACAACCTTGAGTTTTTAAAAACATCCTCAGAAATAGCAACAAGAGAGGTTAAGTGTATGTTGAAGCACATTAATAATAATAACTTCCTGTCTGTTGTGTCTTTAAGCTTCATGACTCCGTTGCATGTTGCTGCTGAGAGAGCTCACAACGACATCCTGGAGGTGCTGCAGAAACATGGAGCAAAGGTCTGTTTTTGTTTTCACATTCCCATTGTGCGCTGCCGGGTCTGATCTGAGAGCTGTGTGTTAACGTCACCTGCTCTGACTCCAGGTAAACGCCGTGGACACGCTCGGTCAGACGGCTCTTCATCGAGCGGCGCTGGCCGGTCACATCCAGACATGCAAGCTGCTGCTGAGCTACGGGGCCGACCCGTCCATCGTGTCCCTGCAGGGTTTCACCGCGGCTCAGATGGGTAACGAGGCCGTACAGCAGATCCTCAACGGTAAATGTTACAGACATTGAAGCAGATATTGTAGTGAAGTGTGAGGATTTTTAAAGCTTTATTATCTGATATTTTTGCACCTGTTTATATTTATTCCATGTCTGTTGTGTTTTTGTGTATGCCTGTTGTTCTCAGATCTCAATCTCAATGAGACCTGATTAAATAAAGATGAATAATATCTGAGGTTTCTTTCAGTCCTTAATGCTCAGATAAATTAATGTGACACTAATGTCCCTTCAGGGGAATCTACCAGATCTAAACCTCGATCATGGGCTTTCATATGATGTATGTAGTGAATCTTTTTCTTTGTATTAAATTTGTTTGTTTTTTTCCAGAAAATGTTCCCACACGTAACTCTGACGTGGACTACAGATTTCTGGAGGCGGCCAAAGCAGGAGATCTTGACACAGTGCAAGTAAGTTCACTGTTGGTTTGGTAGTTTTTGTGACAGCAGTAACTACAGTGGTACTTTTTTATTTAGTTTTAAATGTAGAGATGATTTTAAGTTGCCGATTTTAGCAGCAAACTCACAGGATAAAATCATTATTTTGGTTTCTTGAAGAATTTGCACTCACTTGTAGCCGCCGTTCACAAATGACTGTGAAGGCTCTATTTGAATTGTCCTGTAAACCTGCTGTCACACCACTCTGCTGTTGCTGATGATCATGATGTCTCTCTGCGTGTGGCAGCAACTTTGCACCCCACAGAACGTGAACTGCCGGGACTTGGAGGGCCGCCACTCCACTCCTCTCCACTTTGCAGCCGGTTACAACCGAGTGGCTGTCGTTGAGTATCTGCTACACCACGGAGCTGATGTCCACGCCAAAGACAAGGGGTCAGTGCTTGAACTGCAATTTTATTACATTTTACTACAGTTCACAGGGCTGCATGATGTGGTAAAAATATCATATTGCGATGTGATTCACCATTAGTGCGGGAATTTTGCATTACAAATGTAATTTTCACGAAGATCATGTGAACAAGCATGTTTTCTTTAATCTGGAGAGAAAGATTTATAGACCAGGACATCTGTGCAGCTCTACAGTACTTCATTATAATGCTGTTTTCCCTTTATGGAAATATTGCAGCTCTTGTAATTTGTATATTTTACATGACTATATTGCAAATCAGATAATATTTTGATTAAATGTGCAGCCATACGTTTGACCTATCTGTAGGTTGTATCACAAATGTGATGAATCAAATGCATTTGGATTTATAACTATTATAACACAGAAAGGTTCTAGAAAGGTCTAAAAAGTCTTAAATTTAACCTGCAGAAACCCTGTGTAATGTTTATGTTTTAAGAGTTCATTTTGCAGCAGAAACAAACATATCTCCTCAGATTTTCACTTGTGTTGTTGCCCCTGCAGCGGTCTGGTTCCCCTCCACAACGCATGCTCCTACGGTCATTATGAAGTGGCTGAGCTGCTGGTCAGACACGGAGCTTCGGTCAACGTGGCCGACCTGTGGAAATTCACCCCGCTTCACGAGGCTGCAGCCAAAGGCAAATACGAGATCTGCAAACTGCTGCTCAAAGTGAGTTTTACTTTTCAACACTGAAGGTTAGATTGACGGAAAGTAATCAGCCTTTATATATATATATAAATTTAAAAAATGCGGAAACAAACATTTAAGAGAGAAATACAGAAAGAAACAATTGTTATAAATGTTAAAGAACAAAAACTGGTAATGGTATGAAGATTTGTGTCACAGACATTATTGTTATACAGTGTCAGTTATTGTTGTGATGATGATCATGAGGGAAATGGATCACAATACAATGAGGAACTCTTAAACTCTCGTGTTCAGCACGGAGCCGACCCATCCAAGAAGAACCGTGACGGCAACATGCCGCTGGACATGGTCAAAGACGGAGACACGGACATCCAGGACCTGCTGAGGGGGGACGCCGCCCTGCTGGATGCCGCCAAGAAGGGCTGCCTGGCCCGGGTCCAGAAACTGTGCTCCCCGGAGAACATCAACTGCAGAGATACGCAGGGACGCAACTCCACACCTCTCCACCTCGCAGGTAACCGGGCTGCTTCTACGTGTTTCTTCTTCTGACTTCTATCTGTCGTTCTCTCTGCTCCCCCTGTTGTAAAACCTACTGCCTGGTTATAAAAGGTTATATAAATGTTTTGAAGATAGTATTTTAAGTTTAAGTCACATTTTCCTGCTCTGATTCGTGTTCTTTCTCCTCAGCTGGTTACAACAACCTCGAGGTGGCAGAGTACCTGCTGGAGCACGGGGCTGATGTCAACGCCCAGGACAAAGGCGGCCTCATCCCTCTTCATAACGCTGCTTCCTACGGGGTCAGTCCCAGCAACATGAACATAAACACTTTAAATACAGAACCTGTGGGGTTTGATTTACAAGCTACAGGAAACTGTAGGTGTTGGTGGTCTTACCTTCAGCTCCTGGAAATAACAATAACTGTTTATTGGTTCTGTGTTATCTGAATATTAAGCCTCATTTCTGATCATGAAAGATTTGATTTCCTTTAGAAGTCGTATCGAGGCTTAAATCTTCGTAAAAGTCTGAAATTGAACCTGCGGGAACGTTCAGGAACCCTGTTTCACCCTGACTGACCTTCTGTTGCCTCTCTTCCTCACAGCACGTGGACATCGCCGCCCTGCTGATCAAGTACAATACGTGTGTGAATGCTACAGACAAATGGGCTTTCACGCCCCTCCATGAGGCGGCCCAGAAGGGGCGCACGCAGCTCTGTGCGCTGCTGCTGGCTCACGGAGCCGACCCCACCATGAAGAACCAAGAGGGCCAGACTGCCTTAGACCTCGCCACGGTAACGCGTCACGCTGCTCCTTCTGTCCTCAAACTGATCACAGTACAGTTCTTTCAATTAGTTCCTCTCTGCCCTCCCTGCAGGCTGACGATATCCGCGCCCTGCTGATGGACGCCATGCCACCAGACGCCCTGCCCAGCTGCTTTAAGCCCCAGGCCACGGTGGTTAGCGCCTCGGTCATTTCCCCCGCCTCCACGCCGTCCTGTCTGTCGGCCGCCAGCAGCATAGACAACCTGGCTGGACCGCTCACCGAGCTGGCTGCAGCCTCCGCGTCCGGGTCCTCCGGAGTGGCAGACGGCGCCACGGGCACCGACCGGAAGGAAGGAGAAAGTGAGTTTGTTGTATTTCTCATTTTGAATATCGGTCGGTTTACAAAGCCGGTGAACACAGCTGTGATGAATTATTTATTTCTCATCCAACTCTTTAGTGGCAATGCTGGACATGAATATAAGTCAGTTCCTGAAGAGTCTGGGCCTCGAGCACCTGAGGGACATCTTTGAGAGGGAGCAGGTGAGCTATCAAAACAACCTCGTATACAAGATATTTGAACTGCAGCAGGTTCAGACAAACAGTCCTGCTGCCGTCTGTTAATATTATAAACAGTATATATCTGTACGACTCTGTGTGTGTTGGTATAAACTGCTCAACCTGCTCTTATTGATTATTTCCTTTTCCCAGATCACCCTGGACGTGCTGGCTGACATGGGTCACGAGGAGCTGAAGGAGATCGGAATTAACGCCTACGGACACCGACACAAGCTCATCAAGGGTGTGGAGAGGCTGCTGGGCGGCCAGCAAGGTGAGGAGTCTCTTTAGATACCACGAGGAGTTACCACTTCTTAAAGCCAACACATAATGTTTATCTGGAATATTTCCCAGCAGACATTTCAGCCGTTGCTATGTTTATCTGTCAGACAGCTCCACGCGATGCCAGCTAACATGTTCACACCCGATATCTGTATCTTGTTGTATTTTCAGGTGCCAACCCCTACCTGACATTCCACTGTGCCAGCCAGGGCACCATCCTGATAGACCTCGCCCCAGACGACAAAGAGTACCAGTCAGTGGAGGAGGAGGTGAGTCGAGGTTCAGCCTCTCTGTTGGTGCTGCGTTTAACCTGCTAGCTGGTTTTAGAAATCAATCGTTTGTTTTTAACGAACAGAACTTTGTATTTAAATGCGTCTGTGTCCTGTTATGATTTGGTGCAGTCCTTGCTCGAAAGTTGTAAACTTTCTGCCATCATTACGACACCAGTGGAGTTGAACAGGGTTTCCAACGCGTCCTGGAAAACCTGGACACTAAGATGACCAAATATCCTCGAGATAATCTTTATCTGTCTCATGAAAATATTTATTGTATATGAGCCCCTCACTCAGATCACCTTTGTAAAGTTAGGTACATTTTGTTTGAGACTCCACTGTTGGTAGAATAAACTGCATGGTATGACACTTCAAAGCCGCTTTTTAAGGTTCCCTTTTGATTCCGGCTCCCGTGTCAATCAAGAGACATGACACAACTTTTGGCATCAAGTCTATTTTGGAAATGCTTTACAGTCAGATCTACACACATGCAGCCTATTAATGATCAGATTTACATTTCATGCTGTGGTCAGTAAATGAATGCAGCACTTTTACTTTCTACCTCGGCTTATAATGGGCTCAGAAGATGAATTGAGCTATGGCCAAATTAATATTACAGTTAGAGGAAGGCTGTAGTCAATTTGAGACCGCAGCTGTGGTGAGAACAGCCACAATCACTGACTCCCCCCGTGCTGTCTTTGTATATTGGAAAATGATTTCTAAAGAAGAATGGGAACCTTGTTGGATTATTAGCTTATTTCAGTTTGACCTACATTTTATTTTCATAATGAAAGTGTCGTTGTGTGACTCCTGTCTGTCATATAGTGCATTCAGTGCAGCGGTCCACCTCTGATTATATAATCGAATATTCGTTGACAGCCTAATAGAAAAATACAAACAGTATAATCTATGCAGCCACTGTAGCTGCCTGCTAACGCTGCTGTCAGCGAGTTTTCCTGCTTATGAATTTGTGGTGTTTTGCTTTGTGTGTCCCTCAGATGCAGAGCACCATCAGAGAGCACAGAGACGGAGGCAACGCTGGGGGGGTGTTCAGCAGATACAACATCATCAAGGTTTGAACCAGCAGCCTCTTCCTGTCTGCTGATAATGAGCTTTATCAGCGTCTGTTTCTCTGTATTAATGGTGGTTGGTGTAAAGCAGACATGTTGATGTCCCACAGATTCAGAAGGTGGTCAATAAGAAGCTGAGAGAACGTTACACCCACCGGCAGAAGGAGATCGCCGATGAGAACCACAACCATCACAATGAGAGGATGTTGTTTCACGGTAACCACGCCCACTGCCACGCCCTCTCTTTGTTTAGTGTGTCAGCACAGCGTGGATGTTAGTCCTTCAGAAGCTTTCTATGTTTAATGTGACACACTATCAGTCGGCCACTGTGTGTAACATCATTGGTCTTCCTTCAGGTTCCCCGTTCATCAACGCCATCATCCACAAAGGCTTCGATGAGCGCCACGCCTACATAGGAGGGATGTTTGGAGCAGGGATCTACTTTGCGGAGAACTCCTCAAAGAGCAATCAGTACGTCTACGGCATCGGTGGAGGCACAGGCTGCCCGACGCACAAAGACCGGTCCTGCTACCTGTGCCACAGGTAACTGCAGTTCCCCTCTGTTCTTCATCAGAATGAAGGTTTTCTGTGTGTCTGACCTTCCTCCTCTCCTCTGGACTCTCAGGCAGATGCTGTTCTGCAGAGTCACCCTGGGGAAGTCCTTCCTACAGTTCAGTGCCATGAAGATGGCCCACGCTCCACCGGGACACCACTCAGTGATCGGGCGGCCGAGCGTTAACGGCCTGGCCTACGCCGAGTACGTCATCTACAGAGGAGAGCAGGTAAATCAGACGCCAGAGTTTCCCTGAGTCCTCTGAGGCTTTAAAGGTTTAGTGTTTGTCAACATGGACCTTATTTTCTATGTTTTTGTGTCAAAGTGACCAATGGAGTCAACACGTTTTATATCTGGTTCAGTATCGATGGAGCGCTCCTACAGCGAATCCTTGCCAACAATTACTCATCACCTAAATACGTCCATTAAAGGTTTTAGTTTGTACCACAATCGTCTGTCAGCCTGACCCCACAGAGAGAAATTACATGTTTTCTGTCCCATCCTTCATCCGCTGTGTCCAATAGGCCCTGACTAAAGCTCTTACTAATCAGTCAGAGTAATGACGTCATACTAAATGCATGACATTCATGGTTGAGCAGGATAATTTATAGCGTATTTAATCATTATCAACAACATTTTACACGCATTTTATTACTTTTGTAGATAACACTGATTAATAAAACAAGGAAAAACTACTTTCCTGCCATAAATTATAAGTTAACAAAAGTAAATCTAGGTAAAGAAGGAGAAGATCTTTTGTAAGTTTAAACATTTTTATGAACAGATTCCTGTTTTTGGGTTCGTGTCAAAACAAGACGTAAACTTTCACTTTGGGATTGTTTCTTCAGTTTTTGGACCCAGCACAGCAATGTGGAACTTTTTACTGTGTGATATGTTTAAGACATCCACAGACTGCAGTCGCCTGTAGGATAAAGTTAAAGCAACCTGTCACTTCCCTGTTTCAGTCTCTGACACTTTATCTAACATTAATAGTAGTAAATGTAGCCTGCAACCAGGAAGGAGACTGAACACAGGCTGCAGCTCTCTCACTCAAAACCAGAACCAATTCTAAACTTGTCGTCCTCATTTCTCACTTTGACACAAAAACATGGAGAAAAAATAGGTTGAAAAACTGCAAAGTCGCCGTTTAACTGTCTCTTAATGCTGCTGTCTGTCTCCTTCAGGCCTTCCCAGAGTACCTCATCACCTACCAGATCCTTAAACCGGAGAGTGCAGCCCAGTCTGCTGCAGCAGCTGAGCAGAAGTCGTAGTTACTTTACATCACACACACTCTCTCCACACACACACACACACACACACACACACACACACACACACACACTCACAGAAAGACTCGATGCTCGTTATTTTGTCCTTTGTATTGCAACACCTTTTTATTTACCGAACACATTTCCAGTCTCCAGTAGAACCCGTGGTGACCAGTGCTTCATGAGCAGATCTGCTGTATAATATTCTCCTACTCGTGGTGATGACACACTTTTTTTTTTTTTTGTGCATCGGCTGCATGTTAATACAGACGCATGTGAGAACCAATAGCGTGCGTGGGTTCCCCCCCTCCTCTTCCCCTTCCTCCTCACCAATCAGGAGGATGCTTGTAGAGACTTTGAAGTATCAGCATTAACAGTTTGCCACTCGTTGTCGCCTCATGCCTTGTGACTGTGCAGAACCACCGACCCCTCGCCTCCACACACACACACACACACACACACACACACACACACACACACACACACACACACACACACACACACACACACACACTGTCGAAGCCTGAAACCTGTGGACTACTACTGCCCCGCCGTATCTGGGTTCATCCTGTACAGAATGGCCTCTGTGACTGTGATTTTAATGCTAACCTATAACACTACCAAACAAGTAACAGTGCATTGTTGCTAAGCTGTAATGCCGACTCCCCCCCCCCCCCCCCCCCGACACTACAGACACTGAACTGAAATGTGTTTTTGTTTTTTACTTTTTAAGTGGTTTTATTCAGGGCTGGACGGAGAACGAGCTCTCTGTCGGATCACAGACGTTGTTACAATAATGATTTATCGGTAAACTGAAACATAAAGGCATCAGAATTACACGAGGAGGGTAAAGTAAAGGTGTGGATGTTGTATATTAAAAGCATTATATATGAGACCGCTTCGAGACAGTAGAGTAAGTAAATGTTCAGAGCACAGATACAGAAATGTAGATTCTTGATTTGACGTGCGTCTGCGTGTCGCGGAGGTCAGATCAGCTAGTTAACAATACTGAGATACCGACTGAAACTCTCTTAATGAACCGATTTTCATGGAATTTAGTCTGTTATGAACATGAGGAATTGAACCTGAGCCTGAATCACCGCTTGGAAAAAGGCTGCAGGTGTGTGGACGCACAAACAGATTAAATATTCACAACAAATAAAACAGCCGCTGCTACTCAGAGCAGCACTTTGTCCAAAATACAGAATGAAAACATTAATGTTAGTGTGTTTGAGCTGCTGCATAAAGTCTCAACACATGGAACAAATTACTGTCCAACAGGAAACTAACAATAAAAACTGTTCTCCTATTTCAAATTATATGTTCTCCGGTAAATAAAGTTGACAAAAACAAGCAAACAGGCGTCTTTATAACAATATTACAGATATAAAATCTACATTTTTTAGAGAAATAATTCATACTTCATGTTCCAATCAAAAGGTTGATGTTTAACATAGAGCTGATTAACTGAATCTCTCCGTATTGTAAAGTATGTGACCTCCGCAGTAAAGCGACTGCGCAGACGCATCCGGCAGCGGTTGATGAGAGATTCGTGTTTCTGTATCTGCGGTTCAGAGTGTTGAAATGTGCTCGTGATGCCTTTTTACAGGTGAACACCCGACAGCCAGTGAACTCATCGCAGCGCCCTGTCTCTGTCGCGTCGGTCTCGCTCACAGACATCCCACGCATTAAGGATTTGCACTTTTACATAGAAAACCTATTTAAGTTATTTTGAATTTAAATTGCAAAATTTGCGGGAAAAAAATATTTGTACAGGTTGTGTAAATGGTTGTGTATAACTGTTACTGTTTGACTGTAAATGACATATGGATTCTTCCTTTCATGCCTTCTTGATTCTCCCAACTTTTTTTTAAATAAATGTCCCATTAACAGCTCGTTGTTGTGGATTGATTGTGTCAGAAAGATGTTTGTGGTTTAGTTTTAGTCACATTAAACATGTAAAGCATGTAAAGCAGGAGCAGCAACAGATTGTAACACGACAAAGAAACAAACAGGTTTTATTTAAAGTGCAACAGAAGGAATATTAACACTGTGAGGAAATCAAAACTACACTTTTCTATTTTTTACAACATTAAAAATAATACATAAAATATTAATTCTTCCAAAAGAAAACAGTTTTTATGTTTTCCTGTGTTCACTGGATGAAAAGGTCTCTGTATCGGGGGGGAACAGTCATTGTATAGGCTTTATATCTTTATATGTGGGTCAAGTTCTCAGGTCATGTGACTTCATATATTCAAAAATAAACTTTATTACTGGACTTTGTTTCTTAAAGACTATTTTATATGTTATTATATTCTAAAAGCTTTAATAATCAGCATTAACAGTCAGTTTACTGGAGCATACGTCGCCCATATAAAGGTATTAAACAGGGATAATCACAGATATATGCAGGTTCTGAGGCCTATAATCTATAAATAATCAATAATATAAAGGTGTGAAATATTGATTACTCTTTATTTTACTTTATTCTTGGCTAATAGTACATAAAGTTACATACAGGTTGTTCAAAACACATGAATAATTGCTGTTATTTTCACTTTTTTACAACTTTTTGTAAAAAATATAAAACAAAGTAGAGAATTAATGTAAGTATATTAAGTTCATTAATACTTAATCAATGTATATTAACTACACTGAGCTGCTGTGTACTTCTGTTTATAGAAATAATTACAATAAATAAGGATTCGAGGTTATTTATCATTTAAATAAAAAATAAAAAAATATTAATAAATCATAAAACTCAATAAAAACTATAAAAAGTCAGTTAAACTAAATAAAATCCTTCTCCACCCGAACGTTAATGAAGCTCACACATCTAATTGTAGTGTTTTTGTTTGTTTACATGCTGTATTTAATGTAAACAAACTACGAACTACACTTCCTTTATAGAAGGACTACAACAACAGGGTCACGCACAGGATACGTCATCGCGCTCAGCTGACCGCGGCGCGCTCCCGGAGCAGAGTGTATTGTCTTTAAAGTGAGTTCAGTTCAAACACAGCTCACCTGTGAGGCCATGCTGTGCAGACATGCAGTGGGAAAGTGTCTCCGTGTTGTTCTGTCTCCTCAACTTCACCCGAACTTCTTCAGAGGGACATTTGATCCGCGTGGATGTTCGCAGAGCGGCGGGAGAGCTGCGACACTTCTGGAGGAGCTCCGGGTTCTGGTAGGTCCACAGCGGGGGGACAGGAAGCAGTGAGGGACACGTTGTATCGATCAGTGTGGGTTCGTTTGAAGCCCGAATCTACCTGCAGACCTCTGAGACTCATATGAGATATTAAATAATGTTGTGTAAAGGAAGCAGCTTTAACAAAGCTAAGATCTTTTTTAAAATGACTGTTTTTTAAGTGGAGTTTGGTGCAGACTCTGTATGAAGTCTGATTGCGCTGCTACGAACCGGCTGGTAGATAAACATTGATTAGTGCTGGGTGGAATCACTCCAAAGATTATATATTAATAATATTCTGGTGGTTTCCAACCTTTGTCTTTCTATCACTGTGTTAAAGTGATGACCCTCTAACATACTTTATGATTGTTTCATATTATATACAGTAGCAGTAACTGGAGTATTTCCTGTGGTTATTGATCAGAGACTGATATTTATATACAACCCTTTGTCTGTATTGTGTATCTGTATCATTTATAACACTCGTACAGACATTGTATGTTTATTTTCTGATTCAGTGTCATTGCATACTCCAATATATGAAGGAATCACAATGTAAACAGTCTTTATTGTAAAAGCAGAACTTAAAAATAGTATAACAATATTTATTTAAACACATAAAATACTCAAATTATTTAAAGAAATATTTCTGAAGTGTTCTGTTACACGAATAATAAACAGATTGTTGTGTTAAAGAGAGTTAGTTGTGGGTTATTAGTAGTTGTGATATAAAGTTATAACTGTTAATAATAAGATAATATAAATATAATACCCAGAGTGGCTCTTCTCTGTGTCCAGCCCCCCGCTCCCTCACACCCAGGCCCACCAGTTTGACCTGAGTCTGGACCAGCAGCTGAACCTGGCCTATGTGGGCTCAGTCCCCCACGGAGGGATCCAGCAGGTCCGGATCCACTGGATGCTGGAGCTGGTCTCTGCACAGTAAGTGGACCAGCAACCATTAAAGATCAGAGACTGGGACGATACGGAGGTTTAAAGTACCTCTGCCTTGATGCAGCTCAGTCTGGGTGATTATTGATCCAATATCTGAGTTAGAAATAACAAACAACATCCAAACTGATGCAACAGCAGATAACCATCAGTGATAAACATTGTGAGTGTTTCTGGTTCAGTGTTGACTCTCTGTCCGCTCTCGTTGCTGTAGAGACGTTGGAGGACGACCTCAGTACGACTTCACTAAACTGGACCAGCTGATAGAACTGTTGAGGGTTAACGGACTCCGACCAGGTATTTAAACATCACTTTGTTTAGTTAGTTTCCTCTGGTTGGAGGCCGGTGTTCACTGGATGAAAAGGTTTCTGTATCGGGGGGGAACAGTCGTTTATATCTTTAAATATGGGTGTATATAAGTTCTCGGGTCATGTGACTTCATATATTCAATATAAACTCATCATCTGTGACAAAAATGGCAACAAAACCACCGGCCACGAAGTAAAAGGTGTTATTTTTTCAGGTTTATTATGTTTTGGTGGACAGTTTGGTTTCTTGAGGATTATTTTATATTTTTGTGTTGAAAAATATTTAATTATATTCTAAAAGCTTTAATAATCAGCATTAACAGTCCGTTTCCTGGAGCATACATTGCCCATATAAAGGTATAAAACAGGGATAATCACACTCAGATATACACATCTGAGGCCTATAATCTATAGATAATCAATAATATAAAGGTGTGATATATTGATTACTCTTTATTTTACTCTTAAATGTGGATTATTCTTGGCTAATATTACATATAGTTACACACAGGTTGTTCCAAACACGTGAATATCTATTGTTATTTTCACAAAACAGAAAAGAAAGTAGAGAATTAATTTAGAAAATGTTTAAAAGTTGGCACATAAACTATTTAAAAGAGGGAAAAAGGTTAAAGTTATACATTAAATGGGCCAATGTGTGTCTGGAGATTCAGTCTGTAAATCAGAAAATAAAGGTCATATTTAGAAAATTGTGTTATTTTAGCCTATAAAATAAAAAATCTATATATAATAGACGTAAAACAAAACATGAATCACAGCTGTAACTTTGTTGTTTTCAGGTTTTGAACTGATGGGCAGCGTCTCCAACTACTTCACTGACTTTGAGGACAAATCACAAGTGATGGAGTGGAGAAATCTGGTTTATCTCACAGCCAAGAGATACATCGGTGAGTGAGTGCCACTGCGTACCCGCTGATCACGATCAATAAATCTGAATCTGTTCCTGACAACACGTACTCCTGTTTAGTTCATTATTGATTGTAACCTGCAGATAAATACGGCCTGGGAAGTGTTTCTCAGTGGAACTTTGAGACCTGGAATGAGCCCAACAACCACGACTTTGACAACGTCTCCGTGTCAATTCAAGGTGATCCCACAATGCATCCTGCCTGCGGTCATATGTCACAGATTTGAGTTATTCTTTCAGGGGAAACTGTTCAGAAATGAAGCTATTGGTAGATATTCTTCCTCCACAGATATTATATTACTTATACTTATGTGACTTATTCCAGAAATGTGTCTTATTTAAAATTAGACACAGACTAACAGTGAATGATCATGAATACATTAAAGTCGTAATATTTTGAGTTTCAGTGGAGAGTTTTAGCACGCAGTGACGGACAGCTGTAGGATTATTTTCATTATTGATTATTCTGCCAATTATTTTACAGATTAATCTTTTGGTCTTTAAAATGTCAGAAAATAGTGAAAAATGTCCATTCAGTTTAATGTGATATTAAACAGAGAAAAGCTGGAAATCTGGAAATATTTGAGACATTTTTGCAAGAAAAATTACTTTACAGGTATTATTTTCTGTTGATCGACTCATTGTTGCCGCTTTAAAAAGTTTCCACATCTGAAAATAAAAAAATAAAGACCAATATAAATACTAGACCAGTGGAGTGGATATCACCAGAGATTTCAGTGCCATAAACTTCTCTTCAGGGTTTCTGAACTACTACGATGCCTGTTCGGAGGGTCTGCTCGCTGCCAGCAGTCTCCTGAGGTTCGGGGGTCCGGGAGACTCGTGTCATTCTCCCCCCACTCACCGTACTGCTGGGCCATGCTGCAGCACTGCTACAACGGCACCAACTACTTCACCGGAGAGACCGGGGTCAGGATCGACTACATCGCCCTGCACAAGAAGGTGGGATCCTCTGGACTCCAGCTGGGTCATTGGTGGAGATTGTTTCTCTTCAGGGTCCAGTTGATTTCTTTTCAAACACAAAACTACTTCAATGAATGCATTAATTATCTCAATTAATTGTAAAACCGATGTAATTTTGGGAGCCCTCCTGTTTCTGTCCTGTAGGGGGGAGGCTACTCGTTGCCCATCCTCCAGCAGGAGGTCCAGACGGTGGGAGAGATCCAGGAGCGGTTCCCCCGGTTCCGCAGCCTCCCGGTGTTCAACGATGAGGCCGATCCGCTGGTGGGCTGGTCCAGGCCTCAGGAGTGGAGGGCGGATGTGACCTACGCTGCCATGGTGGTGAAGGTGAAGACTGACTGATTAAAGTCCAGTGTATTGATTTAGATTTATTAATGCATATCTTAGTTTGTCCCAATCCTCTGTCCCATCAGGTCATAAACCAGCACCAGAACCTGCTGCTGGCCGACCCGAACAGCACCATCAACTACACCCTGCTGAGCAACGACAACGCCTTCCTCAGCTACCACCCTCACCCGTTCACCCAGCGCACCCTGACCGCCCGCTTCCAGGTCAACAACACCCAGCCGCCTCACGTGCAGCTCATCAGGAAGCCCGTCCTCACCGTCATGGGCCTGCTGGCTTTACTGGGTGAGTCTCTTTACAGCAGGGTTCATTCTGTTGGTCTGTCCCAGTCCTGGTTTAAAGGTCCCCTCCTCCTCCTGTGTGTGCGTGCGTGCGTGCGTCTGTCTGTGTGTGTGTGTGTGTCTGTGTGTGTGCGTGCGTCTGTCTGTGTGTGTGTGTGTGTCTGTGTGTGTGTGTGTGTGTGTTTCCACCTGAAGGAGAGACCCAGGTCCTGGCTCAGGTTGTGAACTCGGCAGGAACCGACAACAGCACGGTGGGAGTTCTCGCCAGCAGCCACGAGCCCGTAGCGGCGAGCGGCTCGGACAGCTGGCAGGCCGCGGTGCTGGTCTACAACAGCGACGACAACCGCACCTCCACCGGCGCCGATGATGTCACCGTGTCTCTGAACGGACTGGCTGAGCTGAAAGGTACGTTAACAAACTACTCCCAGCAGATCCACCAGGCCTTTGTTTGTGTAAGACAGTCCTCCCTGTTACCTGTCTCACATCCAGGTCTCGTGTATGTGACGTATTACATCGACAACAATGTGACCAACCCGTACGAGCTGTGGCGGAGCTTCGGCAGCCCAGACTACCCAACGGCACAGCAGTTCAGACTCCTCAGGAGTGTGCAGGTAAACAACAACAACACTGTCAACATCAACATTATCATGTTCACAATGCTGAATATCACTGGCTCTCAAACTCCCTCTAGTGGTCTGTGGAGGAATCTCCATGTTGGTGGAAAGAGCACTGAAAGTCTGTACTCAAGTAGAAGTACAGTTTATTACTGAATTAAAGCTGCAAGCAGCAATAATCGGGCCCTCGCAGTCCGCAAGTGTCCACGCACTGGTCTTTAGACTGCACTGTCGATCCGATCAATGCCCTATGAGGAGTTTGTTCAAATACAATGCGCCAAATTCCAAATGGCTGACTTCCTGTTGGGTTTGGGGTTTGGGTCCAAGAGCAGGCGTATTCATAGATGAAGATCTTGTTCAGAGCAGCTTTGATCCACATGTTGGATGTCGTTGTGTCAGGACCCTCAGGTTGACGGACCCTGGGACGTTCCTGAAGGGGACACTCTGACACTGAAAGCCAGACTGTCTGTGCCGTCCGTCCTCCTTGTCCATGTGTGTGCTCAACCCAAAGCTGCACCAGACCAGGTCAGTACCAACAACAACAACAACAACAACAACAACAACAGCAACATTAAAGTATTATTTATCTGCAGCAGCACATCAGTTGAAGGTTGTGCCGTCTGCAGTTGAGCACGTGTTTCTGTGTCAGATATGAGAATGTGAATGTGTATCAACTCAAAGCTTGATGGATGGAAGTGGAACAACAGCAGAGATGATGATGATGATGATGATGATGATGATGAACTGTTTGACTTTAGGTTAATGGATTACGCTTCATCAGGATCACCAAAGGCCAAGTCCTGATTGTCTGGTCGGACCACTGCGTTGATTCCAAGTAGGTGAACGTGATTATTTCTTTATTTCTGCAAGAAAATGTAACAGAGTTAAAGGCTAATGAGTAGGATTTTCTTAAGAATCAAAGTATAGACTCATACAAACACAATCCCTCTGTGTCCAACACCCACTGGATGTGAGTGGCAGTGTCTGTATCTGTGAAATCAAAGAGGAAACACATGAAGGATCATGAAAAGCTGTAATTCCTGCCTGTGAATCTCTGTGTATTTGCAGATGCATTAAGACGTTCGAGGTGGAATTCTCCTCGGAGCAGAAGGAATTCAGCAGAATCAACACTCAGGACTCCATCTTTACGTCTCACGTTTATTCACCGGGTAAGAAATCTTTCACCTTTCAGACTGTATTTCAGCATCGTGGCATCCGACTGTGGAAATAAGACCATGTTGTGTTGTGTAGTGGACCAGGAGGTCAGCGGGGTGTACAGAGTTCGAGCTGTGGACTACTGGGGCAGACCCGGGTCCTACTCGCTGCCAGAGAGGTATTCAGAGGAGCACTAGAACAAGGTCAAGTGTGTTCACTGTGTGTGAATCATTTTGTACAATCTGAATATTTTACAGAGATCAATGTGCTGATTATATATTTTAAGGTCATTAGTGATGAATTAAGTGCTGTTTGATTCATTATAAACATACATTTATTATTTATGCTCTCACATTTCTGATGTATAGTTGTGGTTGGAATTTCAGATTCATTTCATTTTGATTTTCTTCACTTACAGTATTGGATAAAAGTGTCTGAATTCAGTAATCAGCAGCTCAGGTGAGTTCATTTCTGAAGCTGCTGTAGATTCATTGACTTATGGAGAGTCGTCATTAACTGACCTCACTGTTACAGAAACTGTTCAATCTAATGGTGCATTCATTAATAATCTGTTGTTATCTGAACAGCCCTCGTAGATTTTGGTCACTTTATTGAACTGAAATCTTACAATAAGACACAATTTCTTCAAACAGCCTGATAACAATAAGTGACTTTGTCTTAAATTAAAGCACCAGAAGCTTCTTATTTTTATCTTATTTTTTATTAAAACAATGAAAAACTAAACAGCTGCTTCATTTCCAACACTGGGTTAGAGTGTTGTGCAAGTGCTCTTACTTTGAAAATAAGGACAATAATCTTGTTCCTCTGCTGGGATATTATGCAAACCGTTACTGGTTCAATCGAGCTCAATATTAGCTGTAATAAAGTTTGGTTAGGTAAAGTTAGATATATTTTATTAAAACCAAATTCCTTTATTATGCAAAACATTCTCAACACGATTACTTTCCATTTCCCAGAAACAAGGCTTTTCTTCTTTGCAGTGATCTGATTTTAAATGTGTTTTATTTTTTATACTGTCTCAGATCTTTGAACTATTGTTTTTGTATGTTTGTGGGTTAAAGTAAAAGTTGGACCAGTCTAAGTTGCTTACAGTCATTTTTACAATACAATAAACACAACAGCAAATTTCTTTATAAAATTTATTGTCCTCAATACAGAATGATTACACAGTGCAGATGTTACCCATCAGTGTGACAATACTGAACACTTGGTTATATCATCTCATTCTTCCAACCAGCATTAGTTTGGCTTGTGAATATAATTTCATCTTGGCAGTGATAATTAGGTTTTTTTTCTTGGGGCGTCAAATTGGATTTATCCGATAATTCTCTCCTATGATGTTGGAATAAATCATAAGATTAACAGGATTATTCTCCTGTTTGTGTGTTTGAGACGAGCTCCGTCTTCATTTTGGGCTGGATGATCAATCCAGTTTGATGAAGAGCGGCTCGACAATCTCCAGCTCGGGAGCAGTTTAGCAAGCTCCTGTTACAAAAACACAGAGAAGATGAAGAGTTAGATGAGTTTAAACAAAATGTATATAGACAGTGACAGATCTGCCACCCCTAAACAAGGCCTGGCCACCCCAGTTTGGTGTCAAATGCTGTCAGTTAATTCATTTAGATTCATTTTTAAATAGAAATCAATTGAATGATCTTCCACAATTTAGACTCAATGACAGACTTTGGAAGAAGTTTTTGGAAATAAAACAATTTACACATCTTTAGATATATTTTGAGTTGATGAGGCATCAGTACTAAACTGTTTCATAACCAGTTAAAACTTCTTGTATGTTTCGATATAAATGTTCCTAAAAAAGAGAAAATGTGTCCTTGTAGGAGTCTTCTGTATGAGCTATATCCTTTAAAACTGTTAGAATGACTACGTACCAGACTGCAGCACAGGCTGGAACTCTCCGGCCATGCAGATTTCCTCCTGTTTTTGGCGGACGACTCTCTGGATGGCAGGGGGGAGGCCACGGGGGTTGCGTGAGAAGACCAGGGCATAGCCGTCCTCGCAGCTTCCGTCCTCCTTCAGGCTGCGGCAGGCATAGGTGATGGCGTAGTTGTCGTAGTCGGTGTCAATGATCCAGTAGTTGTCACCTGGAAGAGCGAGAAGTTAGTCTCAACTGTGTAGGAGAGGGGACGAGAGAGAACGTACGCGTGAGGATGCTTACCGCCGCTGGACAGGTAGCTGGCCAGACCCTGGTAGTTCATGAACATCTTGCCGGGCCTGCTGGGGTCGGGCACGGAGTACTGAGCAGCCATGTCAGCGCACACAACCCAGAACCTGGATGAGTAGAGGATAACAGAGTCGAATTAGCGAGCAGGAATGGATATATATAGTTATTTTTTCTGACTGATACTGAATAGATTTCTATAAATGACAAACACCTACCCAAAGAGGGTGACTCTGCCCCTGGAGGATGCAACCATGGCACCATCGTCATCGACAGTGTATTCAGCAGAGATGTTATCCTGCAGGAACAAACCCTCAGGATCCTTCTTCTGCAGAGCGTACCACTTTCCTGAATACTGTCGGGGGGGAAAAACACAAAGATGAGTCTGATTCTTCTGATAGTCAGTAGAGTGTGGATGTGCACATAGGCAGTGAGAGGCAGTTTTATTTATAAGCATGTTTCATACACCGATTCAAGGAGCTTTACAGAAAACCGACTTAAAAGTTAAAAAAAGGTTAAGTTAAAAAGAGCATGAAAAAAGAGATAGATCTATATATGATACAAGAACAAAAAAGTATTTAAAAAATGATAATAGCACAAGCACATGTTTTAGAAGCATTTAGGTAATGTTTGATGTTTGATTCTATGAACTGTAAAATTTACATATTACTGTATTACATCGTATGCTGATGATGTTCTGGTTTACCTGAAGGATGCAGATTATTCAGCTCAACCCGTTTTTCTACTTGTTCCTCTGTGAGAGATAGCTAGCTGTCCTTAAGTAAATATTTACTACCAATTTAATTTCTCAAATAGATTTCCTGTCGCAGAGTTCTGAATTCTGCTTTCCTTCTGCTTGTGGATTTGTGAGTATTATATTGTAGTCTATATATCTGTACTCACTCTTTTGGGGTCAAAGTCCTCTTTGACTGTGAAGCTGTCGACCACGCAGGAGGCCAGGCTCTGCTCCACACAGGCCAGGAACAACATCACCACGGAAAAGAGTTGGAAGTCCATTCTGGGGAAAAACCAAAGTCAGACACAGGTTAATTTACATTCTTTGTTGTACTTTAAAGCAATATTTCTATTTACTGTTAATAATTCAAAGTTAAAGAAGTAAAGAAGTATGTATTTGGTCCCCATGAAGCAGCATCCTCTTACCTTGAGTGTAGAAAGAAGCAGCAGGAAGTTTTCAGTGCAGAGTTGTTGCAGTGTCTGAACTGTGGTGAGAAGACAGTGCGCGGGCCTTTTATATCCGATGCGCAGACAGGCTCACTGTTTATTTTCACTTCTTGAACCTAAATGCAGATTTTAAATCTATCACTAATCCAGTTAACAAAATCCTCCGTCTGTAAGCTGATGAACCGTCGCATTCAGCACTGTATGGGCTTTACGTAATTGTTTGCAGGGCTCAATGAACATAATGGCAGATGCCCCGGTGGCCTGAGCCTCGAGTCACACGTCCATGCCCATGTTTACATGAGCAGACTATTTTAAGATCTCCAGTTGAAGCCAATGTTGATATAAAGTCCCCCCGTCATACTTTTATTATTTTTTGACTTCCCAACAATGCCTGACTGTGTTCAGTGGGAGAGTAGTGACTGTAAGTAAGTTTTCTTGTTGTTTATTTATACATAGCTTTGCAACACTTACTTCTTTATGAAAATACATGTTTTTATCACTTTATGGCACATTATAAAAGGCAATTGTATTTCTCACTGATATAAGTGTGTTGTATATCCCTGCAATGACAAAAAGGTGTTAATAAAATATGCAACACTTAAAAACAAAACTGAACAACAATAAATATAAATTTGCAAGGATAATAAAGAATACAACAGAAACAATACAAAGTCGATAGGAAAAATAAAATAAAAACCATGGAGACAAATAATGTATCAACCAATAATTAAAACCTAAAAACTAAAGGTACTTTTTATTGTCTTCTTGTTCATTTGAATAAACTGAACAAACATTCAAAAACATTCATTAAAAAAAATCTCTTTTGGTCAAAACGGAAACTTGACAACAAATTAAGATAATTATAATAATAGAAGGGCATCAAGGACAAGGGGGAAAAAATAAACAATGAATAAATAAATAACAAATACACATATTCAATCATATACACAAGTAGAATTATTTGAACAAGGAAAAAATAACACTAAATAAATAAAATATCTATACGTGTGTGTGTATACATTTAAAAAAATCCTAAATAATTCATTAAAAATCTGAGATGTGTGATTCAGTTTGTGCACAGAGCTTTTTATTCAGGTGTAAAACAAAAAGATCTACGATTTAAGGATCAGTTGTCAGTTTATTCTTAAACATTGTGGATGTGAGCAGTCATTCTAACTCTAGACAGACTGAGACTGATGTGGACTGGAGGTGATCCACTGATGTCTCTCTCTCTTCCTGGGACCACTGGGAAACAGAACAGCGAACTATAACATCTGAGCTGTATTGTTCTACCTGTCTGCCTTTATATTCCACTAAAACAAACTTTAAGGTTTGACTGTATGAAATGTTCTAGAGAACAGCGCTGAGTAATGAACTTATGTCAGCAGAGGCTCAGGTGTTCCCGTCTGCTCGGTTAAGTAACGTTCTGTCATCTAAATGCTGCCAGAGCTGCAACCTGTAATCCAGGTCGAAAGCTGTCATATCGGAAACAGCTGAGCTGCGTTAAAGGACCTTTACACCCAGAATGCACCAGCAAACGCACACACAGGTGCCAGAGTGCGAGACCGACCCACTTACAGGAGTTATGCACTAAAAAGCTGCTTTTATAGAAGTCATATATAATATTTTACATCAATTCTTGAAGCCTGTTTTGTTTCAATGAGCCCAGCTGGATTCATCTCAGTTACCATAGTAGCTATTTAATGTAGGCAGCCTGGTGGATATAGATAAATATTCATGGTGTATGTGTATATATGCTGATTTAATCACAATAACATGAATCCATATTTGCTTGGAAAAGGCCCCAAATGAAGATATTTGAACAATAAATGGTTTTATTTCCAACTCTACAGACATTTCTCCTTCTAAACCTTTTTTCATTGAACTTTAACCGATCACTGAGTCTTAAATGTGGCCGTAACAGATCAATATCTCTGGAGGTATTGTTGTGACGCCTAAGTAAAGACCAGTAGCCTTCCAGTAAGTCCAGCAGTATTTTTAGTCGACCCAACATTGTTGTCGTTCTAATAATAATCTCACCTGTCCCGAGGATATTAGGTAAGGCCTCGCTCGACCATATATACACAGTCTTAACTCTAATCTGGGAACAAAAGCTACGTTTAAATGATCCTGTTGTAGACACACATTGACTGGAGGTGAGCTCAGGTTGGACACGTGTGCACTCCGGTGAATACACGTTATAATATGTCCTATACCGTTTTAAATAATATTTTTAAACAGTTAAAGATGTTAAGAGTCGGTCATCTTGTAAAGGCGAGTCTTCAGTTCTGCTGTTCCAAAACCGAGGAGCCAGAACTGAAAACATACCTTTGGTCTTCAGCCTGATCTCAGGGGCCTGGCTGGGCTGTAAGGGGTTAAAAGTTCTCACCACAGTGTGAACAGCAGAAATCAGACCGAATCTGATCTTTTAAATTCAGATTTCAAACGTGGTCCAAGTCAGATTCAGGTCTGATTCTTTGCAATGTGAGCTCAGTGTGAACAGTCACACCAGAGTTCAGGTGACTGTTGCGTCACCGTAGATCAACATTCATAATGCGGGTCAGGTCAGGACCGGGACCTGCTCACAGTGACATCTGATACAGACATAGACATTTAAAATATAATGTGAACGGCCAAACAAATGAAATCAGATCAAAGCATTAAATCAGAATTAAGTGCTGAGGCTTGCAGTGTGAACTAATGAGACCGGTTTATTGTTTATTGATTAAGAGGATCCAATAATGGATGCAATATATCAGAATAAGGCCTTCTTGAGTTTAAAGGGTTTAAGAAAACTATTTTTAAAAAAAACACAGTACGCCTATTTCAATATTTATTTTTTTTTCATTTCTGTGAAGAAAACTAAATTAAATTCTTATTTTCAAAGATATTATATAACATCTGAACTTTAAAGACCTGAACAGTCTACATTCACAGAGCTTCACTCTCTGATTAACAGCCTCGTCCTGCAGTAGAAGTTACAACCAGAGAGCTGAGACACCAATAAAGTCTGTTTTGTTAAAAATAAAAAACAAACATAATATAGAAAATGTTATTAAAAGTTGCTAAAAAATATCAAAAAAACTAATCTGTGATCAACATTCACATTCTGCAGTTATTAAGTTCACTGTTTGGATTCATTGTTCAGTTTATCAGCTGTTATTGTTATTAATGAATATAATATGAAATATACATTAAATATAGTCCGTCTGCTCACTGATAGAGAAATGGATCCCTTTAGGACAAAGGTGGTTTAGAAGATAAACAGACCATAATAGTTCATACAGTGTTTCTGCAGATTAATATCAGACTAATATTAATAAAGTTTAACATCAAACCAAAAGTGTTTTCTTACATCTGTAGATTTATATGCAGCTCTGCTTCATTATGTGTCACAGCCAGTAGAGCCCCACTGTGAACCCAGACATGTTGAATACCTCAGTTTTATATTAGAAATGTTCATTATGGATCCTCAGCATTTAGAAACTGTCAGACGCTAACTTCTATATGTTGGTCAATTAGCATAATTAGCATTAATAAGCATAACTACCTTTGGAGGATATTTTCTAAATGATGGGGACCCATACTGAACATTTCTAATAATTAAACTTATTTATATTATATATTAATTTACCTCTATTTACATCCATACTGGCAAAAGAAAGTACGAATATATGAAAGAAAATCCTATTGCTTCCATGTTTTGTTTTGTACTTCAGTATTAATACAAATGTCCCCCAAAAGTTTGCAAAATGCTAAATCCCACAACAAATATAACAATGTGAAATAATACATCTAAAAACTCGTCATTACTCCCCAGGATCAGCAGCTCACAGCAGGAACTCCAGACACCAACCTTTCCCATAAAAGAGGATAAAATGACTCAAATAAACTAAATTAATCAGCTTTCACTGGAAATAATTCTTATGATGAACGTTCATCCTCTAACGATGCTGCTCAGAGGTCGACCCCCCGTCCTCCCTCCTCTTAGAGATTCTAATGTTGGGTTTTAAATGGGAACCAGTGATTATAAAAAGAGTTTAAATAAACAGAAAGCAAGTGAACATGAACGTACAGCAACAAATTAAGAACTTCTGCGTTTAATGAGATTATTAATGTGAACAAAATGTGCAAAATGATTCCTGATCATTGTAATATAACATGTTTAATATCTGTCACAGTGTGTACAGAACCAGAGGTCACATGCTGGTAAACAGACAAACACTACAGCGATCGTATATTTGTGTTTTTATGAATTTCTACATTACAAACAGGAACTTTAATAAGTTAGGAGTGAGGCAGCAGTTAGTGGGGTAACAATGCTGAGTTCAGGAGCTTTATTTCTCATGGTGTAACTAACTTTAACCCCGCTGTCTGGTCCAGGGAGGTGTCGTATTATTCAATGTAACAGTGAAAACGTCCACAACGCGGCGCCGTGGGACCGGTTGGGACCGAACTTTGCAGTCGTTGCTCCAGAAAGAAGGAGGGAGAGGTTGGACATTGCACAGGGAGATCCTCACACAGCGGAGGTTTACTTCAGGATGCTTTCTTGACTCGCTGTGAGAGAGGAGAACAAGGAGTTCATCATTATACAGGATCTACACTGACTGCTCACACTTACTGTTCAGTGTAAAGAATAATGTATTATATGGAGTATCTGACACCGGAGGGAGGCCAACCTTCTAGCAGCTTGGCGATGCGCTCCTGCTCATCCCGAACCTTCTTCTCCTCCTCCTCGATCCTCTTCTCCTCTGCTGCGATCGGCTTCAGGTTGTCTGAGTAAAAGAAGGTTTATTTAAAAAAAGACGCCACCCGATACTGAGAATAAATAATGGGACCTATTATATGAACCTACGGATGTCACATCCTCCTTAAAAGGTTGTATTTATATATGAGATATATAAAACAATAATATAACATTATATTCTTATAAACAGAGTCACATGGTGTCTCTCTCCCTCTGCCTGTGTTGTATCGCAGCCTCTCTGTGGGTTGTTTCCATAGCCGGTCTGCTCCGACTGAAACTGCTGTTTTTATCATCTACGTCGGTGAATTAAGGATTTATTTCCACCAAACCAGAGTTGGTGATTGTTGGAAACACTAACAGAGACGCTTTTAATGAGTTTATTCTGTTTCTGTCCACTTTTATGAAGTTCTGATGATCTGAAGGTAAAATGAGTGTTTGTGTCTCTGGAGTCTGGTGGAGAGTGATAGTGATATTACGGCTGTTTGTGGTTAAACTAAAGGTCTATCTCTGTAGGGATCCTTTCCATAATGCTGTCAGACACTGACAATAACAACCTGAAGACATTTTCAGGAACATTTTAACATCTAACTCGTTGAATTTAGGACTTTTATTGTATTTCTGTCTCGCTGTTTTGGTCTGATGCTGTAAGAACTGATCTGTCAGCTTTTGTCACTTGAACCTTTTACGACCTTTAACCCCGGGACGCTGTGTGGTTGACTCCTCTGTGAGATCAGGTGTTAGTGGAACTCACCGTATCTCCTTTTGCCGTAGATGATTCCAGCAATCAGAGCTGAATACCTCGCTGTCTGTAAACGGAGGAAACAGAGCAGATTAAAACACAAACACACAGTAATATATCAGACTACTGCACTCACTCACAGTCAGTTCACTCACACATCAACAGAGAGGAGGAATTAGCTTTAGAGTGAGCTTTAGAGTGAGCTTTAGAGTGAGCTTTAGAGTGAGTCTTTAGAGTGAGTGAGCTTTAGATTGAGCTTTAGAGTGAGCTTTAGAGTGAGCTTTAGAGTGAGCTTTAGATTGAGCTTTAGAGTGAGCTTTAGAGTGAGTTTTAGATTGAGCTTTAGAGTGAGCTTTAGAGTGAGCTTTAGATTGAGCTTTAGAGTGAGCTTTAGAGTGAGTGTTTGTTGCTCCTCCCACTGAACTCCACTCACTGCTGCAGGGTTTTACTGACACCTTGCTCATGGGCACAAACTCCACCTATAACAGAGATTCATTAACCGGTTTCCAGAGAGTCCGGGGACAACTCTTTAATTCGGCACCAACAGAATCAACAGACAATCTTCAGTTTGATGATTAAAATAAAATATATCTCTAATAAATCTGTCAGACTGATGCTAATGCTACAGCTACAGCTGAGGTAAACGCACTGTTACTCAGATAAAGAATAAATTATTATTTAGAAACACTTTATTGGATTTAAGAGCATTTTACCAGAGGACGTTTCTATTTATAACAGCTAGCAGTTAGCAGTTAGCGCTGTGCGGCTAGCGGACTGAAACACACAGATCAAACTTTATCCACATTATTCCACATTATTCCACATTATCCCACATTATCCCACATTATTCCACATTATTCCACATTATCTGGTAAACAAACCTTAATCAACGGAGACACTGCGACCGGAGGAGCCATCGTTTCTCTGCAGGCTAACCGTTAGCAACAGAGGTCACTTTACCGCCGCACAGGATTCTGGGAGGAGATTCTTCCTCTGAGGTTTTATTGTGAGCTGCTGCCGCCCCCTACCGGAGGGACCTCACCGGTACAACTGATTATTTATAGATTATTGATTCTTTATTGATTCTTTATTGTTATTGTTTATAGATTGTTTATTTATTTATTTATAGATTGTTTATTTATAGATTATTGATTCTTTATTATTGTTTATAGATTGTTTATAGATTGTTTGTTTGTTTATTTATTTATTTTATTATAGATTGTATTTCTCAGATTTAAAAAAATAATTTATTATTATTATTATTATTATTATTTATTTTGTAAATTTTAAATGAACATCAGATGAAAGGATGTAATATATAAATATAAAACTGGAGATTTATATTGTATCTTTATATTCTTTCTTCAAATCTTTTGTTTTTTTTTAAAAAACAGACTGAATTTATTTTTCAGTAAAGAAAAGAAAGAAAATTATTTGATTTCATGTTAAAAAAATGAATTTGATGAATACAGTTAATATAGTATAATGTGTAAATATATAATATATAATAATCATTTTTTACTGTTAAACTAATATATTCACATATTTTATTGTTATATATAAATTTGCTGTTTAACTGTTACTCACATAATCTGTACAAAAATATTGTTTTTGTTACATAAACTGCAAGTTATATTCTAATAACAAATCAATTGATGTTATGAAATTATTACTATTCATTAATCTGTCATACAATGTAGCATACACATATTTCTATCTTCTATATATATTGTCAAATATTGTACTATAATTTACAGACTCTTATTATATCTTTTCTATTTTCTATATATATTGTTGTTCGATATCATAATATAATACCTATTTTAACATTATTATTATTATTATTATTTGTATTTCTTTAATATTTCTGATTCTGAACTGAAATATTCCAATAAATAGTGTTGTGCAATATAAAGTGATCCAGTCGAGACGTGTGAACTTCAGTCAGTGAGGACGACAGTTTAATGAGCAGTTTAGTGTTTATTGAGAACTGGTTGCACACTGTCAGTAAACCATTCTGCGTACTGTAAAGGAGAAACTATTGAACACTGCAAACACTTGAAACTGATATTTGTTGCTGATTCCTGGTTAAGCTGCTCGCTGAAAGCAAATCTTCCGAAAGGCGTAGAATTATAATGCAGATAAACATAAAGATCGATGCTCTGAGAGCTGCTGCGATGAAAATAAAAAGCTTTTTCATTCCAAAGTTTGACCTCTCCACCCAAACAGCAGGATGTTGACAGTTTCTGTATCTGTGGTGATTCAGGAGGCTTTCAGATTTAATCATATTCTTTATATTCTGGCTCCAACTTCACTAAAGCCGACTTACATTGAGACAAATATTCAAACCCCCCAATTCTTCCTCCATCTTTGAGATCTTCTTCTACTTATGTGTGTTTGAACAATGCTTGTGTAACTGTAACTGTTCTATATAATAAGATAGAGTTGTTATATGTTATATACAAACTGAATGTGGATATTGCTTTCATCTTTTGTTTTTATTTTCAGGCTTCTGGCTATTGAGTAGCAAAAAATATGGTTACCTGTGTACAAAAAGCAAAATATTAAAACTTAATTTTCTCCCCATATGGCAAATTCCCCATTCACTAACTAACAGGCTTAGAGAGGGTGAAGATCCCTCACCGGCTTCCCAGCAACAAGAGCTGCCAATTTACTGGACTTCACATCCAGATGTGCCACTTCTGGGACTTGATCCCTCGTCCTTTGTCCCTCAGACACTATTATTCTTGCAGGGTTTTACAGAGTATTATTCCTTTAAGAAGTAGGAAGTGAATGTGGGGGACAGCTGTTGGTCCCGAAGCAGTGGTTGAGCTGCTTTAAGGTCCTGTTGGCGAATCTCAGCTTCCCGCGTTTCTTCGTGGACGCCGTGTACTGGTTGGACTTGAGTTTGGAGTAATAGTCTGAGAACTTGTTGAAGAGGATGGATATGGGCAGACCGTTGAGGATGATCCCGAAAGCGATGCAGATGAAAGCGAAGAGGCGTCCCAGTATGGTCTCCGGGTAGACGTCTCCGTAGCCCACGGTGGAGATGCTGACCTGCAGGGAAAGTGAGGAGAGCGAGAGAGCAGTCAGTTATCATAAACTGTACATTAACAGCAGAGCAGAGAGTGATTATCAGTGGCCGACTGGATTACAGCACTTAAAGTACGAGCTGAGCTGAGCACAAATCCATTGACAGGTTTTGAAATCGGTCACAGTGTGAGGCTTTCATACACACATATTCTGGACTGTTTCAATATAGATTCAAACAGAAAAATGACAGCTGGCATGTTATTGGTGCAATAAATATAAAATGAGTAACCCCTAATAAATACATTATGTTACAGAAATTGCTTTATCTCAAAAACTATAAGGAGTTATATGAAATGTTTGGTACCATTGGATTCAGAACGACTTTAAACTCAAGAGAACAGAAAATCAGGTCTTGAACTTGAGGGCTTTTTTAAATATAGTCATTAATGGGTTAAAACTGGAAACTGAACCTACCAGAGCAAACCCTAACAACTGACCCTTCCTAAGCTCCACCCCCTTTCGCTCTGTGATCCAATGACAGCTGATAAAATAACACATTTCTAGTTACATCCAGACCTTTAGCTATTTTTAGGTAACTGTAAACCTCAATCTAATTGAATATATCTGGTAATCTATCTATTAATATATCTCTGTAAATAACTTTATAAGGAGTACGCTCTATTTGTTTATTCCTGCTGTACAGTTGAGCATTTTAATGTGAGGCCTTATGGAGATTGACTCCCTGCTGGAGCCTCTGGTGGCCGTTAGAGGAACTTGCTGCTGGGTCTTCAGTCAGTGCAGAGTTTACTGTACGTTACATACTTTATACATTTAGCATTAACAGAAAATCCTACCAGAATTAAACTGTTACTCACTGAAATGTTTGCAGTGCTGATTAAAACTGTGTTTACATCATATTTTGTGTATTTTCAGCCACCAAATGGATGTTTATGTCAGCCTTAACACGGTAATAAATCTCTTTTGTGGGCTGAGAGACTTTTATCAAGGCGTCAGTATCTCCCACTAAGTGTTGTGAACTGTGGGTAGTCTTTGTAATTACAGTAATTAAATAAAAATGTGCAGTTATTTTCACAACAATACTCAAGAAAAGCTTAAAAACCGACGTAAACGAGAAGTTGTGATGTTGTGAAGAACTAATTCAACCAATCCCAGAGTATTCTTCCAAATGTTAATCACGATGTCCCTCGTCAACCTTTCCAAAAACGTTTTGTGAGAATCCATTTATAGATTTATTGGATATCCTGCTCACAGACCGACTGATGTGGGTCCTCCAGGGACTCACGATCCCTTCTGCATGTGAATCCAACAGGACTCCTTCACTATATAACCATTACTATGACTTTGAGGATTATCTTTTCCTTCCCCTGGATTAGAAGTAAGATTCTACCGCTCCGTTAGAGATGGAGGGGAATGATCTGTTAACACACTGAAGCAGGAGCTGATACATCCTGCAGGAGACCTCAGTGTGTTTTGTAAGCAGAGTAATCTGAAGACATTACACAGTTAACTCACCAACCAGGGACTGTCAGCACTGAAGTTATCCAGTGACAGTGCACTTTATTTTACTTATATAAAGAGGTTTCTTAGGTTTGTTCTCAGGAAAGTGATTTATTTTAGATTTAATTGTAATACTTCTGTGCTTTCTGTATTTCTTGTACTTTTTAAAGATTGCTGTGAATCTTCCACCTTTGTTGTAGAGAGTTCTGGTATTTTATTTGGACCATTAGCTCCATGCTACTAACTAACTCACTGTTTACAACAACCAACACAACACAGATCCACACTGTAGGGAAGCAAAGAGGAGGATAAACATCTCATCCTTTCACCCTCATCCCTACATAGAAACATCCACAGACAGCAGAGGAAGTCAGGGAAGGTCTCATTTTTTAAGTCACAAATGCTTCAGAATATTACATAAAAACCTTTAAATTGTAGGAAGATGTACTTACAGATGCCCACCACCAAGCTGCAGGAATGCTGGTGAAGTTTGTTTGCGGCATGTCGTGCTCCACGGTGTAAACCATGGCGGAGAAGCTGAAGATGCCCATGGCAATGAAGAGGAAGAGGCAGCCCACTTGTTGGTAGCACTGACGCAGAGTGAAGCCAAACGCCCGCAGACCAGTGGAGTGTCGCGCCAGCTTCAAGATACGAAAGATTCGCATCAGTCTCATGATCCGCAGCACTTGGCCCAGCTTCCCCACCTGCCCCACCGCCTGCATGTCGGCCTCGTGCTTCATGAAGTTCTCCTCGTTGTCAAAGACCTCCAGGATGCCCTGCACATACTGAGGCAGGATGGCGATCAGGTCCACGGTGTTGAGCACACTCCTGCTGAAGGATTTGAGGTCAGGAGTGGAAAATAGACGGAGCAGGTACTCCATGGTGAAGAAGGCGATGCACATGGACTCCACGTATTCCCAGTATGTCTTCCCACTGAGCTGACCTGTGGCAGTTCTGTACTGCATCTCCTCCACGGTGCTGAGCGTCATGGCCACCAGGGAGATCAGGACAAACAGGCTAGAGGCCAACGCCATCAGCTTGGCCTTGATGGACGAGAACGGCTTCTCCATCAAGTTCCAGATGGCTCGCCGCTGCTGGCCCATGAACATGTCATGAAAGAGCTCCGCGTTCTCCTCGATCTCCACCTCCGCCTCCAGCTCCCTCTGGATCTTCAGCTGGTCGTTCAGATCGTCCTGCCTCTCCTCGAAGGAGATGCGGCAGCAGCGGTGGGTGTTCTTGATCCGCACGCCCCAGTAGTTGATCTCCTCCAGGAAGTTGCGGGGACACAACTCGTCCCTGATCCACAGCACGCCGGTCCTGTAGAATTGGAAGATGCTGTGGAAGACGTCTGGGTCCCTGTCGAAGAAGTACTCATTGTTGGTCACAATGTAGTCATCGCACAGGTCCAGCTTCATGTTGTGGTCCGTGTAGGTGGCCAGTCGTCCTATTCTGGTCTTGGGATACTTGGCAGCCATCTTGTAGGCTATCTGGTAGGGCTTCCCTCCTACATTAATGTTGATCACGTAGTTCTTCTTGGAGGGTGAGACCGGCTTGGCGAAGCCGTACGGAGCACAGTCGTCGTCTTCGTCCTCATACTCGGCGTAAATGTCGTAGATGTCCCGGGTCAGATCCTGCATGGAGTTCCATGTCTTCACGCAGCTTTCCTTGGCTAGTGGATAAGCAATCTCCGAGGGTCTTCGTTGAATGTCTGAATCGGTGACTTTGTAGTTGGGAAAGAGACTCTGTCTCCTGTTCCACAAGTTAACCATCTTGCTGGTGCTCCCCATGTTGATCCCCCCAGACTACACAGCAGGCAGCGCGCTCAGACCAGCCAGCATTACTGCTGTCTAATACCCACTCCACCTAAGCATTGGAGGACATGAGCAGGATGCCTCATGGCCCCATTAATGTTGCTGACTGAGAGGATCCGCGTGCTTACAGGACATCTAAATACTATTATCCCCTGCTGAGCTGCCTGGCTGACATGACGTTGGCTGTGTGGCACATCTCAACAAATGCCCATCATGAATTCACCTGCTTTCAGTTGATAAACCCTTCGTGAGTTTATGGTGCTCACACCTGATTTTGGTGATTTAAAGACAGAATCACAGACAACATGCGGTGTTGTTTTCCTCACGTTTATGGTATTTATGAACGCATATGAACGCACTGTGGCACGCATTAATCTTTATAAAATCCCTACAGATTACTCAAGGAAGTCATATTGGAAGGCTATTATTGGAAAATACCATTGCATGTCTTCTTTTTTTCATTCTTTTTGAGGAAAGCAAACACTTTTTCTTCTTTGTAGATACTTTTTTTTTTTTTGGTTAAGTTTCTTTAAATTTACAATAAATTGTTTATGTTGGTTTTTATTGTGCAATGCTTTAAGACTCCTATACTGCAGGGGAACAAAGGAAGGCTTGTGGATACATAAAAGAGGATAAAGGCTTTAAGCATTAGTCTACTTCCTGATTGGGAGGGGGTGCAGAAATCTTCAGGACCTGAAGTGAGTCGAGGCTATTTAATCTTTAGCTTTTTATTGATATACAAATAAAGTTGTGAACCGACAGGCATTAATAACTTAACCAGAGGGAATTTCTGCACAATAGAAGTATCCAACATAACTTTGCTCTCATAACTGAATCTTCTTACTGGATATCAGATTATTGTCCTGCTGATTTAACAGTGCCGGCTCACCACATGACGTTCTGCGAGGCCGCTGACCGATGACATTATGAACCACATCAACCTTTATTTACCTTCCAGGTGCCAACCACCGCTGACAAGTTAAAACAATTAATGATTTAGGTTTGCTAAAGCAGTGACATTTAAATAGAGCTGCCAGACTTAAGCTAGTCTTGTTAGTGCAGTGTGTCAAAAGAACAGGAGGTGAACTGGATTTGTCCTGCGAACCACAGCGAGAGACCACAGACAGTGTTTGTTAAGCTTCTTGGCTGCTATTTGTCTTTTAAAGAAACAATGCAGTCCTCCTTCAGTCTCTTCTGGTATGCAGCTAATGTTGGCAAACTTTAGATATTGATGTGTAACTGACACTGTCTCTGTCCTTCTCATCAGTCTTAAGTCTAAAGTCTTTTGTTCCCCAGACCAGTGGTTTCCCAAAGATTCATGGGGGGTTGCAAGGCCTTCTTGATTTTAAGGAACAATAGAAAACTTCAAAAATATACAGCGGGTGGTCTATATCTCAGTGTCAAGGAGAAGAAAACAGTGAATTTGTCAGAAAGTCTGTATGATTGTTAAAAATGATAAAAATACATAATACAGACAGAGAATTGTGTAAAAAGTTCCCTAAACAAGGAATATGAAATAGAAAAGGGGTCCCTCCAGGAAAACAGTTGGGAACCACTGTCCCAGACCATACATGTACTCTAGGAGTGAATCTGTCTTTAGGCTGCTGGACTGTCAGTTAGGGCAATAAACTGGCGATATGATGCATACCACAATACAGGGGTCGTGATTTAATATATTTTAATATATATCGATACAGTAAGCAAGGTGATATATTGTGAGGTCTGCAAATTAGTTTATGTGTACAACACTGCTGTCTTGTGGAGTTTGAACAGAAAAGTCAATAAAATACCACAAAACTAAATATTACAATACAATATTTTTTCATTTATTGGCTGTCAAAGGTGGCAAAAGCACCCACAGTAGAAGCAGATATTTGTGTAAAAGTATTGTTGTTGGGAAGGAGCGCAAAGATGCAAAAACCTGAAATGCAATAAAACTAAAAATGAGTCTGTTTTTAAAATGTAAGAAGTAGAAAGTTGATATGTGTGTAAAAATATAGGAGCTAAAAGAAAATAGTTGTCAGTAAAATAAATGCTGGATTGAAGGAGGCCTGAAAAACTACTTAAAGGTCCAGTGTGTAGGATTTGTTGGCAGCTCGAAGGAAGGCGACTCATTCTAAGGCGATGAAAGCACAATGATTTCTATTTTAATTACACTAATGAAAACATACTTATGAATATTATATTCCATTTCTAACAATAGATGCTCCTAATTGTGACACACTGGACCTTTTAAACACAGTAAAGTATTTGTACTTCCTCTGCTGGGTATGGTTGCCGTGTGCATTATATGCCTTCATATTTATTTATATATTTATCTTCAATTTATATTTTATCATTATTCTAATAACTGAGAGATGCTGTAACTCCCTAAAACAGGGATCTCAAACTATTGGCTCACAGGACATTTCTGGCTTACCAGACTCAAGCTAATTTGAGTTTGAGACCCCGGTGTTAAAATATAATTAAATATTACCCATAGTGGGTCAAAGGAGTCATAAAGTGAATTAAAAGATAGCAGGGAGGTGCATTTAATTTAGTAATAACTTCGTCTGTAACAGCAGGACGTTTTGGTTTTGGGATGTTTTTCCTTTTTTACTTGAAAGTCATAAAGTCAAACATCAACAGTACAAACAGGTGGACCAAGATAATCAGTGTTGCCTCTATTTACTGCTACTGCAGTTATTACTATGCAGGAGAAAGAGGTACGTTTATATTTAGATATTTTCTCCTTATCGACCCAGTAACAGGATAGTAAAACAAAGTATTAATGGATATCTCTATACCGGCATTTCACTGGGATTAATATCATCTGCTCTCCCCGTGCACGGTTTCCTGTTATCACTATTGTCCGGAAGATTTACGGATCACATTCAGTAAAGTCTCTTTAAAGCTGCTTAGAAAAAACAAGAATGAAGGTTATAATCCCTCATGTAGGTTCATAAAACCTCCTGTCGTATACATTCTTTACACCTACGTGTTGTTATTTACAGCGGGGAAATCAAAAACACTTATTGTTGAGTAACAGAAAATGCTCTTGCTTTACCTGACCTCTGCTGATGTGATTACAATCAGACATCCTCAGGTTTTTGGTTTTATCCACAGTTTACACTCATGTAATGTCCCAATTTACACTTATTTGACCACATACAACCACATACAATCGGGTATAATCTGAAGTTTTCCTCCCTTTCAGCTGATCATAATTATAAATTAGATCAACAGTTACAATCAGTTTGAGAATTAAAGCAGATTCAAATACTGCACCTCGAGGGGAAAATGTTCTTATGCCACCAACAGGAATCAATGAATCCTATAAAATATAAGTGGAAGTGATGGACACACTAATGCTAAAGCCTGGAGTTGAGTGGTTGACAGTGACTAAAGATGTTAAACACCTTTCTGTCCTGAATGTCAGTGGTGACACACCGAGTCCGTGATGGGATTCATTGGTTCTGCAGCATTAATTAACAGAGGAGTTGTTTCTGTGAGCTCAGTGTGAGTCATTGTGAATATAATAAGATTCACCTGACGCTTTTTGTAAATGAAATAAATTTAAATGTACTGTGGCAAGTTTGGCTTATCTGAGTTTTGGTTGAATTGTTCATTTTCAGGTTTTATAAAGCTTCAGATGACACAGAACGGAGCAGCCAGATGAGTTCTGTGCTGATGTGTGTGAGGTGAAGGATTATCTCGGCTAACTGTGGAAGCCAAATTAAAATCTAGACTTGTGTTTGCATGCAAAGTGTCGTCTGGAATAATAAACCACTCTTCTTTAGTGGGAAACTATAACAGACAAACTGTATGATGAGAACTGTTCTTTATAGATACTTTGTTCTCCTCTCCAAACTAGACAGATCAAACATTTTCTTAAATAGATGTTTTTTCAGTTTAAGAACCTTTTAGGTTGTTTTTATTTATGTTTTTGATGTTGTATTTGTGACTATTTTGGTTTTGTTTTTATTGCAGATGTTTATTGTTGCAGATATGGAATCAGTTCACTTATTTTTTTTTAGTTTTTTTTGCATTTATTTGCATTTTTTGCATTGATATTGTTTGATTTTTATTGTTATTGTTAATTGTTTGATTACACTGTTGTCTCACAACAAGAAGGTCCTGGGTTTGAATCCCAGCTGGGGACTTTCTGTGTGGAATTTGTATGTTTTTCCTCCTGTATCCCCCACCATCCAAACATGTATGTTAAGTTCATATCTGTAGTCAGTGCCCTTGACCAAGGCTGCTGACCACTGTCCTGGTACTTACAGGTCAAATACATTGAATGAATTTCCCTACGGGAATCAATAAGGGATTGCTTACCTTTGTGTGGACCACAGGAAGACCAGCGACCACTCTGAGGAAGCTGATTGAGCTCTAATAGAAGAATAAAGAATCAAGGTTTGGTGAATGTGTCACATAGAGTGCAGTGCCTGCTCTCTCCAGCAGGTGGTGCTATCACAGTCACTGTACTGTGTAATACATATTTCTAATACTGTTGAACCTGGATAAACATCTTATGTTATAACATCCCATCAGATAAACATACACAGCTTGCACCAATATCAGATAGAAACATTTCCATATGCATGTTTACTCCTTTCAGAAGCCAATATTTCCATATTTATTTATATTTATGTAACAAAGTCTTTCCACTCGCTCTCAGTGATGTAAAGTCTGCAGACTGAAAGCTCCCTCACTGTCACACTCTTCCTATAGTGCTATAACCCTGCTGGCTTTAACAAGTCCAAAAACAGTCCAGAAATGTAGTCCTTTACAAATGTTCCAAACACACAGAGTTTGATATTTAAATGATGTAATAAGAACTGAATATTATAATGCAGAATAAATTGGTATATTGCTTTTCATATTCCATCTAAGTCTTCATTTGTTTTCTGTGACATCAGCTGAAGTCAAACAGCAGCTCTGATTGGGCAGCTGTTATAATTACTGTTACTAATTACACCTGTGCACCTGTCTCCTGTTACGATCAGTCCAAATATCTGCTGTGAGAAAGGCCTGACATCGAAACACAATACAAGAAGTGATTTTAAAGTCTTTACAAGTTATTTATCACCCACGAATTTTAATTTTGGTGCCAACATGATTTTAGACAAATAAAATACAGCACTACAGTGAAAAATGTAAAAACCATGACAGTGAAAGACTGTAAATAGGTTAAATATAGTTTCTTTAACAGTAAACTACCATTATATCTTGTAGCAAAAACATTATTTATACAGACTTTTGAAGGAATTTATATGGAATTTATTTTAATATTACAAAAAAACACTGTTTGTGTGACAAAACAGTGTTTTTGTTGGTAAAAACTTTTGTTTATAGAGTAAAATACGGAATAAAACTCTACAGTACTAATATCCTTTAACTGACTAGTAGAAAAAGTTCTGACAACCACAGCGAGTACCATACAATACAATATGTGCAAAGAGAGCTTATAAAAGCATAAATACACCAAATAAAACAAAATATAGATTCAAACAATCAAAATGTAGAGATGAAACAAAATATGAAAGAACAATAAAAAGCATTATTTTTTAACACATATTTTTTTAAAAGAGAAAGTGTATTGTTTGTGTACATCACCTCCTATCAGATTTAAATCAAAGTGCTCATTAATAAGTACAGACACAGACACAGAGCAGTCAGGGCCTGAACACACTGAGCTCTGCTGCGTCAAGTTAAAGTTACAATAAGACCAGAGATCATGAGCTTGTGCGAAAATAAAAGCGCCACATTTACCTGGAAAAACAATCATATAAAGACAAACTGCACTGAACACACACAGAACCTGTTAATGTGAATTAATCTGACATATAAAGTGATTTATTCCGCAGGTATTTATTATTATCCTCCCAACGGATCTACTTTCTGAGTTTGTGTGAATACATTTATATTGAACTAGCACTGCAGAGCACCTTCTATAACCATACACTCATATTAATGTAAAAAGAAATAAATATTGTTTGTGTAATTTCCTTAACAAAAAAAAAAAAAAAAAAAAAAACCAACATCCTCATAATAAACTAACCCAGTTGTCTTATTTTGAAAAGCCCAGCCGGATGCTGTCTGCGCCGTTAGCACCGTGTGCTCAGGATCGGTGTTTTTAAAGGGAACCAAGGTTGTTGAGGTCTGGTGGGCTCAGCGGGTTGAAGGTAAGCTGTCCCCTCTCTTTATGTCCGCTGTCTGTCCCCGGTGGGGTCGGGGGGTTTCGGCTCCGGTAACGGTCTCTCGTTAGGGAAGCTTATCGCTTTTAGGTTAGCGGAAATCAAGACGCGGGAAAGTGTCAAGTGAAGACAAGTGGTGAAGTGAAGCTAACGGGCTAGCTGGGTTGGGGAGCTAACAGCGGCTAACGGCTACAGGCTGCTCAACTCACCGGCGTCGGGCTCCGTTTGTCGGGCTGCTGTACTCGACTGTGGGGGGTCGGAGGGTGGATGTATTTATTAAATATAATTATTATGGTGGTTATGAGGAACAGTGTGTTTCCTCTGTATGGCTGCTGGTGGGGGGGGGGGTTGGGGCTGCTGTGGCCCCCCCCCACTAACACACTGTATCCTGCCTTTAAACTGCCTCTGACAGCCTTTAAAGATATTAAATATTAATGTTATAACAGGTTATAATGTGTGTGTGTTTGTTAACTTTCATCTTTTTATCTGCTGTTTGATTTGTGATAAGTTTGTATTTTATGTGTTTATGTGGCTGGTTCACTATGGAAGCCCTTTAGTGCCAATATGAGAGGGAAAATAAGGATTATTTAAGTTATTATAAAGAGAAACTTTATTAAAATATTGGTTTAGTATCGCAAAGTCATTATAATGAGGACATATGTCATTATAGTGATTACAGAATCTTTTTTGGTCACATTTTGTGGAAATGAGCTTCTATAGTTCACTGTGAGGTTGTCTTTTATTAATATAATAATAATAATAATAATATAATAATATATAGGGCGAGTAAATCTAGCTACTCAGTTGCACAATCAGGGTAAAAAAATAGTGAAACACATGCGAGAAAATAGCAAGACAGCGTAAGAGTTGTAGCCAAACCCACAGGAAGAGCGTCCGTCACTGGCGTCCGTCACATGATCCCAAAAAGAAAAAGTAGAAAGAAAATATTTTTCTGGGGACCACCTGGAACCCCTCAAGGACCCCTGTGGGTCCCCTGACCCCAGGTTGAGAGTCACTCCATTAGAGGATGTGGGAGAAACTCCAACTGTGTGTTTGTGATGAGTTTGAGAGCAAGGCAGGTAAAACGGGGTCGTTTTTTTAAAGCGTAAAGTTTCTTTAAAACGCCACAACGAGCAGCTGAGAGGGTTTTTACTGTTATTGGATAATAAATAGTTTTCATGCGGCCAAATAAAAACTCTGGGCACGAAGATGTGTCAACGTTAAAGTTGAACCTGGATATATAAAGAACAGAAGTAGTTTTCTGTTGGTTATTTAGCCCCGAATGTGAATTTCATGCCAAGTTATTTTACCTAAAACCAATAAAGACGAACTCTTGGTTATTTTAAAAGATATAAATGAAATACGGTAGCCCAGAAGGGAACATCTCTTAAAATGTCCCCCAGCAGCTCGGCCCTACCTCCACTCCCTGCTCTTTGGGGGGGCGTCAGGGTCAGGAGACTGGCTGATCTTACCTGCAGGCTGTGGTCGGTCCACTCTCCAGTGTGAGCACTAAAACAACCTTTCAGTGAGCGTTCGGGCCTTCGCTCCGTTACAGGAAACGGCCGCTGCTGAACGCTGAGTGCAGGAAGACTGCGTGGACGTCTGAAACAAAAGCTGCGAGCCTTCATGCAAATCTCAGTGTTTGTTTATGGAAATGAGAAAAGAAGAACACAGTTTAAACAAAGGGAATATATTAAAAACACAGCTGGAAGGAGAAAGTGGAGCGGTCCTGTAACGTTGATGACTGGCTGTAGACATTAATCTCTACTCACTGACTTCTTGACAGGTTCTGGATGGAAGTTAAAGTCAGAGGATCCTTTTCTCTTGGCTGAAGGTTTTATTTTGTCAGGAGAAGCAGAGCGACCTGTAAATACCCCGTCAGATGTATCGGGGGGGGTCATCCAGCTGTTAAACTCCAAACACAAACTGATTCATAAAAGCTGTCAGATGAGACGTTGAGAGCAAATACTCGCCGTGACTCAGTGTGTGTGTTTAATGACGGCCACGCAGATGGAGGAGCTCACAGGGCAGATGGGAGGTGGTCATTGGGGTCGGTGAGTCATTGTCTCCTAGAGTATGGGGGGGGTAAATAATAATAGGCATTCTGTCGGTTTTACCCCAACCTTTAATTACACCAGATCCTTCCTTTTAAAAACAATCTCTACCTACGAGTCAGGAAATATCCGATCGCGATCGTTTTTTATTGTTATTTCCACTTCAACTTGTACAGCGGATACGGGAATGAAATGTAGTTTCTTGTGGTCCAATGGTGGTATATTTATATAAATAAAAATATTAATATAATATAAAAATATATATAAATAATACACAAAACAACAGGCATTCATACACACTACAAATGTTAAACGCTGGGGTAACGGGAGAAGTGATATCATAATCTTTTTGATCTAAAATGTGATCTTTTGTGGAGTTTAGCCAGACTGGAAGTAGCCTCTGAATTTATCATTAAAACACAATATTGTATTAGATCTAAAAAAAAATTAAACTTGGGTTGAATAATTAATCAAAATCTTATTGAAATCACATTATGTAAGTGTGTTTTCTTCCAACAAATGTCACATTATCATGATTTTAATTGTTTCCTTCAGTAAAAATAAAATGTGTGATGCAGAGATAATCATTCGCACTAATCCCGACTCATATCACGTGATTACCATATCGTGCAGCCCTGATTAAAACCTGAGTTTAAGTTGTAAACAGAAGCCAAAGATAACTTAATCATAAAATATTGTATTGTTTACAATACGACACCCGCTGTGAATCGTCCAATCAGCGCAGCCTATTGGTGAGTTCACTCATTAAGTTTGGAAACAGAAGAGGACATTAAATATAAGAAGTAGGAGCAGTTGGTAGAAATGGGAATAAATTAGATTTTTATAACTTCCATTTTAAAGTGTGAAGGTCTTTTCAGACGGGGAGCGACTCTCCGCCTGCGTACTCGCTCAGATTCGCGGCGTAATCTAAACGCCAGGTAACCATGGAAACAGCTTCTGTGCACTATTGTTGACCGCTAAAGTTAGCTAAATTGGCACAGTCATGCTTCATAGGATGAAATCCCTCCTGTTAACGTCCAGATATCGCTTTTAAAAACAGTTCAGCAAACTCTCAAACAGCATCAATCGCTCCCCGTCTGAAAAGACCTGAGGGGAGAGGAAGATGTTCACATTGTCTTTGGCTTTCTGGTGCAAGCCCAGTAAACATTGGAAGCACAGTGCCGGTGAGCGGTCAGGTTGTAAACCAACATACGGCTCAGAACTGGCCCACCAAGGGGTCCGATCAGCACTCTGGAGGACTTTGCAAAGTGTTGTGCTGTCTTTAATTCCACTTTTTCAATAAAATGCAGAAATATTCCTGATTTATCCACAGAAATAAAATACTGACTGTGGATCAGCAGACTGAATGTGGACAAACAGACTTATTATTGAAATTGCTCTGAAGAAATCTCCGTCTGTTCATCGTCTCATTAATAGTTTGAGTAGTGAAGGATGTCAAAAGGTACTTCTACTTCTTTACGCTAAAAGAAAGGGATACGATCTGAATGTTATTTATAGGTTATTTTAGTGGTACGGCCCCCTCGGGATCACATTGAACTGTATGTGAACTGAACTGAGTTTGACACCCTGGCTTTAAACAATGGGTAGAGTCTCTAGATTACAGTATCGCAGTATATCTGACTAACCAACATTTCTAAATGGGACTTTTACTTACAATACATTACAGTAACCTTTGTCATTGTTCAGGACAATGTGAGGAAATGGTGTAAAAATGCCCACCACGAACTCCCAGAGCCCACGCTGACATCTTCAAACGCTGAACTTTAATAATTGGCTAATTGTTGTCGCTCTAATAATTTAAATGTGCTCCTGTGGAGAGTTGAAACAGGATAACAGGAGACGAACAGGAAGTGGTGAAAGTTTTTAAAGAAGTTTGTGGCGTCACATGAATACAGTGTCAGTTAATGATTGGTTGCTATTACTGTCGGTCTTTAACAGTGTGCATCTACAATCACACGAGAGAGATCTTTTATAAAAGTTGTATAAAAACTGTTAAATCACTGTATCACTGTCTTGTGTGTGAGCTTGACCTTTCTGTAGGAACAAGAGCTGCTTTTCATTTGGATTAGTCCAGGAGGCGTTGATCTGAGCTCACTGTATACTCCCTCTGAGCCGAGGACGCACTGTGACTGTGCACTGTGTAAAATGATCCGGCCGCTGTTGTTCCTCGCTGACCTTGAGCTCACAAGGCCACGCTGCTCCCCCCCCCCGACAGGAGCGTTTACAGCCTCACGTTCCTCCTCCGGAGAAGCTCTTGAGTTTTGAAAAGTCACCATGAAACATGACAGACGTGGTCACATTGTAGAGAGAGTATCAGACGGATTTCCAGTGAACGCCTCAGTGTGTCTTTATAAACACTTTGTTTCCATTAATGTTCAACAGAGAGAGAGAGAGTAACAACACCCAGGAAGACACTAATGTTCCAGTTTGTTTAATAAATGACCTTTTCCACCATGATGACACCAGTTCAACAGTTTGCTTTCTTTATTAGACACATTTAGTGCAACGTACGAGAGCAGAGCAGATATATGAGGATGTAACAATACAACTCACAATCCTGCATCCACAATAGGATCTTATCACAAAGGAACAATCTCTTTATTTCTCAGTCAAAAAACTACAAAATACATTTTCTTTTCTTTATCAAATTAAGAGACATTTTTATTTCTGAGTATAAACTAGAAAAATAATCCATATTTCCTTTTCTTTGTAAAAGTGAAACTTTGAAATATAACAAAGGTTTCACAATGAACCACAGCATTATAATGACGTACTGTAGAGCAGAAAAGACACCCTGGCCTACAAATACTAAAACAGGAATGTTTTTATCTGTGTAAATAATCACAATATGATGTTTTTACCACATCGTGCAGCAAAGTAAATGTCAGAGGACCTCGGGAAGACTGTAGTAACATCTGTGTGGGAAAACTTTTAATTCCTCCCAATAATTTGAGCTCTCTCGTTCCACGTTAGGTAGACTCAGCAACAAACGTTTGAGCAGCACTGTATAGAGATTCACTCAACTCACAATTCAATAAAATTCACAATATGAGACTGAAGACAGAATATGACCTGAAAACAAAACTACAAAATGTATTTTCTTTATCAAATTAAGAGTAGTTTTTATTTCTGATGTACAGTATCAACTATAACACAATGCACACTCCCTTTTCTTTGTAAAAATGAAACTGAAAATATAACCCTCAACTTCCGTAAACAGCCTCATATCTCTTGTCTGTTATCTTCTTACTTTTATTTTAAATTTTTCAGTCAGTTTCAACGTTTTTGAAGAAGCAAATGTTTGCAGGATGCATTAGAAAAAGGGAGACTATAAGATGAATTAGATAAGATAAGATAGCCGCTCTTTGGACTGTTTCTTCCTCTCCACCATCACTGCTTCCCTCATGTACACAGCAGTAAAACACAGCCTATCACTGACGTACAGTCACTAGTTGCTTCCTGTCAAGCAGCCACAGAACATACGTGTACGCCGCACTAGAGCACCAGCATCTCAGACCAAAACAATGGGACAGAAATACAATAAAAATCCTAAATTCATCAAGTTAGATGTTAAAATATTCCTGAAAATGTCTTTATGTTGTTATTGTCAGTGTCTGACAGCATTATGGAAAGGATCCCTACAGAGATAGACCTTTAGTTTAACCACAAACAGCCGTAATATCACTATCACTCTCCACCAGACTCCAGAGACAAAAACACTCATTTAACCTCACAGATCATCGTAGCTTCATTAAAACCGTCTCTGTTAGTGTTTCCAACAATCACCAACTCTGGTTTGGTGGAAATAAATCCTTAATTCACCGACGTAGATGATAAAAACAGCAGTTTCAGTCGGAGCAGACCGGCTGTGGAAACAAACCACAGAGAGGCTGCGATACAACACAGGCAGAGGGAGAGAGACAGCATGTGACTCTGTAGCTTTATATAGAGAACAGCTGTTAGCTGTTACATTAATGTTTATATAACCTTTAATAACATCTTCCTCCTCTTCTTCCAGGTTGCTGCTGGTTGCAGGCCCCTGTGGAGCAGAAGAGCTGTGCCATTCCCCCCTTTTTTCCTCTCATGTCCCCCCCTGTGTGTTTCCCTGTGTGTTAGTGACCCCGCACCCCCACCCACCCCCCACCTGGTCCCTCCCGTTGTGTCGCCACTCCTGCCCGAAGCCCCCCTCTCACCCCATGCTTGGGACAAAGCCAGCTCACTGCCAGCCCAATGACTGCCTGGATCGTCCTGCCTGTCAGCCTGTCTGCCTTCTCCATCACAGGAATATGGATAGTGTGAGTTACAGTAACAATAAGATATACTGAAACATAATGTGTTAACGTAGTTTTATAAGCTGTTTACATGATTAAAACTTAAAGAAGGAAGTTGCAAACAGGAACGTGTTGATGTCTCTCTGTGCTGCTGAATGACCCTTTTCCTTCGAGCCCAGACATCTTCAACACAACTTGTGTCATCGGGGATTAGAAACTGTGTTTGTTACATTTCTAACTTTAAACTTTAACTAACACCCTTCAGTTCTACTCGCTCCCTCTCAGCAAATATGAAAAAGTTTTCCAGTCGTGGAAACATCTGGGAATTGTTTAAAATGACCAAATATCCTGGAAAAAATCTGTTCTGGAAATGTTTGTATTCTCATATCTTCCAGCCTAATGATGATCACATTTCTTGTTGCTGTGGTTGATAAATACATGCACAGTGATGTTAATTATACATGCAAGGAACACTTTAATTTTCTAGAAGTTTTACTTTTCTGTAAAATAAAATTGATTTGAACTCTTGCTGATGGACGGTGGTCAAATGAATGTAGTCAGGTTGCTCGAAACTGCAGCTTATATAACCTGTTTTGTCAAAAAATACTCCTGGAAAATGTCCTGGAAAATAATTACTTAATAAGAGGGGGAACCTTGAAAGCACAGTGATTCTAGGGGGCGTGGCCTCTGGAGCTTTTATAGTCACTAGAAGCACATTCACGCTGTTTGTAGCTAAGCTCGTGGCTCAGAGAGGATAACTCTCCGGTATCTGTGTGCAGTCCGGTGTTTCTACAGCGTCTAAAGTCTGAACCGCTGCGCCACAAAATAAACATACTGAGTAGAGGGTTAGCAACAGCTATCATAAACTCCTGTGAATGAATGCGTTTCCATCAGTATACAGTTTAAAATGAGTGCAGCTTACAGCTCAAAGAACATCTTAAAGTGTGGAGAACCTCTTTAAATTCCAGCGTGTTCCTTGCTCCACAGGTATGCCATGGCTGTGATGAATCACCATGTTTGTCCTGTGGAGAACTGGTGAGTGATTCTTCCTCTATTGATCCGAGGAACTCGTAAAGAAATATCTCACAGTCTGTTTCTGCCCCAGAACTGAACTCGCTGTGTCACCGCTACAGGTCTTACAACGTAACGTGCACAGAGGAGCTTCCCCGACCAGGCTTCCCCAAGACATGCTGCACCATCCAGGACATCCCCCTCATCAGGTCTCCTGCTCTACCTCTCCTCCTCTCTGCACGTCAACGCTTTGTTTCTGCACGACACTAAAGCCATTTTGTGTCAGCGAAGGCCCCGAGGCATGAATTAGCACCTTGTTATATTGTGGCTCTGTGACAGTCATTAACCCACGCTTTGCATAAATTGCATTTGTTTAATCTGCAAATAATGTGAGGACAAAGGCACTCTTGTAAAAAGGCACCAGGAGGCTTTTCTACAGCACACAGAAGTCCAACTACATTTATTATCTACACAGAATATCACAGACGCGGTTTAACTTTCCTCTACAGCCCACATTGTGTAGTCATGTCACTGTATTTATTCTGGTACATCCTCACTGTACATGGCGGCGTTTCTCTGTGGAAATGGTGACAGATGTTAAAGTGTGTGTACAGTGATGTATGAAGGTGAAGGTCGTTCTCCTGCTCTCTAATGCTGAGAGCTCTTTTGTCTCCGTGTGCTACAGTAAATGTGGCTCCTTCCCTCCTGAAAGCTGTTTGTTCAGCCTGATCGGCAACGTTGGAGCCTTCATGGGTAAGGCCACACACACACACACACACACACACACACACACACACACACACACACACACACACACACACACACAGGCATGTCATTTAAAGGAACAGTATGACATTTTGGGAACTATACCTATTTGCTCTTTGAGCAGTCAGAGTCCTGGTTGGAGCCGCTGTGAATCACCTTATTACTGTCATCAAACGAGCTAAAATAAACCCTTAATTCACTGAAGTTAGGTGTGAAATTACAGCTGTTTTACCTCTCGCTCGTTTTCCCCTCACCGCTGAGCAGCTGCTCTCGTTCTTCGGAGACAGAACAATAAATGAGTAAAACGAAATGATAAAAATCTGCCAAAGAAACATTTATTTAATTGCGCAGCAGCAAAAGAAAACAGATGTTTCAGCCATATACTTTCCTCAGTGTTACTGAGACATTTATGGGTGTGACCCTGTTAAACAGCAACCAGCCAGCTGAGACTGATCATTAAAACAACATATAAAAAAACAGCTTAGCTTAGCATAAAGACAGGATACAGCTAGCCTGGCTTTATTCAAATGGAACGAAATGACCCTACTGGAGCCTCCAAAGCTCACTATTAAAAATGTGGTTTTAACAGGGGAGCGGGGGGGGGAGTACGTGTTGCAGGATTTCTTTGCTGGGGGCGGTGACATCCCAGAGTCCTGATGTTTCTGTCTGGTTGCCGGGCAACCAGGAGAGACTCCAGGAAGTCGCTGCATCCGGAGAGAAATAGTTCCAGCACATAACTCCCCGTAAAACAACAACAGGAGGTTGATACACTTCAGTTTTTGTACCCACTGAACAAACAAAGTATGTTGTGTTGATATGTGAGATTGCTGGTATGAAGATTGAACTATACACAGAACTAGGTTAACTGTTTTCCTCCTGGCTGGAGTATAATAATTAGAATACAGACAAGAGGGCGGTATCTTCTCAGCAGGACAGAAAATAAACGTATTAATCCTCTAAAAATCATAGATTCATTAGATTATCTCTCATATACAAACATATACTATTATGGTGTAAAACAGGGTGTTAAAAGTATATATAAAAGCAAACAGTTATATATATAAAATATTTTTTAAATTAAATATTCTGTATTTTTTTTAGTAAAATGTCGAAACATGTTGTTGTGTCCTATAGAAATCACAGTTAAGTTTCAGTGACAGTCCTGCTGCATTATTCTGCTCTGTAACGCAGACGCGATGAATCAGTGAATCTGAGGTGAAAGGTGTTTAACGTCTCCCCCGTCCAGTTTGTGTGGTTATATTAATCCTCCGCTACCCTCCCAGAGACACGGAGGGGCCTGAAATAGCCTGCGCTCGCTAATCAATAATGAATGCGGCTTTCCTGCCACTTCCCCCCCCTCTGTCCTCTCCCCTTGCACGCACCCTCCACGGCCTTCCTCCTTCACTCCTCCTCCTCCTCCTGTCGTGTTTTATCACCACTCAGCTCTGCCCCAATTTCCTCCTCCTGCCCATAATTGCGTCTCTCCTGCTGTATCTACAGTTTTTCCAGTCCTTGTGTTTCATTGCGTTTTGATTTCTACATTTTGGTTTCTGTCATTGCTTCTGTTCTCCATTCTCTCTGCTTCAGCTTCCACCTTTGACTTCCTCTCTGTGGGCGGCTTTAATGCTGTTGATCTGTGTGTTTTACTGCTGTAACAGACGGCAAACTGCAGGTTTATAGTTCCCAACAGAAGAAAACCAGAGAATGTCAGTAGTTGAGTCCGAGAGCAGTCACATGACACCAGCTACAACGACAAACAAACAAGAGCACCGTGTTTAAAGAAGTATTTTAGAATGTGTCATTTACAAAAAATCAATAAATAAATGAACTAACCCAGGATGGTTTTTGATCGTCCACCGAACCACAGATTCACATAAAGGCTAAAACAATATGATGTGTATACTGAAGGCTTTGATTACTGTTGGGTTTCCTTGGTCATACAACATCGTATAATATAACAATATATAGGTAAGAGGTATGTCGTTTTATTTCTCAATTTCTATCGTTAACTTCGGCCTGATCCCTTAAAATAAGTGTCCCATATGTTTCTCTAAAGGTATTTGAGTTCCCTCTGACCACACACTGTAGGTTAGTGAGGTTAGTCTGTACTGAAGCAGGCACATATTGATCGATTGATCGGGATAGATACCTAACATACACAGCTTCACCACTAGAGGGCTCTCTGTAGCAGCTCTACATGAGACCAGGTTGACTATGCATTTCCCATTTTGTACATTATATATTGTGTGTTATGGATGCAGTGTTAATGTGTCACCATCGTCTTCCTCCCCCGTGTGTCCTGCAGTGGTGATGGTGTGCCTTCTGCGTTACGCCCAGGTGATCGAACACTGCCACCGATGTTGGGTCAACACCAGCGCTTTGGTCTCCGGCTGCACCAACGCGGTGGGTCTGGTCATGGTGGGAAACTTCCAGGTAAACTCACATGAATGCATTTAATTCAGATTTTGGTGACCATCTGTTCTGGACCTCAGACCAACTGCAGACTAACTGCACCGCTCTGTTTGTCAGGTCGATCATGCCAAATCTCTACACTACGTGGGCGCCGGTGTGGCGTTCCCAGCGGGGCTGCTGTTTGTGTGCCTGCAGTGTGTACTCACCTACCGGGTGGCTGTGACCGCCCTCGACTACTGGATGGCCCATTTCAGAGTGGCTCTGGCACTGGGAGCAATGGTGTCCCTCGTCCTCAGTATCCTTTAACTCACCTGTGTGTGAGTTATGTACTGTATGCTAAGGTTTTTAGAATGAAAGGGTTTGTACTACCATTATATAAGCAGAAACTGCTGATTGTACGGGCCATGCTGTCAGTTTTAAAGGTTATATATATGTTGTAGTAGAGCACCAGTTCTCGGTTTGGAGTGCGGGGCTTCATGTGTATCAGTTTGGGGGTCCTTGACACCAAAATGTGAGAGCCACACTACAGTCAACCAGACTCCATTGATAAAACCAGTAATTAAACCTAGCAGATACTTCAGACTGGATAGAAGTTCAATAAAACTCTCCAAACCATCTTTGTTAGGGTCTCCAACAATCACCAACTCTGGTTTGGTCAAAATAAATCCTTAATTCACTGATTTAGATGAGAAAATAGTTGCGCGATGGGCTGTAATTTAAAACAAATGCACCTGTCAAAGTTCATCCACTAACAGTAGTTGTTGTTGTTTGTTCCACTAACAGTAGTTGTTGTTTGTTCCACTAACAGTAGTTGTTTCTGCTGACAGACTCAGGTTGTTATTGTCAGTGTCTGACAGCATTATGGAAAGGATCCCTACAGAGATAGACCTTTAGTTTAACCACAAACAGCCGTAATATCACTATCACTCTCCACCAGACTCCAGAGACACAAACACTCATTTTACGTATCATATCAGGATAACATTGTAACGTAATTCAAAGCAGACAGAAATAAAATGAAAGTCACCAAAACCCTAGAATGAAGGCTGTCTCCCAGTCCGAGGGCTCAGGAACTGTCTGTGCACTGTAACGACTCACTGAGCCATCGTTAACATTATTAGTTACACCTGAGCTTTCTCAAATCAAAATGTCTGCCTTGAGCAGGGTCTACTAACTCCAGTCAAGATCTTAAATTATGTCACGCGCACACGTTCATTAGACCTACAAACACAAACACAGACGTTGTCGATATGAGTTTGTCTCTTAAAAACCAGACTGATCAGGCTGTGTTGTGGTTCCAAACAAAGGAACAGGTTGTAGAGTTTGAAGGTCGACCAGCCGGCGGCGTGCTGATAAAACACTGGCGAGTCGAGTTTGTTTTGCTTTTCACTCCACGAGCGCTGAGACACTTGTGCACGGGTCAAGAAGTTTGTCCTTCAGCTCTGAGACAGGACAGCCAGACCACGATAACATCTGTCTGGGCTCAGTTTCAGCGCCCCCCTGCCTGCCTCTCAGTTAGGAACCGGACAGCTGAGCCGACTGTTCCGTAATCAGCAGAAAACTCTTCACAGCCGCTCCTTAACATTCTCCAATTAGAAAGCAGCTTAGGGGCGACTGTTTTCCCTCCACCACTCGCTGCTGTCATCCCTGATTTCTGTCCTCGTCTGTTCGGCGGCAGGGTCGAGAGCCATTCAGGTTCCTGTTCATTATCTGATAAATAATACGTCTAAATAGATCGAGGTCACGCTGGCCTTTAACTCATTCATTTCTGTGAAGAAAACTTAATGAAACAGTTATTTTTAAAGATTATTATGTAAGATCTGAACTTTGAAGACACAAATCCAGTTTGTTTATCAGAGACTGAAGGCTCTGTGAATAATAGTCCTGCAGTAGAAAACAACCAAAGAGCTGAAGAACAATGAGAAGGAAACACTGAATCTGTCAAAAAAGAAGAATATTAAGTCGGTTTGATTGTTAAAAATCATAAAAATACACAATACAGACAGAAAATTGTATAAAAAGTTCCTAAAAATATCAGGAAAACTCATCTCTGATCAAAATTCACTCGTTCCTTCCTGCAGTTAATGAGTTCACTGTTCATTGTACAGTTTATCAGCTGTTCTTTATCGCTATTGTTATTGAATAAAATCTGAAATATCTATAAAATATCACAGTTTACTGTTAATGGAGCTGCTGATTGAACTCTGATCACATTATGAATTCTCATCTGGCACCATGAGGTCGTTTATCTCCTCTCAGGATGTCGTGGATTTGATTCAGGCTCATGATGTTTGATTCACTCTAGATTCAGTGAAGGGCAGTTTGAGGGCTGGTTTCTATTTAGTTTCTGTTTTCTGTTCAGTTTAGTTTCCTATGGGGGTTAAAAATAGACTCAGTCATGTTGTGTTGACAACAAAGACATTTCCTGTATATTTTTAGTTTAGTTCTGTAAGTACACAGTATTGTTTCAGTTTGTTTTCTTTCTTTTCACTCCTGGTTTTAGTTTTTATTATACATCAATTAAACTATTCGGAGCCGGTTCCTGATCTCGAGCCAGTTCTTTGTGACACCCAGAGAACCGGCTCTTGACTGGTTCCAGCGTGGCACCAACACCGGGCTGGTCTAGAACCAAGAACCACTTAACAACAGGGGCTGGGACATCTTGTGCTATATATTTATGAGCTGTTTGTCTCCGAGATGTTTGTCCTCCTCAACGTCTTCCTCCTCCCAGGCGGCATCTTCTTCATCCACGAGAGCTTCGTCCTGCAGCACGCCGCCGCCATCTGCGAGTGGGTCTTCACGGTGGACATCCTGGTCTTCTACGGCACCTTCACCTACGAGTTCGGCACCGTCACCAGCGAGACCTTGATGGCGGGGCTGCAGCAGAGCCACCACCTCGGCTCGGGGGTCATCATGGGCCCCAGGGCCCGGGGCTCGACGCTGGGCGGAGCGACCAAAGGCCTCAAGTCCCCCGGGGGAAGCAGCACGTCCACACATCTCAACTGTACCCCCGAGAGCATAGCCATGTTGTAGCTCTGACACGCCCCTGCAGAGGTGCATCGTGGGCTCCCACAGGAAGGCGAGACGACAGAGGAAGTTGTGATATCTTTAACCGTCGAACCAACAGGTTATCCCGTCTGTACTATCTTTTATTTCTTCCCCAGCGTTGGTCCGAGACGCCACTGCGGTCCTGGTCCCTGTAGCGGAGGGAGGGGCCGGTTTAAAGACTGGAGCCATGAATGTTTTCCAAGATGGCGGTCGATTTCTTCACTTGAGTATGTTGTTTCCCAAACAGAGTTTTTATATTCCGGTTGTTTTTTTCTATAACTGTGCCCACAATGTTTTTCCTCCTCCCCCCCCCCACACACACACACACTCCTTCATGAACTCCCGATGCTTTGATGGCCCACCTGTTTTTGGCCTTTTCGCTTATCTCTGCACGGCACACTTTTTGAATGAGAGAATAACAATTACCGTTTGAGTTCGCGTAGTAAGTAGAAAATATTGAATGTTTGAGAAGTGACTAGTTAACAGTTATGTATGTTTTTATGGCCTTTTTATTCAATCAAAGCATAAATTATCTGTCAAACGATCGGCAACAAATCATTCTCCTCACCCGACACGTTGATCCGGTCGCACAGATGATTTTAATGCAAATTTTGATGGTATTTTTAAACATAGTGTGTGTACACGTGTATCATTCTTGAGATCATAATCCATTTCACTGACCCGAGTGCAGCTCAATCACTCGTCTCCCTGGATGTCAGTCGTCCCACAAGTCGTACGGTCGGATGATTTCTTTGTAACATTTTAAATCCGGGTATCATTCCTTCTTTTCACGTTCGATCCAAAATCAGAGAATTACAAAACCGTTTGTTATTCCTTTATAAATCCGCAATAATCCCAAAGAAAGCCCAGAAAATCCTGGAGGGACTGACAGCTGATAGTTAACTCACTGTCTCCATGGCAACAGCATACTTCCTGTTTGTTGTTTATACCTTCACACAGGTGAAAATACGAAGCTCATACTCAAATCAGACACATTAAATATCTAAACGTAGGAAAAATGAGCTGTTACTAGTTTTATGTGTTGGATTTATAAATGAATCATTCTTTTTATTCTATATTGAATGTGAAAAGAACAGATGATTAATTTACATTTCATGCTACCTTTTTCTTTTATGTTTTATTACATTGACTGTCCTGTCCGGTGCAATAATTGCCATCAATCATGTGATCGTTTCCGCTCCTCTGGAGTGAACAATGCCTTTTTCAGTGTGTCGGAGTTGAACAGTGCTTGTTTTTGTTTCGTTTGAAGAAAAAGTGACACGGAGACATTTTGAAGCGAAGGTGCTTTCGAAGGTTGAAACTATAACCCGACTAACGCACTCACAGAGCGACAGTTCTCGTCCACACACTGATTCGATTCCAGGCTGGACCCTTGGAAGCCTTATTTGAGTTTTCTGTTACGAAGCCTTTTCAGTAGTTGTAGGTTCGCAGGAGTTTGACTGACAGGTGGAGATGATGCTCGTTGACTTTGTGCCATAAACCTCTTGGCGTCTGTACGGCAATACAACCAGACAGCACCACAGGTTGGAGACTTGTAAAGTGAAAGTGTGTCACATATTTAGAGGTTGTTGTTTTTTTATGATTTCCTGTTGCCAATTTCTCCAAAAGTGATAATTGATCCTTCCTAAGTCCCGCCCCTTTTTGCCCTGCGCTCCAATCACGGTCAGCATATCTACTGTTATCGGAGCACAGACCAAAAGTGGGCGGGACTTTTAGGGTCAATTAGCTCACCACCTGACTGCCACAAACTACCACTGCTCCAACTAAAGCTGACTAATGCCACCCTGTTTAAGTTCCACTCAGAGTCTTTTTGTGAGAAGTATGTTTCATAACACGCACAGTATTCTGCCCTCTGCGTAGTGTTGATGCATTTCTAACTGTTACCACTGGATGCCAGCAATACACGTTTTTAAAAAGGTCACATCACCTACCTCTTTTTATCTTTTGTGGGTTTGATGTTCTGAGGCAAAAGCTAGAGTTCCAACATGTTTATTTTATTTCCATCTCACAGTTGCTTTGAGGTCGAGAAGTATTTAATGCGATGTTGTCTCGGTGATCCACAGAGACCGGACGGTGGATCTGCTGTGACATGAGCTGTGTTATCATGTGTCGGGTCAGTTTTCTTTTACATCTTTTGTGCAAATGATTTTTTTCTTTCTGGGACTGCAGCAATCTTGATCTTGCCAAAAAAAGAGTGGAATCCACAGGAGGTTTGGTTGTTTATCCGTGTGTCTGCAGTAGGTGTATGAGTATGTGAGTGCACTGTTTTAGCCTTATCCCTCGTGCTGTGCCAGGGGAACATGTTCTTTTCTTTTTTAATCTTGTGTTCAGCTGTAGCCTATTTCACCATACTGTAACTAAAGTCACAAGGTGTGACTACAAATGGCAGCTTGTATGAGCCCTCACATCAGGGTTGGATATTCTTCTGTAACAGCATCTCCACCACACCACCATCTTCCACAGGCCAAAATTACAGGTGGATTTTTACAACCTTTTCTTTCCTTTTCTGTTACAATGTGCACTTCAGTGAGCTGTCATATGGTATCTTTGTTTGTGGGAGAGTCCTATATTACAAAAAGGCTGCCTGACCTGTACACGTCTTGAACTCTAGCAACAACAACACAGAAACAAACGTCTATAAAGAAAAAAATGTATTAAGTCTCATTTCCTGGATTTGAAAAGTATGTAAGAGTCGGAGAAATCCCCAAAAACAAGTCGACACAGATGATTTTGTTTCCTTTTATAAATTCTGTAAATATGTATGATTTGTCTATCATTTAGGTATTTTCATTTGACAGAGATTTATATTCAAATATGAAATAAAAATGATAAATTATTAGATGTTTTGTCTCTTTTTCCTTCTAAACAGCAGAAGTTTTGGTGAGTTGTAGAGCCCGACTGATATGACGGCCGATAGATTGAATATTTAAGCTGTCGCACAGATACGACTGCAAATTAAATATTCTTTAACATGTTCAATCATTTAACAAATGCATTATCAACCAAAGGCCTTTACCAGTCCCTCCAGGAAGTTGCGATGTTGCAATCACAACAATTAACAAAAAGCCTAAAAACATCGCAATTATTTAAAAAGAAGCTGCTGTGAAATCAGAATCAGAACTATACCAAAAAAAAGCCAGCGGCATCCTGGAGGACACTGGGGGCGTTTGTTTCGATCAGCATTCTGAAATATTAAATATATTCGCACACATGCAACGTCATTTATTTTCAGGGTAAATGTTTTCGGAGATTTCGCATCGCAAATAAAGTTTAATAAATTGTTTTAAGTTCACATCGATGCTGATCCCTATGACGACTAAGGCCTCTACTCTGAGCTGTTGGTCACTGTATTGTACATCACAGCGCACTCTGCTGGATAAACCATGCAGTGACACATATATATATATTACTTTAGGATCTTATATAGGACAAATTGCTGTATATGTTTGTGATATTGCGGCTGATATATCGGTCGGGCTCTGGTCCAACACAACAAACTGACATCATACTCATATATAACATACAGTTATATAGACAGTGTGGAGGAGTATTAATGAAATGATGGTTAATGGAGTGTTTGTTCATATAAAAGGTGGATTTATTTGCGAGCAGTAATAGAACTTTTGGCAGAGCGGGTCCAAACGGAGCATTTGTAGTTTATATACTGGAGAGTAACTCGTGCACCAACAGTGAACTGGTTTCACACAGATTAACAGACAGACAGCAGTCACTTGTGTAATGTAGAAACCATCAACATATATAAGGATGGACGACGTGACAGCTCTCCTAAAGTGAATCCACACCATCTCTATCGCCCCCCGGTGGCTGACTGCAGTATAGGTCATGCCTCCATGTTAGCAGATGGGACAAACTAAACCAAAGATCAATAAAAATACATTCATTTTCAATCGCTCTTATTCAAGTGTTCATTTTTCAGATAACTTTGGTTTTAATTAATTATTTGAAGCTATAAAACGGGGCTTCAACACCACGACTGACGGCTGAGCACCACTGCGCAGACTAACGCAGCTTTAACCGCAAATACTCTTCATTTCTATACAGTGGGAGGAAGTGGAGACGTCCATCTTTTATATGTCGATGGTAAACCAGTTCAGATTTCTGGAGCCAGAAGAGAAGAGATACTCTCTCAAACATCAAAACGGCATCATGGGACGTTAAAGGGGAACTCCAGCATGACGAGTGCAAACAGTTGAATGGAGTCCTCTGTGGCTCTACAGGAGCTTTATAGGGGGGGGGCAGATTACACAATAACAGAAAGCTGCTGTTACACTGGGAGTTTCCCAGGAAAGGAAATGCATCATGGGAAGTGGAGGATCCAGCGTGTGGTCTTTAACGAGCACCCAAACTTTCTAGAAGTACGCTGCTGGAGTGCACCCTAAGATTCTCTCAGATTTAAACATTATTAAAGTCTTTATATAATTCATATTAATTAGACAAATATGGCTAGAAGATGTGTTTTTTTTTGTGCGTTTAAAGCTAATAAATGTAAATAAAAAAGAAAGAAAGACACTGAATTGAAATGCTTCAGTGCTGCGTCCCAACGACGGCGAGAAAACAGCGTTCATCCAAACATTTTCTATTTCCAATGAGCCCGTAGCGGATGCTGCGTTCACACCACGTCAGACGAATGGAAGCAACGCGCTCACACTTTATATGACGGCACACATATTCACCGTTAACTAGCTGCTTATAAGAGACCTGCATCTAATCGGAACCCTGCTGTTAATTAATATAATATCATTAGAATTAGTAGGATATTATTATTAGTCATTATTAGAGTTTTCCCTCAACAACCTCCTCAGCTCATAACTAACATACTGTCCTCAGTGTGGGCCAACACGCATTAAAAGCTTTTATCATTTGAAACATTTAAACTTTAAAAGGTCTTTAAGTTATGAGCAGGATCTCACTTTAGAATAAGGAACGTATTCTGAGTCATTTAGGTCGCGGGTTCACTCTGCAGACTTTGGTTCAGATGTGACTCAGAACTCTGGTCCGCCTTCAAACGTGGTCCACATCACATTCAGGTCTGATTCTTTGCAACGTGACTTCAGTGTGAACTCTTTTTACTTTTATGTTACTGTAGATCGACACTTCAGGACTGTGACCCGTCAAATAAAACCAGATGTGAACACTGAGTCTGCAGTGTGAACGCAGCCTCACTTGTGTTTCGTTAAGAACAGACGTAATAATCTAGTGGTTTCAGATTGTAACTGAACACTGCTCGCACCTGTATTTAACCTGGGAATGGGAACGGGCTGTGTGAGTGTGAAACATGATGGTTCAACAGGGCGGACTCCACCAGAAGAGGACAGAGGTTACTGAGGGAAAAGTCTTAATGCAGAATACAGCATTAATAAAAGCTTCTTAATGACTAATAAGAGTCAATATGCTACTAATACTAATAAGTAAGGAGTTAATGGTGAATATGTAACGTAATATAAAGTGTTACCAACAGCTCTAACAGGAGAAGAACGCTTTATTCTAAAACAGTCTCGTGGTTAAATAAGATAAAAAGAAGCCTAAATGAGCCGTTTTTATTCTTATATATTTGTAATATATATATCATTTTATTTTGAAGGAGCCAGTGAGGGTGGCTTTATAGATTTATTCATACTCTGGATATGTTTCTGATATTTCTAACTACAAACATGAGGCTGACATCGGCGTGATGTCCCGTGGTTGAACATTCTGTGTGAGATGGCGTGAACGCAGCATTATTCACTTCCTGAGGCTTTCCATTGTTTTCAGTAAAAATGTCACCGAGCCACGAACTCGTACCGCAGCGCTGTCGTGTCATGTGTACATGGCTCCGTGTAGATCCTCCAGCCTGTGCTCCCGCTGTTTTCTTCTCTCCTGCGGGACAGACAATAACATTCAGCCGGGCACTGACGCCATAAGGAAATCACGGTAAAGAGGATGAGCTGCACCGTCCCACGCTCACCTTGTCTTTTTTAAACTCCTCGTACTCCGGATTGTCGGTGGGTAACTCGAGTCGGCAGAGCGGACAGGAGTTGGTCTGCGATTGCAAAGAGATTCAAAAAGGCAGCCGCTCCGTTATGAGTCCGAAAGCAAAATGAAATTCTGAATGAGAAGTTTGTGAGCTTTACCTTGCCCAGCCAGGGCAGTATGCATCCTGAGTGGAAAAGGTGTTTGCAAGGCATTTCTCGAACCGACTCTTGTTCCTCGAACTCCAGCAAACACACGGGACACTTGAGACCTTTGTCTGCAGAGCAAAAAGCCACATTATGTTCCTCTAGTGGGATTCATCCAGGAAGGGTCTGCAATGTATCACTGCAATCACTCCTCAGGTCAACAGATTAAAGGTTATATAAAGTAAGAGATTCAAAACATTAATGTAGCAGCAAACAGCTGTTCTCTGTGTAAAGATACAGAGAGTAACGCCGACTGAAACTGCTGTTTTTATCATCTACGTCGGTGAATTAAGGATTTATTTCCACCAAACCAGAGTTGGTGATTGTTGGAAACACTAACAGAGACGCTTTTAATGAGTTTGATTCTGTTTCTGTCCACTTTGAATTAAGTTACGATGATCTGAAGGTAAAATGAGTGTTTTTGTCTCTGGAGTCTGGTGGAGAGTGATAGTGATATTACGGCTGTTTGTGGTTAAACTAAAGGTCTATCTCTGTAGGGATCCTTTCCATAATGCTGTCAGACACTGACAATAACAACCTGAGTCTGTCACTGGTGGATTTATTAGCATCAAGCTGTGAAGTAGAAGCTACACCAGAGCCAGCGTTGGGTTCTATCTGGTGAACCAGCAAGGTGAAAATGACCGGTTCTGTCAATGGAGTCTGGTTGGATGAATGAATTCTGTGTATGAGTTTGTGGTCCACAGACGTTCTCTCCGTCTGTGTGTTAGCGTTCTCCTTCCCTCCTTCCCTCCCTCCCTCTCTCTCTCCCTCCCTCCCTCCCTCCCTCTCTCCCTCCCTCTCTCCCTCTCTCCCTCCCTCCCTCCCTCCCTCCCTCTCTCCCTCTCTCCCTCTCTCCCTCCCTCCCTCCCTCCCTCTCTCCCTCCCTGTCACCTGCTTGCTCTGGAGAGATGATGACCACGGTGAGCGTCTGGACGGCGGTCTTGGCAGCCGGAGGAGGAAGCCGCTGGTCCCAGTCCGACAAATCAAACGCCCCCGAGTCCATTAAGTCCAAGCCCTGCATTAAGGACCTGCACACACAGAGCGACAGCCAATCAGAGCGCCGCACATCACGAAGCACTTCCAATGAGTGTGTGTGTGCTCGGCCTCACCTGGCCAGTTCCAGGAGCGCGTTCTGCCGATACTGCTCCTCGGGGTTGGTCGGCTCGCAGTCGTGCTCCTCGAAGTAGGAAGCCATTTTGGTCCAGCCAACGCTTGTGTCCTCTTCAGACAGACAGGCAGGCAGACAGACAGGCAGGCAGACAGACAGGCAGACAGACAGAAAGGTCACATTACAACTTATACCTGATGATGAGGAGAGTAACCATCACTTTACTACACTCCTTTATCTCCCTCCTCCCCGCCATAAACTCTCTACATTATATTATCATTATTATTATTATTATTAATATTATTAGTATTTTTTTTATTATTATTATTATTAATTATATTTATTATTATTATTATTATTATTAATTTATTTTTTTTTTTTTATTATTATAATATAATATTTTAAATAATTTTTTAATTTTAATTTTATTTATTATTATTATTATTATTAATAGTATTTATTATTAGTGGATTTAAAGAAATATTCAGTGAAGTTTTTTCCTTGAAATTCAGTTTATAATTAACCTTTAACAGATAATTAAACTATGTTAATGTTTGTTTTTATAAACGTTAATGTAAATAAACATTAATGTAAATAAACATTAATGTAAATAAACGTTAATGTAAATAAACATTAATGTAAATAAACGTTAATGTAAATAAACAATGTAAATAAACATTATATTTGTCAGTATTTATACAATCAGAGACAACAGATGTATTTAATGTGTTTCTAAGTGTTTCTTTAGAAGTTCTCAGATAAATTAATGTTTGATAAACTTTAAGTGAAAGTTAAACTGAGATAAACAAACAAACACGATGTTGTTGTTGTTGTTGTTGTTGTTTACAGTTTACAGTGAATAATAAACACAAACGGCTCCAGCGGGACTCGAACAGGAGCTCGACCCTTCTGTGGTTTCTATAAAGACACACAGACAATCACAGACAAACACAGACAAACACAAACAAACACAAACAAACAAACAAACACAAACTCTTCGTTAGCTCGACTCACCTGAAATGTTAGCAGCAAACAAATATGTCATTCTTCCGGGTATGACGATCATTGTCACGTGGTACTTCGACCAATCACAGCAGGGACTCGCTCCCCGTTTCTTCAGCAGTACTGCCGCCTGCTGGTGGGAGACGAGTACTGACCGGATAACACCACAGCTGATTGTCAATCGATATATGATCGGATCAATAATTAAACACACTACCAGGATAACATAGATCTGTCAACACATTAGTTTTTTTTTTTACAACATTTTTTTAATCTTTGTTTCATTATTTGTTTTATTTATTTATTATTTCTGTTTGTGGAGATCATAAATAAACTTAAATACAGGTTTTTAATTCAATTTAATACAGATTGAGTTTCCAAATCTTTAGATTATTCAAAGTACAAACATAATATCAGTCTTCTTACTTGTACTCTTGTAGGTTTGGATGTGGTGGTAATGTGGTTTATATTGTTTCTGCATTCAAAACTCATCTTTACTCCTCTTTTTTTAAACTTTGAGCCTAAACAATGACAGAAAAGAGCAGTAAACACTGCTTTAGTTTAACAAACTGGATTCCTGCACACAGGGTAGACCTGCTGCTGCTCATATGGAGAGTTTGAAGTGTAACACTGAAATCATTCCACAGACGAAGCCACAGTTTGATACCAAAACAGAATTTATTGGCGTAATCGGACTAGAGGTGAGGAGCCTCACTGCTCGTAACTATTGACAATCCAAGTGAAAAGAGGAAGAAAAAAAATAAAGAAGAGGGAAAGAAAGATGAACAGACACAAAAACAACTCAAAGAAGGTATGGCTTTGGTTAAATAACACTCGACTACACTGATTTGAAAAGACTACATGATATCTTAAATAGAGTGAGAAAAGATTTAAGGCTCTAGAATTCCCTGAACAGAAGGCCCGACACATCTCTGACTGCTGCACGCTCCTCGGACCTCGCATTCCTCCCAACAGACCACCAGGCTCCCCTCTAACAGCTGACCTGTGATCAGCACTCTGCTGAATTTGCCAGTGTTATTAGACGTGGTTCTGACACAACGGCACACGCTGACGCTGAAAGGTGTTAATCCACAGTTGCATAGAGTTATTGGAATATCACAGCAAATTACTTCTTTGCATTATGTAATAAACATTCATCAGCTTCTCAATACAGTAATGACACCAAAAATATCAAAGTATCTCTGCCTCCCCTTCCCCCCCCCTCCCCCTCGCTGAATGAGTGGTTAATAATCACGTGTACATGCCAAGCACGCCAGCGCTTTGCTTACAACGTAGCTGCATCGGATATTTACAATAAAAAACCTCTCAGGCTGCGCTCAGAGACAGTAATGTAAGAAATGCACAGTGTACTCCCAATATCTGCACGTTCAGATCGATTTCTCTTTTCTGCTGTGAAAAGACGAGGAATGATTTGGCAGCACAAAAACGTGTTTGTTCAAACGTACGTAATACTGCAGCGACTGCTGGTTGGCTACAGACTCACAATCACCGTACGATATTCACCCGCCCGACGTCGGCTACTAAATAATGTGTGCTTGAGATTCGGACTCTGGAAACTAAAACTGATTGAAACTCAGCTGTGTCACATTCTGGTATCAACATTTAAAAAGGACCAGTGTGCAGGATTTAGTGGCATCTAGTGGTGGAGTTGCAGATTACAACCAACTGAATACAGCTCAGCCTTCCACGTGTGGGTTTCACGGCAGCTTTTGTAAAAAATTGTGATGTTTTTTGGGTTTTTTTTTTGCAGGAGAAAGTGAAAATAGCAAAGTGTATAATTCATTTAAAATCAAAGGCAATTGAGAATAAAATTGCTATTGACATGGCTCAGCTTTTTATTTTTTGATTGGTGAAAAGAAAGCATTCTGTTAACAGTGGCTATCAGAGGTAACTAGGTATAAAACAATAACTAACATTAGCTATATGTGAGCTTGTAGGAAATTACAGTGGTCGGTCAGATTTGCAGAAAAGTTGCAAAAAAAAGTTGTGCAGAATTCACTGAGATCGTCTGAATCGCAGCTTCCTGGAGAGTCCGTCCTGGGCTAGAAACATCCCGACCCGCTCCCTCTGTAACGAAAAGCTAATGATTCCTATTCTCAGGTGATTTTTCTGCCAACAGATCGTCCTAAATGTTTCACACTGGACCTTTAAAATCTCCACATGCAGGGATTCTCTCAGGCTGAATGATGTGATTGCATCTGTAAAAGTCTAAAGACACAACAATCAACTTCACACATACAAAACAGTTCCAGTTAATGCTACAGTGATAATGTGTTTATCCTTCTGCTCTGACCAACTTTATGCCACGGGGGGGGGTTATATTGTAACGTTAAAAAAAACAACAGGTCACCTGCTCCCTGGTTTCTAAAAGGACACGCTCAACCAGTGAGCAACATGTCAAACACGCAGTATTGTATGGATTTCTACAGTGTTCAGTAAGATTTCACCGTCATCCACTGAGACTAAAAACTACAGAGATTTGAATTATGTGAGAAATAACTAAAAGGACAGCTCTTCGCCTGCTGAAAATATCCCACACGTAACACCTGAATCAGTGTTGATTTAAAATAAAAAAAGTAATGTCACCTCCTGTTTTCATTATTTTTCTTGAGCTCAAGGTTTCCATCGTCCTCTGAACGTTGACTAAAATCTGCGCCGCGCTTCAAAGAACGCACCGTCAGCCCGTCTGAGAATTTCTGAAGTTAAAATGATTTGAGTCTGGCAGAGAGAATATGTTGCTTCAACCACATGCACATACCTAATATCCATACACACTTCCAATGTCACCATCAGAATACAGACAACCTTCTTTGATACGATCCCATTCCCACCCAACCTGTGCTAAACACGCTTTCTGTAACCCCCCCCGACCCCGACCCATACGTAGCACTGCCGACGCTCGCCGTCACTCCCTAACTGAACAGCTTGACGAAGCAGCCGTGGCAGTAGGGTTTGTCGTTCTGTTCTTTGAAGGTGCCTTTGTTGAGCTGCTTCAGGCAGAAGGCGCACACAAAGTGCTCCGGGTGGAACTTCTTGGCCATGGCGGTGATACAGCGTCCCGTGATGGGCTTCTGACAGCCGGAGCAGAGGGAGCCGCGGCGCTCGTGGTAGTGCACTTCACAGTAGGGCTGGCCGTCGTGCTCGAAGAAACTTCCATTCACAAACGGGGTGAAGCACTCCTGGAAAAAAAGAGGAGGACGGAGAGGGAGTTTCTGTTATTCTAGTGCTCTTACTCTTATTATGGGATCTCACAGAGGCTCCTCAGCTGTTAGAGGTAGTTCGGGTTTTTGAAGGTGGGAGTGTTTGAGGTATTTATCCATATGTATCAGTGTAGGTGTAGGCTTTATTTAGAGCTGTCAGACAACCCTTTCCAACAGGAAACTAAAGGTTTTCCATCAGTGTATGTTCTCTTCAAAGCCACCAGACTCCACTGATAAAAACCTTTTAGTTTGCAGAACACAAGAGTTGCTGGTCTCGTTTGTGTTATTTTCAGTTCCTTCTGGTTTTTTTGGGGGGGGATTGTTGTGGCCAAAAAATGCCAGATTTTTGCCGGAGGTTTTGCTCATTTTTTGTACCATTCATTAAAAATCAAAGGCAACAGCTAGCAGCAAGGCGATGTATGGCTCATCATTTTGTTCAGGGGGCTGCTATCATCGATGAAACTCACTGGAAACTACAATTATTGGTCAGATTGGTGGAAAAGTTGCAGGGATTGGACTAAATTGCAAAGGTGGTGATCGCAATGTCTTTCCTCTAACCAGCTATTCCATCTCTTTAACCGAGCAGCAACCTCCACGGATGGCAACACAGAGGTGCCAAAACCTGCCAAGATGGCGACAGCTAGATCCGACCTCACTGAGCTTCACAACGGCTCTTCACAGATGTTGGGGGACGTCACAGACACTATTTTCAATCATACAGTCTTTGGTTAGTTGGGATTCTAACTAATGTTAGCTGCTGCGGAGTGAGGCAGCGATACACCAGCAACTCCAATGTTCTGTGAGGTAAAATGTTTTTTAAAAAGGAGTCCGGTGGGTTTGGAGAGAGAGATCCTTTTGACTATGTACATTACCTCGAACAACCCCACAATAAAATATATTTAGGTGATGGTACAGACCCTGCAAACAAAACACTCCGGGTGCCACAGGCTGCTCAGCGCTGAGATGTAGTTCTCCAAAATGGCTCTGGCACAGCCGCCACATTTCGGTGCAAACATGTCAAAGTAATCCTTCCTGCAGTAGGCTTTTCCATCCTTTTCATGAAAACCTTGAAACAGACACAGACAACAGATTTTAATACGAAAGGAAACAGAAACTATAGATCCTACGATATAAATAGTAATTCGGTACCCTCTGGGCCAAAGAAGGATCCACACTGAGCGCAGAAGAAGTGTTCAGGGTGCCAGGTCCGATCCAGCGCCGTCACAACTTTCTGCACAGACAAGACAACATTTATTGTAGCTTGGCCGCCTTCTACAACACACACGGCGAGCACAGAGACAGCAAACAGCGGCGACTCACGTCCAGTATGGGCCCGTTGCAGTAGTAGCAGCGTGGGGAGAACAGGTTGTGGTAATCTTTCTCACAGTACGGCTGTCCTTCACGCTCAAAGAAGTTCCTGGAGCCGATCTCCTCCTGACAGTGTGTGCACACAAAGTGCTCAGGGTGCCACGTGCGGCCCATGGCGGTCACCACCTACACACACAGAGGAGGGCATTTAGTATGCAAACGCTTAAACAGGACATATTATACCTACAATTTCCCTCCTTTTCTGTCATATATATAATGTTAGAATGTCAGATGTTGATATAAAATGTTCAGTTGTTCTGTACAGTTATTGTTTATGCACTGAATATATAAGCAGCAGGTGTTTATATATCAGGAAGACCAGATCATATTTATAAGATAAATAAAGATGTTTTTGCAAAGCGACTGTAGTGGAGTCTCACACTGAGAATACAGAGCTGGAAACGAGCACAATGTGTCCACTTAAATAGCTCGTTTGCACGTCGATCAAACCACGAGCAGCTTTTATCTAGCTGTAGTTTATAAGGACGCTTTATTTAGAATACTTTCACCTGACTGACCTCGGTGTTTTAGTTTGGATCATTCAGTCACACAGTAACACAAACAGGTAGCGGCAGACCAGCGACTCTTCCACAGACATTATCTGAACACAAGCATCTCACCTGTCCCACTATGGGCTTACAGCAGGCACCGCACACTCCTTTAGCTACCGTCTGCACGCCCAGTTTGTTGAGGTCAGACTGCAGACTACCGAGCATGTTGTCCAGTTTGTTGACCTGTGTCGGAGGCCCACCGGGAACGCCGCCCTTTCCTTGGGCCATAATCTGTAAAAGGTTCAAGTATGAAAACAGGTGAAGATGTGGCTGACAGTCAGAGATATAACAGTGAGATAAGAAGAGGAATAAAATGAGTCCTGGTTCTGTGGTGAGAGACGGGGGTTCGTGCCTGCACTGGAGGGAAGATTGGATCGTACTCTGTTTGGCAGCCTACAGACACCAGGACTTTGGGTGCGATCGGTGTCACTGGCTCCACTGGTGGAGGCCGGGTTGGGGTTTTAAGAACGGGAGGAGGGGGCTCTGGTTTGGGTGCAGGAGGCTCCTGAACTGGGGCCGGTGGAGGTGAGGGTTTTATAAAGTGCCGAGGCGGAGCGGGAACTGGTTCCTTGATGTGCGGAGGTTGTGGAGGGGGAGAGGGAGGTGGAGGAGGAGGAGGAGGAAGAGGTGGGGGTATAGGGATGGGGGGCTGCTGGACTGGGAGCAGTCTCTTAAGTTCTTCTACAATAGGAGGGTGACGAGGGGCGGGGGAGAGGAAGGTGGGAGCACCTTCCTGACAGGGACGGGCGACTCTGGGGGAATTATGATCTACAGAGGAGGAGAGAAAAACAGAAAGAGGGAACAAAGAGAGGAAAACGTGCAGGAAACTGAAGGTGAAAAATTATATTTGGGAAAACTGCTGAGCACACCGAAGCCAACCTTGTCCACCTCACTGCCGGCGCCATCGAGGCGGAAGCGCTGGGGTTTGGAGGTGACGATGACCCCCTCCGTCAGCCAGTCGTCGGACTGTTTGCGTCGACGCTCTGAGCGCCCGATCCCGAACTTCCCCTGAAGCTCCTCTATGAGGCGGTCCTGAGAGCTGTTCTTGTTCACAATGACGGGTCCCATCTTCCTGCGCAGGTGAGCGTCCCGGTACATCGGGTGCACGTTGGGAGTCTCCTTAGTGCGCCGGATCACTGATTTAATCTGAGAGGGAATGTGAGCATCGTATCACATGTCCACACAGAACGCAGCTGCAGCAGCTCTGCAGCAGGCCGGGATGCAGAGGTCAGCACTCGCATGCTTTTAAACTGTGCCACACCCACGCACGGACCCCCCCCCCAGCGCTCCCAGTCTGTCAAGCAACTTCACAACACGTTAGAGCCGCGTTAGAGTCCTTCACACAGAGCAGGTCAGGGGGATTGTGGTCCACGTGTGCCATGCTGGTACCGACAATCAGTGGGTTACGTGTGAGTGCAGCGCCACAGAGAGAGAGAGACTCTGGTTTCTGTCATCTTTCTCAAACACTGAGGGTCCATTTTAAAAACTCTTGGTCTGCTCATAAATGTACGTGGAAACAAACTCCATCACAAATTAGACGAGAAACTTCATCGTTCTGCTCAAAACTTAGTTTTATGATCTTGCTCTTAATGAATTCCTCTTTTTTACATCCCTGTTGTTTTTCATACTTTTCATGGTTTTTATACCTGAAGTCATTATGTTTTTACTATTATTAACTTGATTTTGTTACTAATATTTGCCTTTTAATTTTATGTTTCCTGATTTTTCTCTTTTGGATTCATCAGTTTACACAGAATCAGAACTGCAGATGGATTCACACCAATTTACAGCTGAGCTCTTCTCTTACACAACTTTAGCTTTAATTATCTACAGCTTTCATTTTAAAGACTGAAAAAAAGAAAGAAAAGGTAGCTGAAATCTGACTAAATGTTTGGTTTAATGAACTTTTTCTTTTAGTAATTTTCCTTTTTGGACTTTGAGGGAGAATGACAGCCTTTCCATTATATATATTTATAATGTATTATCTGTGTGTTTCCTGTTTTTAACACCTTTAACCGACGACAGACGATACTGAATGCTAACAAAACAATCCTCGTCGTATGTTAACACCCTAACAACTATATTTAGTACGTTACAGAAAAGCCTCACAGATTCAGAGACACAACATCTGCTGTGGAAACTGTGGAGATGTAGCTACACATGAGAACATCTAAATGTGTTTACCAAAGATAAATACATGGAATCAGACATTCAGACTTTATGATGTTTTCAGCCTCATACTTTGACCGATTTGTGCAGTTAGTACTTTAAGTGCTGTAAAGGAAATAAGCAGATTCCACTGTGGACATTAAGTATAAGACATATTTGGTGTCGTGTTTCAGCTCACAGCAGATGCTAGCTGGTACAGAAGCATAAAAACAGGCAGAACATGAGCACAACAACCCGAGTGGTGTCAGGCAGGAGATGCATACATGTCCGGATGCAGACACTCGGTCCATGTTTGGAGTCTGCATCAGGGGCAGGTCCAGGGCAACGTCAGGGGTCCCGGGGCAAGAAGACGGGGTCATGGACTCATCCATCCAGCTGGCCTCTGTCATCGGGGTCATGCTGCCATCCGTGTACGGCCTCTCGGTGTAAGGCGTCATGGTGCCATCCAGTCCGTCGTGGAAGGACATGGACAGGTCCTCGTCGGCCCAGTCCAGGTCCCCGTTCCCGTCGGTGCCTCCGTCCACAGACTCGTCGGTGATGGTGTTGGTGGCGCTGGTGAACGTGTCCGGCTGCACGCTGTTTCTGTCCATAGGCAGGATGAGCTCCTCGTGCACCTCCTGCATTCCTCTGCCCAGACACCGCGCCTCCATCTGCAGCTGCGGCTCCTCCGCTGCGTGGTTCTGCACAAAGCTCATAGCGAGGAGCTTGTCCAGCGCCTCGTCCAGGGACGGCTCCACCGCGGGGGGCTGCTGCAGGGCGGGCGTCGGCTCCAACAGCTGTCTGCTGGGGCAGGCGAAGGCCGGCGGGGAGAGGGCCGAAGATGTAGAGGACGTTTTTGAGGAAGCATACGCAGAGGGGGGAGATATGGAGAGAGCAGCGGGGTGCGGGGAAGGAGTCTTCGGAGCTGATTGAGGAGGGGTGAGGTTTTTCGAAAGAAGCGGACTGCAGAAATTAAAATCCAGGTCATGAAAAGAACCCTTGTTCATAGTCTCAGGAGCACAGGAGAATTTACCGACAGTATTTGAGGGGGAGACGCGCTCTACAGATGGACTAGGGGACTTGGAGAACTTGTGGTCCAGGACGGTGTTAACGGAGGTAAGCGAGGGGGTGGTGGTGGTATTGGACGGACTTGGGCTGTTTCTCATTAGGTTGGAGTTAGAGAAAGCGGACTGAGAGAGGACTAGCAGAGTCTTGGTTTGGGATGACAGCATGGTGGCAGACACATCTATGACAGAGTCCAGGTCTAGGTCGCTGGCTGCAGAGAGCGAGGACATAGGACTGTGGGGAGGGAGGCGGTTCGGATGGGACACGGACACGCCACCGTCTCCTCCGTCCTCGTCTATGTGCAGCTCTAGACCGGCAGGAAGAGAGAAGACAGGAGAGGCACAGGCAGACGGGTGGGACAGAGTGAGGAAAGGAGAAGCCACGGAGGGAGAGACTGGAGGACGAGGAGAGCTGGAAGAGGCTCCCGCTGGGTCCAGCAGGGAGCCCAAAGAACTGGGCTAGAGGACAGAGAAGCAGAAGCAGGATAAGAGGAAGAGGACAGAGAAATCATCAGGAATATGACAGGAGAAGAGTGCGTTTTGTTGATGAAGTGAAGCCCTTCCTCGCGCTGCGCGTACCTTGAAGTCCGACAGAGAGGCCATCAGCTCGTCCAGCTCTCTTGTGGCGCAGGACGCTGAAATCCTGGCTTGCTGCTGAGAGGGTGTGTCCAAATCGCTGTGGCGTGCCGGGGGGCTGGGAAATACAAATGATGTATTATAATATTATTCATATAAATCCATCTTAAGGTCCCACTGCAGTGGACAGACCGTGTACCTGGGTGAAGGCACCGAACCCTCCAGCTCGTCCAGCAGACTCTCCACGGAGGGTCGGGCCTCGTCCAGCCTCGTCCCGTTCCTTTTGGGCTTCTCCTGAGGGGGCGGGCTCACCGTGATGTCAGGGCCGCCGCCGTTCTCATAGTGGGTGATGCTGCAGGATGGTAAGGGCGGAGCCGCCTCCTCTGTGGACACAGGATAGTATAGCTAATTCTGCTCAGCGCACACAGAAGAGATAAAGCTGGGGGGGCTTTAGGGTCTACCTGTGGTGGGGAATGAAGGGGAGCTCTGCTGCACGGCGTTCAGCTCCAGCAGCAGCCGGTCCAGCTCTGACAGGTTGCTGCCCAGGGCGGAGGTCATGGCTGCTGTTGATGAGTCTGAAGACTTCTGTTTGTTTGGGAAACTGAAGAGAAGACAGAGACTGCTTATAGCAACTAGCAGGTAAAAGAAAGTGACGGATGATACGGACAACATTTCAGAGTGTGACAGGATACCTGTAGACGTGGTCCTCTTCAATGTGAGACAACGGAGAGCTGCTGCTGTCCCTGGACCATGAGCTCTTCTGGGCTGAACCTAACGACTGCAGAGGATTCAACAGTCAGACGACACAATGAGAACTTTCAGTGAGTTAACAGCAGCATTGTTTTGGTCTGCAGTATGGGAGCATTACGCAGACCAGAGGAATATAAGAATAAAAACAGCAGTAGAGAGAGATTAAGGCTTTCATAGCAAAACAACATGCAGTGTACCAAAACTCTAGTTTGTGCTGTGTCACTTGTTCTTTGATATGCTGATGAAGGACTTTGGTTTCCGGAGTTCAGGATGAGCTCGTACCTGCTGAGAGGAGTGGTGGGAGTCCGGCTGATCGATCAGGGACCCGTTCAGAGCCTCGGCTGAGGGCGGAGGAGGAACCGGAGGTGGAACCGACACATCCTGGTAGGAGTGTCCTCCGGTAGGGATGGAGTACGGGGTCTCGTCAGACAAGAACACGGGTCGCTTTGAGATGTGGGACGTAGTAGATTCCAGGTCCGCCAGCAACGCGTCTGAAAGATTGGACAGTTCCAGTTTTACTACACGTCACAGTGGGGGTACTGTAGAGCGGCAACGATTGGTTTTTAAAACAAAAAAAAACTAATTCTGTGATTTCAGCTTCTCAAATGTGAATATTTGCTGGTGTCTTTTATCCTCAACATTTTTCACCATTTAATGGATCAAACAACTGATGGATTCATTGAGAAAATTATCAACAGATAAATTAGAAATGAGAATAATCATAATAATAAAGCAGTGCAGTTTTATTCAAACCAGGGATTTTTTAACTGGGGTCCAGGGACCAACAGGTAGCGATGGGAAAACATTTTACAACAGTTTTAATCTCTGACCCTGGACACAGTGTAGAAACCGGGCAGAGCTCACTGTAGCAACAGGCTGCTGTTCAGATATAGAGATTATAATCATTAAATAATATCATAAACGTGTGATTACTAGTCAACCAGGACAATCTTTAGTCGGGGGGCAGCTGCAGTCCCCAACTTACATACAGTCAGCCATTTTCACTGTGTAGCGATCCCAGTTAAAACTGAGGGTCCTTCACATGAAAAAGTCTGGGATTTAAACAACAACCTTCATCAAACTCAGACACACTGATTCCTGGAAGCAAACAGAACCGGGCCCCAGACCAGTGGATTCTTTACTGGGGCTGCTGGGAGCTCTGAGGCGACTCCTGAATGTGGTGTCAGGCTGTAAACAGACAGTGGCAGCGAGTCCCAGTCGGTCTCTCCTTCCAGCCTGCCACCAAAAAAAGCTTTCATCCAACAGTGAGGTTAGTCCGCATGACCGGCCCAGCAGTACATCACCGAGACCAGATCCATACCTAAACCCATTAGGCCTCCAGGAAATCTCCCCCTGAAATCCCCAACATACTTTTTCCATCAGTCGGCACTATAAATACAACCCTGCTGACAGTGAGCTACCTGTCTGTCTGTCAGTCTGTCTGTCTGTCTGCTGTGAGAGACGTTGATTTCTGTGTTGTGAGTGTGAACTGACAGGAACACAGCAGCAGTCAGACAGAGGAGTGTTTCTGCGTCCAGGGTTGAAGGGGTACAGCGTTACCCTGCTGAGTGTTCACAGGAACGCAGGAACAAAATAGACTCTTACATCACACAATCCATCCATCCATCCTCAGCCCGTCCAGAATAGACGACCGCAGTCACCGGCTGCGTACGGTTACACTACAGCGGCTGGGAGCGGTGGCTTCAGGGAATCACTGCACTTTTAAAAGAGGGGTTCAAACTACGGCTGCACGATGTGGGAAAGACATCGTACAGAGATTATTCTACAATATATGATTCACCATTAGTGATTATTTCTGTATCACAAAGTTAAAGTTTACTGAAAAAAACTATTAAAATCATGTTGATTTGTGGATTTTTTGGAGGATCTGTACCAAACAAACTGAACTCTGGAGACCAAAACTACAGTATTTCATTATAATGCTGTTATTTTGTACCTTTATTTAAAAACTGCAGCTTCAGTGATTTGGATAATACACTCATCCATATTTGCGATTATTTTTAATAATGTTTCTATTAATTCTGCAGCCCCAGGTGCAACACATCACAGAACTCACAGTTTTTAGTTCTCAGTTCATCATCAGTTTCATCAGTTTTCAGCATAAAACTGTACGATAAAGTATTAGATTATTTTACTGTATAATAATCAATCAATGCGAGCTGCTGTGAGTCGAGCTGAAGGCAGCTGATATTTCCGACTCCCACTGTACAAAGCCAGAATATCCAGATACGGCCGCAGCCATTTTTCATCATTCGGACCCAGATTCAAGTCACTAATTAAAACTTAAAACTTGAAATATTTGGGGAAAAATTTATCAGATTGTTTTAGTTTGTCCCGTCTGCTAACACAGATGCTTTATGAGCAATAATGCGGTCAGCCACCAGGGGGCCATACAGAGGGTTTGGCTTCGCTTCTATAGAGCCGTCATGATGTCCATCTTTATTAATGTCGACGGTAACACCGCTGAAAATACCAGAGTCCAGGATGGGAACTGCAGCTGGGCTCCTCTTAAGAAGACGTGTGACATTTTGGGAGTTCTCTAAAATACTGACAATAAGATATTTCTGCGATGCATTTCTATTTTTCTATATCTTCAGAATCATGAATTATGTGTAAAATTAGGAAATTATTATTATTAATATACGTTTGTGATTAACTTGTTATACATCAGATGTGCTGAGTGAGCTCCTGTAGTTCGCACACTGCCGACAGGATTTTAGCCAATAAGGAAAGTGCTTCAGAGGGAATTATTACTTTAAAAAGTAAAAGTTTATGGTTGAATTTGGTTCTGTAGCTCACACGCTCCACTACTGAACCACTACCTTTAAACTCAATACGCCCGAGAAGAAACAATGAACATTTCACTAAAATACAATCTACAGTGAAAAGGGTCTCTGTAAAGTTCACTGGAAGTTATTTCTAGAAACAATATAACTCAGCAGGTAAAAGAAGAAGAATTCTTGACGTTTTTAATGATTTAACACAAACAAAGGTCGGACATTAAAGCACATTAACCATTATCACCGATATCTGAATCATCTCATATCAAATACTCAACCATTCTTTCACACAGCGTCACATTAATCCTGCTGTAAGACTTCAGCTGAGGTCTGAGGACACAGAAAGCCTCCTTCCTGCTCACTTCATTCAAACCATCCACAACCAAGTGAGCAAAGAAACTAAATACAGAGAATATCTGTCAAATCAAGATCTCAGGCTCGATTCCTTCGTCTGTGCCAACACTAATCTTATAATGAAACAAAAAGATCCAGGGACACAAACATTTAAAAGCCAGCATCTGTACTCACATTAGTTTTTCCACCTGCTGTATCTGTAATATCCTCCAGGAAAGTCTAATGTTGTTTATAAAGCCCCAAAATCACAATTTCCTTCAGTTTCAGGCTTAAAGGAAAAACCCAGAGGAAGAGCCACAGAGGAGGGACCGCTCTCCCAGGACGGACTGACGTACACTCGTCTACAGGCAGGACAGTGTGTGTGTGTGTGTGTGTGTGTGTCTGTGTGTGTGTGTGCGTGTGCGTGTGTGTGTGTCTGTGTGTGTGTGTGTGTGTGTGTGTCTGTGTGTGTGTGTCTGTGTGTGTGTGTGTGTGCGCGCGCAGACAAAGATAGTGTGAGCAAGAAGCAGTGATAACATGCTGCCAGTTTACTGTGGGGAGTGGTTTGAGACCCAAAATTGGTGACAGGACCCTTCAGTGTCTTAATAAACACTGACTGTATCAGTCATTAAAACATTCTCACTGTTAAATCTGCATTTATAAATAAATACAGCCAAAAGGACTGTAGCTTTACAGACTTTTTATTAGGTTATGTTAAAGATTTTCTTCTGTTTATGTCCCCTAAAATGACAAAGTTTGTCACTAGAGGTGTTTCCACTCTACTGAAGAGGGAGATGTTTGTACGATACCATTCAGTCTTATGGAGAAACGAGTCGACTTCTCAGTTGATTAATGAGCTCAGTAAACAGTTTCCTGATGAGTTTCTGGTCTCAGTCTCTAGTTTCAGTCTTCTTCCATACAGCATGATGTTCATTTAGTAACTGATGGTCCCATTTAGAGTAAAACAGACCATAAAGCAGGGTATGCTTTAGGGCGGGGCTACCTTGTGATTGACAGCTCATTCTCAGTGAGTCTGTCCAGCTCAACTCACCAAACTCAGATCAAACTGTCAAACAGTGCTGATCAGATATGGATCCAGATTCTGTTGTTGACTGTTTCTCTCCTCAGATCTGTTCACAAACACATTTTACTGTTTATCTGGAATATCAGATCCTGTGTGAGCAGGCGAGACGCCACTGTTTCCTGATACAGAGCCAATGAGAGCAACTTAACTCGCAGTAAGTCTCCGACAAATACGACATAGCAACGACCATAATGACGAACTTGAGGCTTTAAAAAGGGACTCCACAATGTAATGAGTGACAACAATATAATAAAAGATGCTAACTACATTTTAGACTCCCGATCTGAGTCTGGGAGTCACAGACGCTCAAACACAGCTCAATCTCTCCAACTAATGCTAGCCGTCTTCATGCTTTCACCGGTCAGCCCAGCGTGAAGCAGTGGTGGGTGGGACATCCACAGCCTCCAGCCCCCTTCTTAAAAAAAGCTTTAATGTAGGAAAACTACACTTTAAACCAAATATTAATCACAGCAGAGTATTATTCCATACTCTGGAGTGGAACATTAAACGGCGTGACGGCTCTCACGTGTCTCTACTTCCACTATATCTTTCCACCACTCTTCATCGGAGTCTTCAGCCCAAAGGGAGATCCTTCCCAGAAGCCAAATGTTGAAGTCATGAAGTTTGACGTAAACCACATGGGAGCAGAGGCCTATTTAAAGCCCGGTGAGTTAGCCCATGTCTGTGCAAATGTGCTGAAATATCACGAGCAGCTCGAAATAAGCTGCACCTGGTGCTGACACGCTAAACAAGGTCTCACTGAAGTTCACTTTGTCACTCATAAAACAAAAGCCTGCACATAGAAAACCACCAGCACTGGCTTTGGGGACAAAGGTGAGTGGGATAAAACGCGCTCAGGGGGGGATTCAGGCTGTTCTTGGAGCAGATCTTAAAAGCTGTGGAACATAAAGAATAAAGCTCCTAATTATTTATGGTAATGTATTCCTAGAAAGCTCTTTGTGGCTCTGACGGAGGGGACAGCCGCTCTGCCTGAAGTCTGAAGCCAAGACTTCTTCTATTAGGACGTCTGCGCTCATTATAACCCCCCCCCCCCTGCTGATAGGACACATCTGTGACTGAGACAACACAGAGCTCACAGGGGACACCAACAGATTACACTGTTCAGTCTCTGATGCACTCACTCCTGGGGGGAAATAAACAGCTCCAGTATGTTTAAACTCTTGAACTGTAGATTTTTATGTGCTTTTGTTCGTAGAAACATCGACAGTCCCAGTGACAAGTCATATAATAATGATTATTTTCATTATCGATG